GTCCCAGGCTTAATACTGCTAGGGATATAACCATTCAGGATAGAATAACAATAGTCATACGAATGCATTCTACTCTAATCGTGTGGGTCTCTTTAGCTCGTATGAGTCTCTTGTTTTAACGTGCAGTTTATTCAAAGACCGTTCTTACGCTCAAGACATTGTCAAGATCTCAGGGAGATTGAGGGAGACCTTGGTTATTTAAGATAAGTTTGGCTTCAAAAACCTCTCTTAAAATTCAGAAGCAGTTATCGTGGAATAGAGCTGACTCAATATTAACAGGTTATTTAGCAGGGCAAGTTGTGTGGGGAAAGAAAACAGAAAATGCTAGGACGTTTCTGAAGAACATTACATTTCATCCTATAGCAATTTGTACATGCAAGACGGCAAAGAATTAAAAAGTAATCACTACGCTGATAGAACCGGGGTATTTTACTTGGGCTATTTAGCTTTTTTTTTTGAGGGCTTTTCACTCATCTTTTTAAACTTTTCCCCTGGATTCTACGACAAAAAGCAATGAGAGATTTGTTGGGAAGAATTCAGGCGTGGTGAAACTGCAATGTAAACGAAACCTTGATAAAACCAATTACATTCTTTACCCCAAACTATAGGAGAATGTAAGTGACAAGATCGCGCAAAGGCACAATTTCTTCAGTCATTGGCCGTTTTTCATTATACTAGAGACGTTAAAGTTGTCTAGACGTGTTTCAGGTCTGAGACGTTTAAGTTGACTAGTGTAAAAATGGGATGCATAAAAGGAGACGGTAACATTGAAAAAAAAGGGAGAGTTTCTGGAAAAAAAATACTCAACAATGACTCTTCAAAGTCGTCTCTGAACGAGTTGGGCATTAAGGCGTCCCAGTTTACGGCGTTCCGTTTTTATGCTAGTCGCATTTATTGTCTGTCGTCAGACGTTACATGCGTCTGTCTTATTTACCTTTTCTATACTAGACGTTACAGTGGACTTAAGACGACTTTAACGTCTCTAGCATAAAAATGGTCATTTTGCAGCTCTACTGTATAGGTGGTTTTCATGCATCCGCGGGAGACACAAATAACAATGGTGAAATGAACAAATGCTGGCCATGGAGGACAAACAAAAAGAGCTAATGAGCGATCTTTTGTTTACCATCCACCAGCATGGCGGCGATGAGGTAACGTGAAAACCACCATACATATATCTAATACTTTTCCAATACCTTTTCCTCAAAATCCGGTCCGAGTTGCTTTGTGTTTCCGTTTCCAAAGAACATAAGAAACACTTTGTAGGCCTTCAAAGTGAGACACTTGTGCACTTCTTTTGTTCCAGATTTTGAGACATAAAACCACACTTCCGCCTGCTCGTTCTTTTTACTGGGATCCGCGCAGTTTTTTGCCGCGTTGACATAGATAATCCTATCTGCAGAAAGCTTAGTACCCGTTTTGTCATGCACGTTGGATGCTATTTGTTCTTTTAAAGTCTCTTGCTTAGGGCAGAGCTCACCCCAAGTCATTCCAAGCTTCAGCTCAACGTACAGATCCGGTTTCCTGCCCAGGGTAGGGAACGTAGCTTTGATTGTCGTTGGTTTCGACGTCTCTGGCATGGTAGTCAGTGCGGGCCTTGTAGCATTCTGAGAAGGTGGTTCAGTCGTTGGTGCCGGGGTGGGGGGCTTCGGCTTGTTACACACCAAATGAACGTATACTCCATAGAGTTGCACCGAATACCCACTGGTATCTGGGCGCGTTGGTGTCTTAAGAAGTACCTTTATACCCCAGTCATAAATCCCAGGCTTTTTACATTTGTAGAGAGGACCAAGAATCTGGCCGATCTTATCTTCTGTGTTTGACCTCATGTACACATCACTTACCCCACGAACTGTGGTTAAGTTGTGACATTTCAAGGTTCTGACTTTAGTTTCCACGTACAGTGGTTTAAGGTTTCTGTTAGCTTTTATATTGCCGTCTATAAACTGCCAGAAGCCCATGCTAAGATTCTTGTAGAGCTCGGTGTTCTTGTCAGCTGTATCATTCTTGATGCAGCTTGGGACATTCTGGAAAAACGTAACTTCAAAAATCTTTCTTGTTATTAGAGATTTAGGGTCAACAGTTACCCGAATAGTCGGCTTCAATAGTTTTATGCTGCCAATTTTTGCAGAACGCATAGCACTGTCCAGAAGGATAAGGCCCTGTGACGGTAACTCAGAAGTTTGAGAACTCATTCCAATATCGATAACCACGGTCTTATTACTCGGCATGTCAATATTAACGTACTTGAATTTCCTGTCATCTTTAAATGCGTCTGCTATTGTCGTCTGTAGCTCCATTTTGGTTTGTGTCGTGTTACTACTTTCGTTTTTCAGGGAAGCGATTATATGGAAAAGTTTTTCTCCGGGAATAAACGATTTCCACTCTGGGACAACCGAGATATTCCCAACTTTCCCAGCATCCACTGCGTTCTTCAAGTTCTTCAGGATTTTGTTTGGGTTTGGAGATATTGGTTCGTTTATCTGGAAGCGCGTAGTTATTAAAGTTATGTTATCCTCTTTCAGACACTCAATATGTGTGATGTTAAAGGCAATATATTTGGGATCAGACGACATTACGGTGCTTAAAGCGTTCTCGAAGTCTCCTCTTTGGTCAAAACCCTTGTCTGCAGCCGAATCATTGCAAGCGAATTTCACTTTAAAATCGACGTCGAAAATAGACCCTGAATATAGGTTTGGATCAACAGAAAACCCACCAAGGTCTCCATCACTCATGTCGTTTGCAAGTTGGGTCTTTATGGAAGGCTCAGCGCCGCTTGAAGCGGTTACTTTGAGAACTGCGATGACACTTCCTGGCTTTAATTCTACAACGTCAACACTGGCATTTCCGACGCTTTTGAGAACATGCGAGACTGCTGCAGTAAGGTTTTTTGCCAAGGCAGCGAATCTTGAACTGTTTCTGTTGAGAAGATCCTCTGACCATGTTACACTGGTTAGTTGAATGGAAATCTGAAAGGAGGAACTCTGCGGGAGACTTGGGCTAGCGGTAGAGGAAAGGCACAATGTTGTCTGGGTAGGGGCGACGACACCGGGAGAAGCCGCTGAGTAAGGAAGAACGCTCACAGAAGTCGCAAGGCTTGGCGACAAAGTTGATGTAACTGCTGAAAGGAATGAGCAAGAGAAAGTTCCAGTTAGCTCAACAACTGGCCGCTCCTCAAATGGCGTAACTTTATGCGAGAGGGGAATAAGTTTTCATCCTCTCCTGGTTACACTTTTATTTTTTGTCCAAAAATATCCTAAGATTATATTTTAAACCTACGAATAAATTTCTTTTTGTTTGCAATTGAGACGAAATTAAGTGAATTTTCAACAAAGAAGTAATAAGCACAATTTGGTTTTAGTTTAACTATTATAAAATTACAAAAAAATCCGAAAGGATCTCGTAAATTTGCCCATTATTGTTTTCATTGACCATTGAAAGGCATCCTTGAATCAGCTTTAATAAAAAGATGACACGGCAATTTTAAAATTATATTGTTTGTTACCTTATCATCACTTATTCTCGAGATTTAAAAAAATTCGTGAAATTAAAAGGTGCCGCGAAAATCAAAGACGCGAAATTTACTTGTAGTGACCTATTTCAGTTCAACGCATGTCCTTATTCCTCATCATCTGACTCATCTTGCTGAATACGGTCCTGCAACACAGGACAACATATCCTTTATATTAAAAGTGCAGGTATGTTTACAGCTTGGTATTCGGCCGAAGTTCAGAAACAAATGGAGTCGGCCGGAACTAGCACTGATGAGATTAAGGTCGATTTAAGGCTATCTGTGCTCAACCCCTTACAAGCCACCTGGCTGGTAAGCCTTTACGACCCGTTGACAGGCAGTATGGGAAAGCGGCACATTGCAAAAGGATGGAGCGTAGCGGAAATATCCGAACTTGTTCAAGGGAAGACAACCTTATCTCCCGAAGGTCCATTGGAAAACATTGAGGCAATCATTATCTGAAAGCTAATTGGCAGCGCCATCGAGTTAAATAGTGCCTCCGTTGCTTATATCAGTCTGTTGCGTTTCTATTTCATTATGATCAAATCAAATGCGAAATGGAAGTTTAAAAAACGAGCACCATTGTACTTGATTCGCGAAATTTAAATACCTTGAAAAACGGTGATTCGACAAAATCGCGAAATTTAAGTGCCGCGAAATATTTGTTCCAAATTCGCGAAATGAAAGTCGCGCGAAAATAAGCAATAATAAGGTACTAGTTGTTTAAATACTTACTAAAACAGTCAGCTTTTTGAAAGACATGCGGACATCAGCGCAAAGTGTTCTTACCTTTAAGTACACTGCTGAGGTTGAGTCTGTTCGAGTCAAGGGGATGCCACAAGGGTTTGGGAATGGGGATGCCCGAAACGCGGGGATGCCGATATCACTGTAACACCGGCAAGGAAAACCGGAAAGACTGAGGAACAACAGGGACTTAAAACAATTAAAACTAACTTAAGTTAATTGATACAGTAAAACCTCCTCCTTTGGAAAACCCCCATTCAGGGGACACAAAATTTGGTCCCGGAAACTTGTTTACATTCAGTGTAATCTTTGTATCTGTTGCCTCCATTGAAGGGACATTTCTATTCAAGGGAAAAGGACACTTTTTCAGGTTCCCAAATCCCAGGTTTAACCTCCATTCAGGGACATTTGGTTCTTTCCCAAGGGGTGTCCCCTGAATGAAGGTTCCACTGTAGTAATTAGTTTTATTTTTCATGGGATCAAACAATATAGAGACGTACACCGACAAAACACCTTTTAAGTAAAGTAAACACGTTCTGAAATGCCGCCCTGTGTAAACCCGTGATTAAAAACTCCATTGATTAATGAAAATTAATTGACTCTAAAAATGATACTTAGTCTGCTGGGTTTTTGTTCCTCAATCAGCGGCAAAGATAAATTCTTACACTAAAATTCAAATGAAGCTGTCAAAACTAAATATCTAGCAAGCATGTTGTTTACCTTCTTAATTTTCAAACGTCTCGCAAAGTAAATATTTTTTGGACATTTTACATTTGTTCACGAGGTTTCTAGGCAACGAGTTCATGGACGTTGACTCGCCAGTTTACCAAGGTTGCAGGGTCAGGTCATATCTCTATCACAAACACTCAACTTCGTCTCGCAGCGGAATTGAAATGCATGCAACTAATCAGCTCACTGCTCATAAACCGCAGAAGAATACATCTACTCTAACTTGAATTGACCCATCAGAAGTCTAGTCCTGTGTCAACAAAGGGCCACGTGTTTATAGAATCCCAGATATGATTTTTGTTGTGCTAATAATTAAACTTCATTTGATTTCACAAAAATCACTCAAAATCGGGACAAACAGAAAAGAACCAATTTGTGAATATGTAGGGACTAGTAGTTTAAAATTCAAGTACGAATTATTTACCAAAACTAAATGGAAACTGACTATACTGTACATTCCTGGGTGGTCAAACTTTGTGTTGTCTTTGATGTACATATATTTGCATAGTAAACAGTACTACAGGAAAATGCTGTTCAGTGGTTTTTTCCCTCATCCACAAACCGTTAAGGTGAAAAAAACCTTAAAAAAAAGTAAAGCGGAAAACAAACAAAAAAAAAACAAAAACGGAAATTACTAACTCAGTACACGAGAGCTACTATAATTTTAATCGTACGCTGAAAATTCGAGTCCCATTTATTGATTGTAAATCCCTGTACGGGAATATTCTTTTAACATTGATGACCGATAATAGTAAAATTCACCGAACATACATTTTAGCTTGTTACATAAGATACTTTATACTTATATCGCCGATAAGTTTCTTTACATGTCGGGGCATGCATATTTTTCTACAAAGCTCTTGTTTGCATGTGTTGAAAAGTGGGAGTGGTTCTTTTTTTCTATCACATTTTGACTCATGCGGGTCTACATAAAACATAACAACAACACTAAGACAGGTCATTTAAAGAACTACTAACATGAACCTACAGAATTGAATTCAGTTACAAAAAAAGAGTAAAGAACGCTTAACACTTACGTCCAACTTGAGCAGCCAGGAGCCCTAACAGTATACAAAAAAACGCCCGTTTTCTTGCCGCATCGTAGTCTACATAACTCGGTTGTTCAGAAAAAGTAGGCATCCTCACCTCTAAGAAAACAAGAAAGCGGGAAATTCAGTAGCTTTCAGAAGACATAGTTACCCTAACAGTCATCAACTAAATCTCTTTTAACTACAGCTACGTTTTAGATATACTTCTTAGCTTTCAGTTATTAGGCGTAAGGTGGACTTAGAAGGTATAAGCTCAAACATAAATGTTGAATGACAATAAATAAATGTGAAATGAAGCATTGACAAATGATATATGCACAACTAGAAAACTCAAAATTGAAATTGGTAGCAAAGAAACGCCGTTTTTACCACAAGTGAACCTCCTAGCCAGAACCTAATTATCTGACCAAGAAAAGACCGAAAAAGTTCGCCCACACTAGCGTTCCAGTAGACATTCCATTAAACTATCTAACCATATTGGATTGAGGCATGCAAATTAAACGTACGATCTACCCCGACAACCTTAAGTAACTGATAGCCTTTCTTCTTTTACAACTGACTTGATCGACTTCTTCTGTAGAAGTGCTTCAGCGTCAATAAGCTAGTCTTCTGTTCGTCTCCTCTTAAGTTTTAATTTAATTGAAATGTTTACCCTTCTCTCTTGTCTGTTGGCTTAATTGACCTTTTCTGATTGACAGAGAATAGCCCAGAAGAGTAACACATCTTTTCTCAGCAAAGTTCTGGGAAATTCAGGAGACAGAACATTCAAATCTCCAGAAAAGAGAGTTTTTTTTAAAACCTGTAGTGTGATAGTTGGTGAGTGTAGAAATGAATCAGAATTATTTACATATTTCTATAAGAGTAAGCGGCCGGATTGATTACGTCTTTTCATAGTTGTAGTGTTTACTTCCAGTTATACAGCTCAGTTATGCAGGGCACGCCGGCTAAAATTACGGATTGTTTTCAGGTCACTCTACATTGTAATATCATATTTCACTTCTTCTTTCAATCAATTACTAAGTAAATCAATCAAGTCCCCGTTAACTCGCATAAAATTGAATAAAGCAATTTGTGTCTAGATAGCTAATAAAGTCAAGTGAGTCTTTTCAGCGTGACTGTAGAGTGCGTGGAAGGCCTTCAAAGGGAGTTCACAGAAGAAGACGGAGGGCGAGAACTTGAAGGGAACGCGCGAGGGAGAATGTGCAACAAGTCCAGGATTGCAAGCTATAAAGAAACATTCGTTAGCAAACTTTAATCGCAATTTTAGCAAAAATCTCCAAAACAAAAGGAGAAAGATGAAAACGCAGGCTTAACCAAAGAAAAATAAATAAAGAAAAATGTACGCTAGCCTGCAAGGCAGGCTTTTGAAGGGGGCGTGAAAGAGGATCGAGGATGAGGCGAGCAGGGAGAAAACGAAGGGCGTACGAGCTTGTCAGCTCTAGCGCATATTCATTTATTTATACCTAGGACAGAGGGAATGAGGTACAACATGTTAATAATATCTCTTTCCTCTAAGAAGTCGGATTGGAGATTTTCCCTTCCTTTTTCGCGCTTTTCTAGCTTTAACAAAAGCCGAGAGGCTCTGGGGACGAGAAACTGACCAAATGGGCTTGTCAAAACCGGAAGTATTTCACTTTCACTTAGGTGTCTTCGTGCAGTGAAAAGACACGACAAACTACAGAGGTAACAGGGGCACCCAACGACAATTTTCGGAAAATATCTGTTCGGAAGACCGTGATTTGAGATCTACAATTTTCGGAACATTATTTTGTTGTAAAATTTCTTACTTGCCTGCCTCTCCTTAGTCTGCTACACAGCCGTTTTTAGTGTTTAAATAATAAATACTAAAATACGTTTAACAATGCTATGTTTAAGTGGTTTTGAACTCTATTCTCGTTGGGTGCCCCTGAGGTAAGCTATACCAAATTATAGAGTGATTTTAATTAACCCGTGAAATAGATTAGACCTACTTCTAGTCTGGACTTTCACTTTATTAATTTCACTTTATTAATTTCACTGACACGGTATTTTAATACTATACAAGTACAATACAATTTCAGTTTAATTCCCCCGGCCATTTACTTGTACAGCCTAACTTTTTGGCAGTTATTGCTAGGTACTGTGTCACTGTTGAACGTCAAAATCAAACAATATGTTTACGCGATAGCGCAATGAAGACCTTTTTCTTGTTAACTCTTCACAGATTTGCAAGCCGATAATGAATAAATAACGATGGAAGTATGCCTAATGCCACATTGTACATTATTAGTGTTCCTTATGGCATTGACCCATGAAGGTCAGTCTTGTGTTGGTCGCTAACAACGGCCTTACATATGATTTTACATCAAAATGTATGATTTTCGCCACCCTACTTTCAAAGTGTCCTTGGATGGAATCTTTATGACTCATTTCAAGCATGCCTTGCGTAGTTCTTGGCAAGGTTTTAGCCAGAAGCGTGTCCAGCCGTCCTGTGGACGCCCATTTTTCGAAGAAATACAAGGAAAATTCACTTAATCTCATAATTTTGTGGGAAACATGCCTTCTGGAAGGCCAGGTTTCTTTGTCTGGCTAAAAGCCTGGTTCCTAGGCCTAATTATTCTGCACGGCCTTTGCATTTTTGGTCACGAGATCCAAGAGTGAGTTCATACGTCATAAAGAAAATGTATTGACCAAGAAGGCCTGGGAGGACGCCGTACAGGGACTAGGCAAAAATATTTCCATGATCCTGGAAATAGGCTCTTTGTAACCTGGTTACCTGACCCTTCATGCCAACATTATGGGATACAACCCTTAGCCCTTGCCATTAAGCCTTTTGTAACAGTTGGTCATGTGGTCAACTTTCTGAAAACATGAAAAAAATTAGCTCTTGAAAAGTATTTTTAGCAGGAACTGAAAAAGCATTTTAAGAATTATTAAGGTAACCTGTAAATTTTCATATATCTCAAAAGTATTGACTGCCAAAAATTAGAAGGATTTGTTTAGGAAAAAAAACTCTTGCCTCCCAGTCACGGTTGGCTGGTTTCCATATAAATTCTTGTAAATTTTGAAATTTTCAAACTGTTGTAAAATCTTCCCCTTATGCATTAAAGGCCTCAAATTGTCTTTTATGAACAAGAGAGTGTAAATGGGGGAGAACAAGAGGTTTTCCTCATATGCATTAATTTAGCACATGTGAAGTTTGACTTTTGAAGGGGGCTGCCTCCTGCAGTCACTTGAAAATAGGCTTTCTAGTCTCTGGTATTGACAGTTTAAGTTTTATCCATAGTTTTTGCCTTATGCCACATGACTGCAAGCTGCACAGGGTGTCTTTGTCATTTTTTCTTTGGACCAACTAATTTATTTATACTGGAGGAAAAGCCAAAAATTGATATTGATTAGTAGTTATGCTGCCCTTTCTGAATTGCAAAAATGAGCTTCTGTGACAATTTAATGTCATTATAGAGTTCCGAAGTGTGACGTCATAGAAAATGAAATTTGTGAAATTATGGGATTTGTTAAGATATTCTGAAAGAACAACGTCCAAGACGCCTACTCTAGTTGCTAAAAATTAGCAACTCGGGGCAGATTGTCTCTGAGATATTAGCCCAGTTGTGCTCTGATGACTCCATACAAATCCTTGTAAATCTTACCTGGTTCCTAATCTTATGAACCGAGCCAAATTGAGAAGGATTTGTATGGAATCGTCACAGCATAACTGGGCTAATGTCTCAGAGGAAATTTGCCCCGAATTGCTAATTTTTGGCGCGTAGGCGTCTTGAACGTTGTTCTTTCAGAATATCTCGACAAATCCCATAATTTCACAAATTTTTTATGTTTATGACGTCATTACTTCAGAACTCTTTTTGTCTTAACAGGAGCTCCTGGTCTTAAAGTGTACATGAAAATTACAGTCGAACCTCTAATAAGGGCCACCTCTCTACAACAGCCATCTTTTTTGGTGGACAGTCCATACTTTCACCCTTGTTTCAACCTCTCTACAATGGCCACTTTCTTCTGTCCCCAACGTGGGTGTTGTAAAAAGGATCAACTGTAATTTAAGTTCAGGTGTCTGTCAGCTGCTTTCTCAAAAATTATGCTTGCAAGTACTTTATTTACTTCCTTAGCCATTTAAATGCAGTGTTTCAATTGTTCTGGGTATGATAAAGAGCCTTATGAAGACCCAGCATGCAAAACTGTCGTAAACTGCAATGATGGAGAAGATTCTTGTTGGATACATGTCATTCGATATCTAAATAACGGTATGTATATAAAATACAGAAGCATTGATCATGAATAGCCCTTATAATCATCGTGGATACCCAAATGCTTCATTTCACCAGTTATTACTGACAATAGCTTTCGATAACGCAAATGTGTCACTAACTTGTTGGAGACCATCCTTGGCTCTTAAGTCAAGAGAGTTTACTGCCCAATATGAAAATGATGTAATTGTTGTCGTCGTGCCCAAGTTTACTTTGGGCAATCAGGAGGCATGCCTTTACTCGCATTTTATTTACATTACGAGAACTGGGAATGAAGTTTACAGGAGTTATGAGCACAGAGCTACAATGGTTCAAATTTCACGTAACATGACAAAGGATGAACTTCGCTGATGAATCGTACTAGGAGTTATGTGGTTTATTGTTTATTTTATACCCTGAACTTCAGATTTTCTCTAGCGAAGGATTGGAGTCGATTGTAATTAAGTTTTTGTATTTGAAATTTCAGAGCCACAAAGCTTTAAATTGAGCTGCAAACACAAATTAAATTGTTGGGGGCTTCCTGGAGGTTGTGGAAAGCTAGATAACAACCCAAAACAGTTTACCGACTGCATAAAGTGCTGTGGTGGTGACCTGTGCAATACTGCCACAACCTTCAAAGGTACACTAGAACGGCATAATGATGTAACTAATACAGGCATAATTTTACTAGATAATTTAAGGTGACTCGAGTTTTTTTTGGGGGGGGGGAGGGGGGGTACCATCCTACTTTGAAGCTCTCTGGTATCCCCACCTTTACTTTTATCGCAAGTCTAACACATAGAATGGATAACATATAGATCAATCTACAATATAACATAAAATTTTTGCCGATCGGAGTAAATGTCACGTGGTTATAATGCCACGCCCCTTTGAGGTCTGAGTCGAAAATCTGCTGTTACCGGCATTTTTTCGTGAAAATCTCTCGGCTACACATAGTGCGCATTAGTGCCTTGCGCTGAACAGAGTTTCACCAAAATCGCAAAGACCCAATTAGAGAAATTCAGCGGTTTCCAAATTTAGGTCATAATTTATGCGAAAATGATAAGTAAACTTTACACGGATTATATCCAATAAACTGTGAGATTCATCTCTGTATTTTGGGCATCCTTATAACAGATGGGTCCTTGCAAGTCCGCAAAACAATTTAGGGCCTTGTAAATGCGCGCGATTTCGAGCAAAGCAAACATATAGAAATTATAGTTTTCGCAATTTGTTGACGTTTGTCAGCGTTTAAGAGTCAATCTCACGAAAAAAGCATTTTCTTAAAAATTCGTAGTTTTTTTTCCTTCAAATTTTTTCAGGGCCACAATTGATTAACTAACTACCCGGACTCTGAATTTCATGGTCATTGAAAAACTGTGACATTATCTTCTATAAGCCCAAACTTGAGTAAACACTGAAGATTTTTAGCGTTTTGGCTGAATTTGTGCTTTGGGAGTTGTCTATTGTTTCTAGTCTGTCATGAGACAGCATTCTTGTTCAGCACGCGTGCAATGATTGCGCTTGGCTGACTTGCGAATGCTCACCGAGATATGATAATTTTGGTACCGTGAGACAGGTCATCGCGTGATAATTCTCGTGTTTCTTGTGCCTTTGCAAAAAAATCAAGGAGTGCTACACACTAAATCTACTTACTATTAAAGAAATACCATTTTTTCATAGGTTTAATGCAAGCCAATAATTAAACCAACTCATGACGGGAATCCCTTCTATTTTCTTATACGAAGTTATTATATCTCGGTGAGCATTCGGAAGTCAGCCAAGCGTGGTCATTGCACGTGTGCTGAACAAGAATGCTGTATCATGACAGACTAGAAACAATAGACAACTCCCAAAGCACAAACTCAGCCAAACGCTAAAAATCTTCAATGTTTACTCAAGTTTGGGCTTATAGAAGGTAATGTCACAGTTTTTCAATGACCATGAAATTCGATAAAAGTAAAGGTGGGGAAACCAGAGAGCTTCAAAGTAGGATGGTAACCCCCCCAAAAAACTGGGTCGAGTCACCTTAAATGAGTGTAATAATTAGTATCTATAGGTAATAGTGGCTCCTGGAAAAAGGTTAAACCAAGCCCTTTTGTGCGCAAAAAAATAATAATACCTGAATTCCATGGTTCTGTGCTGGTGATGGCCCCTTTTTTCTTTGTTCTCCCGGGTAATTATTCTCTGACATCAACAAACGTTCCACCCACATCATCATCGCAGCCACGTGATGGTCCCTTAACCTTCCTTATGGTAACTCTACTGGTGATATCATGGTTTGGTCATCACTGGATGACACCTGGGTAAATAGTTTGACAGCTTCTGTGAAATGTCTTGATTGTTCAAGATACATTTAAGAATAATTAGTAAAAGTGATATTGAAGTCGAAAAAACTACAGAACTACACCTAAGAAAAAATTAAAATATTAAGGACACCAACAGGACAAAGTCAAGAGTCGCAGCGATTGCAGAATACCCGGCCCACTAATGTCTTACTTGAAAAACTGCTCCCATAGTTCAAGCTCAGAGAACAACAGTTACTGTACAAAAATTAGGCTTTATTCCAAAGGCAATCAGAGCAGATATTTACTTAGCAAATACAGTTGAAACTTCTCAATTTTCCAAGAGGAAAAAACAAAACATGCAGTCAAAAACTCTAAGTTAGAAGAAAGGCTGGCAAATAACAATCAGTCAACCAGACAAAGGGAAACCAAACTTTGCCCATGTCTGTGTGAACATCTTGAAAGGTATAACTGGCATTTTAATCATCAACAAATATATGTTTGAAGATAAAGTTAAATCTAAAAAATACTGCTTCTGTGTAATATTTTGAATAAGGTGTGTTAAGAAGAAAATGAAATTTAACTTAATAATGAGTTGTCTGGCCACATTGTGTTTATACTGATCAAAAATAATCATGGTGACTTATTTATTATTAATATAAATTATTATTAACTTTGCAGCCCTGACCAGGGTATATTTTGAAACACAATGATAATTATATCAGTACATGATTGTATATTATCAAGCTTCAGGACAGAGTTATGGCAATACCAATACCATCATTAGATAAAACGTCCATCTGCTGCTCACAATCTCAAGCAATTTAAATACAAATTGTATTTAATCTTTTGTAGGACACTTTTGATAAGAATGTTTTGTGTTGTAATTTTTGATTTAACAATGGTTTTCATACATGAACTGCATTGTTATGTACATAACTTAAGATTTTGACAGTAAGTTTTTCAAATTGATGAGTTTAAAGTAGAATATAAATTTTAGCTAACTCAAGTACAGCAAGGGAAGAGCATTATACTGTCCCTATAGTGAAAACAGTGCTCCGGTCCTGCTTTCAGCTTAATTACAACTACTACATCACTTAATTGCAATCTAATGAAGACGGATGTTGTTTACTGTGGGTAATGTCGACCGAGATATCGGTCGATATAGCGGTTGACACTCGGTCGATAGTCGGTCGACACTCGGTCGACAGTCGGTCGATATAGCGGTCGATAGTGGGTCGACACTCGGTCGAGACAAGACCGATAGTCGTTCCAGATGTGTCTCGGCCGATGTAGCTTTTCGTTCACCGACACTTCGCCGACATTTCGCCGACACTTGGTCGATAGTTGGTCGATACTTGACCGATGTGTCGGTCAGTAATTGGTCGACACTCGGTCGATGGTCGGTCGACATTTAGCATTTCCTACATTTTCCTACATTATTGCGGGACCACAGGAGCAGCAGATTCAACTTAGGCTGAGACAGGTTCTGTTTAACAGCTAAAACTCAGACGATCGGTGATGATACAAACTGGAGAAAGAAAAGGTTATCATGTCCTTAGTTCCCAGTGCTCTTCGGTTCTCTTCATAGTGTAATCGCGCCTTGCACTGGCACATGTTCCCCATCGCATGATAACAGTAATTAATGACGTCTTTGCTTAAAAAAAAAGCCATAGGACTCACCTGATAAATTAACACACGACTAATATTCGAACGACAGTTGACCGATATACCACCGACAGTTGACCGATATACCACCGACAGTTCACCGATATATCACCGACAGTTGACCGATATATCACCGACATATGACCGATAGTAAGTCGAGGTGCGTCGACGAAATATCGACCGATACTCGGCCGATAGTCTATCTCACTATCGACCGACCATCGACCAACCATCGACCGACTGTCGACCGACTATGGACCGACTATGGACCCACTGTCGACCGCTATATCGACCGACTGTCGACTGCTATATCGACCGTTATGTCGACCGATATCTCAGTCGACATTACCCACAGTAAACAAGATCCATGAAAACTAGATTGTCTGACTCATTAACCCTTTTAGATCCTAAGATACCAACATCAATTTTCTCCTAACACTACCACTACAGCATCAAGAGAAAAGGTTATGAGAATTGTGAAAATGATCACGAGAGGAAAATGCTTTGATCTTTTATCAGACTCTCTCACCTAATTCCTTAGGGCAATGTATGGAGACTAGTGTGGAGAATTCATACCTGAATATTGGGGCTTAAAGGGTTAACACAGTCAGAACAAGGCTAGAAAAAAATGTGAATTTCAGCAAAACACAAACAGCACTCAAATGTTGCATGTGCTAGTAATTAAAAGATTAAGTGCAGGTACTAGAACTAAATACTATAGGCTAGGGAGCTTATGCAACCACAACTCAGTGAAACATGGTTTAAAGAGAGAATTATAAGGGCTGTTTCAGACTTCATTCTGTCTTGTTTAATTCAAATTTTAAAAGTGGGCAAACTTTCCTAGAGCTGATGGACTGAATCCAAGAAGAAATTGCCATGCGTCTAAAGTCGCCCTCGGCAGGTGATCAGTTGAGAAATAATTTAGCAAAGTTCACATCGTACCAATATCACATTATATTTTTGCAACACTTAAATTTTGCAATTTTGAAAGCAATGCAAACAATAAGTATTGCAAACATAACGTGACACCAAAATTAAGAGACTCAAGTTAAATTTATTGTTTCTTACTCAAAAATGCAAAATTAAGGTGTTTTGCAAAAAAATGCGAACCATCAAGACAGAGAGGAAAGGTACCAGAAAAGAGTCCTTTATGGAGTTGTTGTTTTTCTTCCATTTTGATGATCCTGTCACCATCGCTGCTAAGGTTGCATAAGCTTCTTAAGTAATAGCCTGCATAGCAAGCGTTTCCAATCGAGTTATTGCGCGAAAGTTAGAGCGGGGGAGGGGGAGGTTCCTTCGTTCCCCTCCCCCTCCCCCGTCATTCATTTTTTTTTTGTTTTTGTCCCAGCTTTCTAGACGAACCTCGCGAGGAAACGCTTGCTACGCAGGCTACCTAAGTAACATTTTGTCAAAGTAATTCCCTTGTTTTGCACTGCTCATCACCTAATGTGCATATTATTATATTGCGACTTCAAAGGTGGTGATGATTTTCACCAGTCGCCTAAAAAGAGGTAATATTATGGCTCCTTTTGTAGTCCTAATTAATGCTTTTTATAGTGATTTTGATAATTCTGAAAGGGTGGACTTTGTCTTGAAACTGATCAAAATGATCATTTGAAACTGAAATTTGTTGTTGTTTTGCAAGGAAACGAGAATGGTGATACCCCTTTTTTATTTGTATTTTTTACTCGCTATGGCTACACAAAAAATATATATTAAGGAGAAAATCTGGATAGTAGAAGTTGTATTTTTTTAGATATGAATGACTTAAATTTCCACATTTAGAGGCAGGAGAACTACATGTAAGAGATAATGTGAAAACTGTCCATTTCTCTACCTTTTTAAAACATTGGGTAATTTGAGGTTTTAATTTAAAAGATATAGCCCAGACAAACAAACGGGCTTACGGTTTTAGTATGCTTGGTAGTAACGAACTTTTGACAGTTGTTTAAGTTTCAAACATTTTGTGTACAAATAGGAAAAAACACTCAGAATTACAAGCACACAGGGCGAAAACAAGGTCGGTGACCCCGTCCATCTTTTTATTGCAGTTTTTGAATGTCCTATATATAGCTGACATTTGTGTCAAGTTTGAACAAAATCTGGATGGTACATCATTTTCAAGTGAATTACCTTAAATGTACAGTAACTGTAGCTACATGTTTAGTACTATGAACAATACAAGAAAATAACACTTTTTCTGTACATCAGACACTATATTTACTCTTGTTTATTAGTTGAAGACTGTCCTGACTTTATCCCAGCCTCGATTGAGTCCTTGATGGTAGCTTTCCAGCTGTAAATGACACAGAATATCACACATACAATAAGCTTCCCACATTTAGATGATGGCAACAAACAGCTGCTCATTCTTCATGAGTACAATTAACTGTAAATCCCTGCCTCAAGTGATATTACATATTAAAGCTATCCTTGACCGAATAGCAAGAGAGATTAAGCATCGCGTTTATGACAAACGGCAAACGTGAATTTGTACCACGTGACCACGTTTTTCCTTTACTCGTCGTTTAACTGTTTATTATAACTTCTTCTCAAACTCATTAATAATTCATTAAGGAAAATACAAAGGAAATTAATGTTTAATGAGTGTTTGGAAATCGGATGAAACACTGCTTAGTATTTGCACCCTTAATTTCTCCTTCAAAAATGATTTTGTTTGAGAAGAAATATCAAACATTCGACACAGTGTTTCATCACAAGATGAAACACCTCGAAGTTCGTCAAAAATACTCCGCTGCGCGTCGTATTTTCAACTCTCTTCTCGGTGTTTCATCTGGTGATAAAACACTGCATCTCATGTTTGATATATTACATGAAAATTGGTAGATTCACGCCAATTCTATCCGTAAGAATATTGTTTAAAGCTGTTTTTATCGGCTCATTTCTCAACTTGAATCTGACATTTGCCATTTGCCGTAAACGCGATGCTTGATCTCTCTAATGTAGACAGACGCTGTTATAGGACATAGAAAATTGTCAAAACTCGAGTGGAGACACAAGACACAGGCGAGTGATTTAACTACAAAATGGCTGTTATGAGGTTAAAAAAGTGAGATATACTGCCTCAGACCCTCTAGTTATTGTCTCTTCAGAGATCATTGGGTGCATGTATGAAAGCAAAAAGTTGTGTGGGGAATTTGGCTGTAAATGACTGCTTCCAAAAGGGGGTGGGGTAGTTTTTTCTCTCTTGTACACTATGCACAAAAGCAAATTGAAAACAAAAAATGAACAAACATCTGTGGACAGACTAGGAGATGTATGGACTGTGTCCAAGGACTTAGAAACATTTCTTGGAAAAGTTGAGAAGTTGGGGTTTTAGATGTTGGTTTCTAATAGTTTCAATGCAATTTTAGCAAAAATAACCTCGACCCAAAGCTGGTCAGCTGGTTTTCCCAACTATGCCTGGAGTGTCCTGATGCCCTTAGCAGGGACACCTCATGACTTGTATACACAGTTGCTTCCTTGCAGTTTCTTCACAAAGTGTCTCTGCTATAGCTTTGCTGCTTGCTTGCCTTTTCATGCTTTGTTTTTTCCAACCCTCCCCCCTCTTCATTTCAGGGCTAGATAAGTATTGGCCAGTACATTGTAAGTGTTATACTGAACAGTTCAATGTGATGATGCCTGGCAGGGCCCCCTCTCAGGTTTGCTATGGACGACTCCTTTTCTTGTGCTAGAGCAATTCTGGCTACACCAACTTCGTATGCACCAGCACCCAAGTTCATCTATTGGTGATGAGTTAAATAATTATTTATTATTTAATATTGAAAATGGTGTGTGGAATATGGCCTGTGCACGTGTCCCTCCCCCCTTGATTTACAGGTATTACACAATTTATTATAATTATGATCAATGAGAAAAAGGGAAGAGGAGTTTTTATAAGCATTCTAAACAAATAAGTGTCTCATGACATGGGGCTTTATTCCACGCACACCATCAGATTATTATTGGTTATCACACCTGCCCTAGTAGTGTCTGATAGGCTGTGTGTAGCTTGTCCATGTCTTCTTCATGAAGATCCTCCTCACGTTTAATCTGTACACAAAGATTTAAATAATTTATCAACAATAATTATTATTTATTATCTTCCAAATGAATTCACACTCAAATACATTAAAAACCACCTATGGGGAGCTGCACTGCTGCTCTGCTCATTAAAGGACAATATTGGAAGCAGAAAATACAGTAAAATCCAGCAACTAAGAAACTGCATTTTCTAAGTTAGTCCATTTACAGGTTCTTACATAAATAATGGTAATTAGCACAAATTTAGGCTTTGTAGGTTCTAAATGTATTCTTATTTTTGGAAGAAAAAAAAATGAAGCTAAGAGTATTTAGTGGTATATTCAGCTTATTCCTTGTATAAAAATGCATGCCATTACTTTGCACTTGAAGTGACAAGACACCCAGCTATGTCTCCAAAGAGAATTCTGAATGTTGATTTACACCGTAAAATTAATGATCGATTAAGCGCTATGGCACTTATTTCATTTTCCCTGTTAAAGGTGCGGTGCTTAATCAAGAGGGGCGTGGTGCCCACTTATGGTTATTTTAATAAAGGTGCAGCAAAAACTATATATATACACCAGATTAAAAAAAAACGTTGTCGCTTGAAATTTTAAGTATAATAAACCATGAATGATGGGACCTCATGGATTTATGGGTAGAACTTTATTAGCATTGCAAATTTAAAGTTCTTTTCAGAAAATAAAATGTTTACATTACTGAAGCTTCTCGCGTCAATGCATTTCCAAAAAACGTCAAACAGTTTCTAGTTTTCATGGTGATAAGCTCACAACTTCACCTGTGTTGGACTGAATAAGAGATGTTTACAGTTAAAGAGCGTGGCCATGTTGCTAACACACACTTGAAAATCATAAGACAGGATCTAAACGCTTTCTTGGAAGACAAAAAAGAAACTGAAAAGACAACAGCATTCCTTAAACATAGCACTCTAGGGATTTGCATCCACACGAGTATATTGTGACAATGTAAACTCTTGTCAAAAGAACTTTGAATTTGCTTTGCTAATGAACATATTATACCCGTAAATCCTTGAAACCTCATCGTTCATGGTTTATAATTCTTAGTGACAACATTTTTTCAATCAGGTATATATTTGACCAGCACCACTTAATTGATCATTCATGGTATCTGCCCAATAATATTATTGTGTATTATTGTACATGATAGATTTTAAAAGAAAAGAACCTGTTTCAAATTTTAGGCTAAACAGGTTCTTGTATAGAGGGCCTAACTGTCAAAATTTAGCCAGACAGGTACTCTGGTTCTTAATCGTGACTGTTACCGTAGCAGGACAAACGTGTATTATAAAGGGGAAATTTATACCATAGTATGTACCCTGTACATTTGTCAGCTACATTGTGAGCAACCTGGCAAATAATATTAATTAGTACAATCCAGCTAGTGGTCTATTAACAATGCTGCATTCTGATTGGTTGAGCTACTGCTAGGCTACATGTTATAGCCCACTAGTAGTTTTTTGGTGGCAAAAAAGGATTAAAGTCTAGCTTTAAGTAGCTAAAGTTAATTGTTTTGTCTCGATATTTTTGAGCAACTTCTAAGTTGGATAACTAAAACAATTATTCCTCTAGCCCTCGTGGCCTCTGAGTCAATAGCCCATTCAGGCTCGAGGAATAATTGTTAAATATTTTAATATAATATATATGATAAGTTGAACTAAATTAATGCAAAGCAAACCATCTCTGACAGGCTGTTCATCTCACTGTTCAATTGCTCCAGGTAATTATCTTTCTCTGCTATATTTTTTGTTAAATGTGCTTGCTCCCTAAAACAGAAAAGTTTTTAACTGGTTAGGTATATTATTTTATGTAAATAATTATGTTGCCTTGAATATACTGTAAAGGTGTTGGGGTATGTAGTACATGCTACAGGCATTGCAGCGCTTACACGCGTGTAAATTGCGTGCAATATGGTGGATTTACACGCAAAAGACACATGTAAAATTTTACACGAACATTGACACACAGCTTAAATTACATGCAAGATGTGTGTATTTAACGTAGACAAATTTCCTCTCTTACTTTTACACGCAAGCTGCGTTTTTTAAAAACAGCAGATCTAACAGAAATTGTAAGATGCTGATCAATCACAGTTTTTTGACATTTTAAATTTCAGTAGGAACGTTAAACATGTCTTGATTTAAAATGGAAATAATTTGACTCATGAAAGCATATTTTTGTAAGTAAGAACTGAAAAGTTATTCATACACTGTAGTCAGCAATGCTACATGATCATTTGTATATGTATCAATAAGATATAGTCGGCGATATTTTTGTGCCCTCCAAAAAAATGGGTCTCTGCAAGTATTTATTATTAGGGTCAATTTCCCAATATTATCAAAATATGCACTTAACTTTTGTCACCAAAGAAAATCTTCAGATGGGAAAAGAATAGCTAGACTGTCTGATCGGTAGCCCTGCAGTTTCTCTATTGCACTAAGTTGTGGAAGCTAGCTCTTCGTCATTTTCTTTCAGTAAGGAATTTCTTGTGCATTTGCTTAACCAATGAGAGAAGTTGTGATGCATGTACATGTCGGTACCTTTGTAACTGATCACTTGTATCATGTGAAGCAGCAACCTTTCTGTCATGCTGCCGCATGAGCCTGGACACTTTGTCCTGTTTTGATGCTTGCTGCCGACGAAGTTGCTATAATTACAAACAGAAAACCATTTACATTAACTATTTTATGTACATTTTTAATGACAAAAATGCAGTTGCCAAAAATTCGTAATGGAGTTTTTGTGTCATGTGACAATGATTGCATACACATGTATGGAAAAAGCGTGCTGTCCATGAGCATGACCTATCAAAAGTCCAAGGAGGGGAGGGGGTACTCCCTACAATGGCCTATATGGGGAGGGTAGCCCAAATGGGGTACCTTTTTCAGGCTTTAAGTATATGAAAGGGTACAGGGGTTTAACTTGTTGAAGTATAATTATTAAAGGGTACTGGGAAATCTCATATTGCGGTCCGTGAAAGGACCTTAAACAGGTTACATTTTCTGGCTGTGAAAAAGACAAGAAACTTTCTTGTTAGTGATAATCAGTGATTTATTCATATTTTAAAGGTGGTGCATTTACAGCATGCAGTTAAAATAATGCAATTGCCTAGTTTTTGTTGATGTCACGACCTGCGTTTCTCAGGATAATGTCTGACATGTATGGAAACAAGTTTTTAACTGAAACTTGCCTCATTGTATAAATTATGTTGTAGTTAATTTTTTTATTTAAGTTAATCAGTGTGCAAAGAAAGGCATGTCTGATAGCCTGGAGCTAGTGGATTTAGATATCGGGCCAGTAGTTTTTGTTCTTAACTCGCTTAACAGGCAAGTGCTGTTTTTGGGGGAAATTCAAATTACGGAAGGATTGTAATCATTCCTGCTAATCAAAAAGGGTTTTGGGGCTAGTTGAAATTACTTGTGGGCTAGTACGTGCTAGCTATAGCTTGCCCGAATGGCATGCTGTAAAACTGACTTTCTTTGCACCCCGTTGATTTTTGTTTTTCTTTTGTTTTAAATTCATTAGCATACATTACCATACCCAAAAACAATGCAGAAATAAAAATTGACTGAAACAGAGCAATTTCATGGCAAATAATTAACATTATTATCAAAATTAATGTTGAATAATCATTGAGTGACATTGACTGTAAAGTTTGCTAATAAAGTGTGGATTACAAAGTCACCTGAAGCGAAATGAAGGCTCTAAATTACATTGTAGATGTATATATAAAGTATTAACTAAAGCTACTGTAAGTATTGAAACAAATGGTCAGGGCATCCAAAAATACATACAACGGTAGATTACCTCTAACTTAGCTGTCATGTTTCTGAGCTCATCTTTCAGGCTGATATTTTTATCTCGGAGGTCTTCAAGCTTGGCAGTCTCATCACTGACAGGAATAATTATGCAAAAAAAGGTTAGGGGTACTTCATACTAGTGTTTCTATTCTGAGGCACTATCTGTTTTTTCTCTATTCCTCAGGTTACAGGACAGTGATTTAATTACCGCAATCTTTCCATGTCTTGTCTTATTCCCGAAATTGTCTTCAATGCTGTTTGACTGTCCTATCAAATGCAAAAAGGTAAAAATATGGCAATTAATGAAGGCATTGAGGGTTGGTGAGAAACAATGTGGATACTCTTACACTGTAGGTATCTGCCTAGTCCCTGTACGGCATTTTTTCAGGCCTTCAAGGCTGTACTCTAGGGAAAACTGAAGAGAGCCCAGAATCCAGGCTACCCCCCTCAATGATTCCTAAGAGAAATCTAAGATTTTCTAAGAGCCCGGAAGCAAAAGTTAGGTGCAAGGGGCCACTGGGCACAGCTAGAGCACAGCCTTGGCCTTCAGTTAGTGTGAGGACCTGGTATGAGTGTGAGGAGTAAAAAATGGTTGGGGCACTGGGGATACAAGTTGCTATGGAAGGTTATGCATGAAATACCATTGCTGAAAAAAAATAATGGTAGCTGTCACATCATATTATCAAAAAATTGTGAGATTGATGACAGCCTGACTGGTATACCAAAAGGCAGAAGAAACTGAAACAAAATGGTAAGAAAATTCAATGCTACAGTAGCAATACTCTTGGGTGCTTTATTCCACCGAAACCGGTTTAATGCAAAAGCGCAAGCCTCGTGGGCTTGACTTATTAATTTTTTATGTGCATCTTGACTGTCACTGTTACTTCTGTTGAACAGTCATATAATAGTCTATGCACCTCAGAAAATTGCAGGCTGCTTTCCTCTTGAGCACATATTTCCTGCAGCCTAGCACTTCTCTCATCTCTGGCTTCCTTAACGGACTGCACTGCACTTGTCAAGCGGGCCAATTCCTAAAACAAGAGAAAGAAATGCAAATGTTTAGTTTACTAATACATTGTAGTTCTGGCAGCAACCACACAAACTACTCTTTTATGGGTTGGCCTCAGTAGCATGTGCTATATACCATTGGTTACTTTGACGAAGAGCCAGCAACATTGTAAAATCTATGATGTCAGAGGGTAACAATTCACTGTTACCTGTCAATGTTGTCATTAATAATATTTTGTTGAATTCATAAATTAAAGCAGAAGGTATTTTTAGAGTCCTTATTTTACGGTAGTAGCTCGAAATGCTTGTAGTCATCTGATTTACAAACTGGAGGCCGACGGTGCGCTCATTTTGGTTTCCCCTCTCTCCGGACATCAGCGCTCCATTTTTTGGGCATTTAAAGCTACTTAAATGTACGTTTTTACACTTACATAAAAGGCTTTTTTTTGCTGACGCAAATCACGTCTTAACAACTGGTCCCTGAATCTTACGCAATGTCAGGTCCAAACAAAATACACAAGTTTACTGTTCTATTCATCAGGATCAGTAATTAAGTTGAAAAATGTTCTTGCTTGCAGTTGTCAGCACCATTTTTGAAATCTCTGACCAGTTTGCTTCATTCTAACTTACCCCTTTGAATCTTGCAGGTGAATTTACAATCTTGGACTTAAAAATTTCACAGTCTTGCTTCAGTCCAGCTAAATTCACTTTTATCTCAGCCTGATGAAAACAAAAAAACAACAACAACATTATTGTCATGAATGATAATTATTATTTATCATTGCGGTATTCGTACATTTTAGCTGGTTTATTTATCTTTTGTCTCACAATAGTCACTTAGTTGTTTATCACAACATTTTAACCGCATATTGCATACTGCAAGTGTTTGATTTATAGATTGGGACTATTTTTACTGAGGTTGCTTGTGACTGATCCGTCATGGTTGGTGGGTTTGAATCTGAGGTGCACTGTTGTACATTATTAGAGGAGAAAACTGTTCACTCAGGGGTTTAAGTTCAGGCCACGGGAATTGCAGCATTTGCATATGACCCATGTAAATTGCATACAATAATGGTGGATTCACATGCAAAAAACATGCGTGTAAAATTTTACACATCAAACAATAATAACTTATCACAAATTGAAGTAAAAATAATCAAAGTGCACATGCCGTACATCATGTCCAGCTTGAAAACATTTGAACAAACAGTGAATCATTTTAGTTTCAATGCTGTAACAAAGAGCTTTGGGAAATTTTAGAAGAGGATTCAATGATTAAACTGTACAAATATTTGTCTACAAAGTCAGAAACCTAATCGACAGTAATTTTGTAGCTGGCCTGGTGAGAGAAAAGATCATTCTGATTTTTTCCCAAAATATGACCGATATTTAAAGTACAGTTTGAGGGCGAGAGATCGTCGTTCATCACTTCACAGATTTCAGCCAAAGATGAAAGTTGTCAAATACACGCAATCTACAGTTGTATGAGTAAAACTTTACTCACAGTTTCCGAAAAAATTTGCTTGTATTTTCTCGTCTATTTTTGTTTGTATTTTTTTTACATGCGTGTACAATTTGCATTCAGTATGGCAGATTATTACATGCAAGGGACAAGCATGTATATGCAATTCCCGTCGCCTGTATGCTAGCCTAATTTATATATAAATCAGAAAAACAGTAACTTTTGAGATTATGAAAAAAAATTCACCTTTTTTGAACTGAGTTCTGCATTGGAAGTCTTGAGTTGCTGAATTTCTTTCATTTCTGCAGCCTATAAAAGAAGAACACAAAAACAGTTGAAAACATTGAACAAAGTAATTAATTAATTACTTTTTTGCAATGTGACAAAAAGTCTGCTGCCAAAACAGGAATACCAATTTTTTGCTTGTTAATTATTGTAACGCAAGACTTTTTTTCTAGCAATAAAGCCAGAAATCTAAATTTGCAAAAATTTGTTCCCTCATGTAAAAAACAGACAATTTCCACAAAAATAAACTTCCACAAAAACATTATGCCACACAGTAGGCTATGAAGATAACGCAAACAATGTACAAAAAAAGGCTACCACCCACTCTGCAAAATAATTTCTTTAGCTTCAAAGGCAATAAACATGTACATACTGTAAGCTGCAGCCTTTCTCTCACCATTATTCCTACTAAGAAGCAGGGGGCATTGGGATTGTGGGTGTATGCAGGCTATGAGCTGGGTAGAGGAAATGGAATTGGTAGCCCCCTCCCTCTTCTCTGGATGGTCCTCTTTGAACTGTCACCTAATGAAACTGTCTTTTATGGTATTTCTTGGGAATGGTGTACTTGCCTGTTGTTTGTTTAGCTCGCTCACATCTTGTTCCAGCTCTTGAACTTCTTCTTCAAGCTGTTGAGGCAAATGCAATTGCAAGGAATTCACTGAGAAGAAACAAAATAATTATGGTATGGTGGATAAAGCACTTACAGGTATAGGTCACAAAACTTGTGAGAAAGTCTGAAGAAATTTTGTTTTTGTTATACTGAACATTTTTACCTTTTTCACTTGCTGTTCTTCTTCTGCTCTTTTTGCTCTGGATAAAAAAAATAAGTACCATTATTATTATATGTTGTACTTACGCCTAACAAACAGGGCATAAAACTTTTACATGATCCACATGAAGGCTGTGGTTTGAATGTATACTTCAGTGGGGTGGGGGGAGGTGTGCATAAAACCAACCCTTGAGTGATCCTGTATTGTAAATTGTGCAATTTGACCTAAAATTACAGATTGAAGTAAAACCACAGTTCACAAGGCCAAAGGTCACCATGGATTGGTGTCAGAGGTCAGAATAGGAATGTTAAGTTTTATTTGTCCAAGGTTATATGCCAAGGCTGACAACATTTGCATCAGAGCAAGTTGCTTCTTCAGAGATACAGTGTAACCAGGGGTTAGTGATGACCGCGAACCAGATACATCTGGGGGCTGCATGATGCTCCACGATACTCCCCTGAGGAAAAAGTTGAAATCTAGCAGCTCAGAAAAGCTGCACTCTGGGCATCAAAAAGAGCACTCAGTTTCTGATTACATGTATTATGTAAAGTCATTGTTGATGTTGTTGCTTTAACAAATCTTAAAGATCTTTAAACAGATGGCCATAAGAAGAAAAAAACACCGCCTCTTGGTTCAAGACATAAAAATGCATATTAATATTAATAACCAAAACGATGATAAATTATTCAGCTTACTTGAGCTCTAATATTTCTCTCTGAAGTTGTTCATTTTTGGCAAGTATGAGTTCTCGTTGTTGAACAGCTGCTTCCTAAAATGAAGAAATTGTTTACCAATTTACAAGGGTGAAAAATAATTTTCAGTGTCTTAGAAAAATAATAATACTGCATGTAACAGTAAAATAGCCAGGTAGGCAATAAAACAGTACACAGACCCGTGAAATCTTAACAGTGAGCGACAGACTGTGTAAGCCTGTTTAATTCTAATATCATGCCCTGTAAACAGAGCTCACTGCAGTGTTGCAGTGAGCACTGTGGTAACTACGGGTACTGAGGACACAGGTGAGTAGGGGTCCAGCTGGTGCCTGTGGCGGGATCTGGGGTAGTGCCAGGATACTCTGCGTTTAGGCTTGGTTGAGAAGAAGGTGTTTAGTACGTTACACAGAGGTTGTGGTAAGAGCATAGTTCCAACAGCCTCTGCCCATTCTCATTCAACCTGCCGACACCAAAGTGGCAGATGCTGCAGGGCCAAGAGTCGTGGTCAGCTATCCCTTGCCAAAAGAACGTGTAGTCTTGTTCTCTGAGGCTATCGTTTGATTGAAGTCTGGTCTCCTCCAGTGCAGCGATGTCAATGTTGAGCTGCTTGAGCTCGCGGTTGATGATGGTGATTTTCCTGGAGTCATCAACCTGACTTAGATCATCGGAGAGGCCAGGACACATGGTCCTGACATTCCAGCTTGCTAGTGAGTCACAAGATTGGTTGTTTCTGCATTCTTTGACGTTTGCCTGGTGCAAGATTTACAGTCTGCTCGTCAGACATTCCTCTGAGCTATAAGCACCCATTGAAGCAGGCAGATGGTGGCGGTCAGCACCTTACTGGCTGGGGGCAGCTTGAGGCGGGCAGTAACTGCCTAGTGGGGTGCAATGATCCCTCCCACTGTCAGAGGCAACCCGCAGTGCCTGGAACTACGTCATTTGGTCTGGGCTTATAACTCGTAACTGCTGCCTCCTGTGTTGGTTTTGATGCTGTGAACAGCAGCACTGAAGAGGGCACAAGCCTGGACGGTGTATATTATAAAAATCCTGGGGTGCACAGTTGTCAGGAACCGCCTCTCGGCATCACTGATGTAGTTCAAAAGAGAGTATACTTGGCACCAGCTACATGTACAATGGAGACTGCAGGAGCTGCTGGAAGGTAATCAAGTTAACTATCAAACCTCCTTAGGGGCTCCACTCTGGATTTCTGTAGGGTTTACTCCTTAGCCTTTCTTCCTCCCAGAGATATCTACAAGGCCGCGGAATGAATTTGCACAACATTTGGCTGTTGGCTCGAAACAGAGCTCATCCACCCTTTGATGGGTCTTGTTCTGGTTGGGGAGTCAGTATAGTTGCCGGCTACCCGACCATGCGGCCGGTACTACTGGGTTACAATGTTACCAGTAGCAGGCACTAGACCTGACCCAAAAAAATGCTACACAAGGATCGAACCTATGCCTCTATCACCACCTGCACATGAAGTCAGCTCCCACACCACTACACTGTAGCTGGGCCATGCTGGCACTATTGGTACATCATTTTGTAAGTTATGGAGTCACATAAGTAGTCCAAAATATTAATTTACAAAACTGCTAACAAATTAAGAGCACCTCTATACATATGTACTAATCAAATCCTTCTTTCTAGCAATCAGCTAGAGCTATTGAAACTACTATGAGGTGAAATTGCATTTCAAAAGCGCTTCGTTTTCTACTTGGCCAAACATCAAGATTGTGCAGTTTTTACCATATTTCTAACCATAAAAACTTCACCCCAAAATATCTGGATAACGCTCTGATACAGATTTTGCTTAGGGTGCGTTCGATTGGGAAATCTGGATTTAGATTTTAAAATCCGGATTTCTGATTTGCAATCGAACGCGAAATCCGAAAACAGATTTCAACGCTGAAATATCTGTTTTTGGATTTTCATTTTTACCGTTTGATTGGCAAATCCGAAAAAGCATTTGAAAAACTGTCCTTAAGAACAGCGGTCTTGCACGCGCACGCATACTAGCAAAGAGAAGACCACTGTTCACGAGAATAGTTTTGCAAATCCTTTTTCAGATTTCCCAATCGAACGGCAAAAAGGGAAATCCAAAAAATCCGGATTTGGATTTCTTAACTGAAATCCACCCTGAGGACAGATTTCTCGGAGGTGAAATCCTTTTTCGGATTTCGCGTTCGATTGGGAAATCCGGATTTAGATTTTGAAAATCTAAATCCGGATTTCCCAATCGAACGCACCCTTAAACTTCACGAACACCAAGGCAGCTATTGCAGAAAAAAGTTCCCATGGACAGTTTCCAGTGCAGAGAAATACAGTTGCAAGTAAAATAGGTAATGGCGTCATTTTGTTGCTGTGGCAACTCCCACGTCATTGTAAGCCCTGATCATAACAAATTTTCATGCTTATCTAATGTAGCTGTGGTGGTAATGTTTCCAAATCTTTGTAAAACCCTATCGAGCCACCTTAAATTAATGGCATTTAGCCACCTCTTATAAGACTAACATAAGCAAAAGGAAGCAAAGCAAACAAAATTTACTTACCACTTCAGCCATTGTATTTTCATAAATATGCTCTCTTGAGCCCCTGAATTTTGTGAAGTTGACAATAGCACTACAGAAAAATTGACAATTATCAGCTATGTGAGTACAGTCAAACCCCATTTGAATATGAACACTGAGGTGGCCATAGAAAGTGTCTGCATTAACACTGAGTCTGTATTTAGCAGGAACAAGACCATCCAGAGGAAATGTAGGGGCTTCATTTCCCCAGGGACAAAGAAAACTGTCCTTAATAATGAGGTGTCCATATTATCAAGCAGGTGTCCATAAACTGGGGTTTGACTGTAAACTAATGCAGGTTTTATCTATGCTATTTATTAACAAGCTATTAATTACCCTTATGAGTTTCTGTTATCGCGCTTATTCCGTCACATTCAATTCGATTTCGTCTAAAGACTGTGTTGAAGTTCACGAAAAGAAAAAGAAAGTCGCTGTATTGTGTTTTCACCCTCCACAAAAGGGCACTTTTATGTTGTAGTCATGCACTGATGGCAAAGAAATGTACAAAAAAGCGTGCAAAGTTATTGTTTAACCTATTGCTTTTTTGAGGCCGCAGCAAGGGTTTCCAAATAATATGGTACTCAGTAAAAATGAATGTTCACGAGCATTGAATGCAAGTTACATGTTTGAACACCTTATGTTTTTGTGGTATACTGGCTAATAATAGTAATAATTAAACAACACGAGTACAACAATAATAAAAAGAAAAAAAAGAATGAATTAGAGTAAATGAGTCATGAGTTGTTTAACCCTACATTGTAACCTCTACCCATAACCGCTAACCCTAACCTGACTCATAACTTGACTTATATAAAAACAGAGAGCAGGACAGTACAGTAGGCAGGGCTCGACATTGAGACCCGTGGGGTCGCCAATGCGACCAGCTTTTACTCAGTGACGACTAAATTTTCACGCCTGGTCGCCAACCTGGCCCCCAAGATAGGTGACTTTCTTCTTTGCAAAAACGTACACTAATGATAATCTGTTATCCTTCACAAAACTAAATCCATTAATTCTTAAATATAATTTTTGGCGATGAGAATACTTGTTCTGGCAACAAAAAATGAAAACTTGGGGGCCAGCTGGCCCCAATATTTTTTTCTGAACGTCGAGCACTGGCAGGTGCTTCAGTTTACCTTATGCACTGCAGAGTACGCTTTGGTTCTGAAATAAAAAAAGGAAAGATACATGACTATTGTACAAGGTACATTGAAGGTTAATATCACCTAAGTTATAATTATTTTTACTACCATCAAAATATGTTGTTGTTGTTGTTGTTGTAGCAGCAGCAGCAGCAGTAGAAGTAACTGTAGTGAGCTTTATTTACAGCATCACTTCGTTAAGAAGCTCTTCCAGTGAGCCACTTACGGCTGTACATAACAAATTTTAAGAGAAAACTACACTAATGCTAAAAATATATCTATACATTAAGAAACCTATCCTATAAGAAACTGTAAGAAACTTTTGAAAAAATGACTGAAATATAGCTTTTACATCACTAAAGCATAACGTAAAACCAGTGGGCCTTTCGGAAAACAAATCACAATTACATTTTCATTTAGATTTTTATTGTTTGAATAACGTTATAAACAATTAATAATTAATGTGTATTTGTAGATAAAGTATATTATACTTTTTGTTTATAACGTTATTCAAACAAGTTGCTTCTTCTTTCTGTAACAAAGTAGCCGACCTCTATGAGCAAAGTAGCCGACATGTTTCGTCGGCTGTCGGTGCTTATTGAAACCCGTGTGTACTGTACACCATGTAAAAAAATATACATATAAACGTAGATTCAAATCAAACTGAAAATATTCTTAATGGTACAACTTACTTGGTGATACTAGGTCAAAGATGGTAAAATTTTCCACTCCGCAAGCAAACATAAATCGTTGCCTAGAAACACATTTGATTATCAGTTCAACTTCATGCACAACTGAGCACATGTGCAAGTGATTACATTTACACAATGCACGTGCACTATCCCCCCCCCCCACACACATACTGTACACACAGGGCTCGAAAAAAACTTGAATTTCAGCTTGTCCTTAGGACAAGCAGGTCTAACATTAAATCTTTGCTTGCCCAGGGCCACTTCTTACTCATCTTAGTTAATGATTTTGCTGGAGAATGACTTGCCTGGACCCTTCAGTGATTTTGTTACCTCTGCATTCTGCATCCCTGATACATAAAAATCCCCAAAGACACAAAATAATTCGTGGCATGCATGCCATAGGATGCAAAGATCAATCGATCGATCTGAAAAATAATTAATGTGTATTTGTAGATAAATCCAGTTCGTGTAATTTCTGTGGAAGTTATTATGGCTGTTGTTTAATAACAATGTATATTTCTTTTAGCCTTTGTTGTGCCTTAAAACAGAAAGACTATACTGTATTTTAATTTCAGTATACTGTAATACAGAGTTTTGGAGTCTGTCTTCAGATTAACGGTCTGGTTCAAAAAGGCTCAAGCATTTTCAATTTTGGATTCGTTTTTCTTTTTTAACTGGGCCTCATTGGATCTGGACTGGGACTCATGATTTTTCATAAGATGAGTTCAAGGACTCACCTTAACTATTAGTAACAAAATCACTGAACCTTTTCATTGGGCAAGTATGCTTTGAAAATTATTTGCCCGGCAGGAAAGCCTATTTGTCCCGGACTACCGGACTGGACTTTTTTCAAGCCCTGACACATAAACATTGCAGGGTGCTCTCCAACTATTTTTGCACAATCCCTTGCCTATTCCCTTAAATTGAAAAATATTTGTTTTTCCCTATTTCATTGATTATGTCATCCCCGCATAAGAGTTAACAACACATTGAATTTTATATTTACAACATGCATGTACTTGTCCCGTATGACTCAATAAATATAAATGTTATTATTGTTAATAATGTTACAGGACTGTCACTAAGATTTAAAGTTGCCACGTAAATACATGTGCGACGTGTAGGCAGGGGAATCAAACAGCTAGGGAGTTTTTTGGTTCTATTTTATTAAACTTGAACTGATAAAAAAAAGAAGAATTAAGAATTCATTAAGAATTCAAGTAGCAGGAGAAAGGTGTAATGTTACCGAACGTTAGGCAGATAATTTTTCATGGTAAACAGAGATTTCTCCAATCTGTGATGCTAATGAACATCCTGAATAATAGTACTTACAAAGCTAGTGCCATTATTACTAACGGAGCACCCTCCTCATGAAGCTCTGGGTATTCAAACAATTTCAAAGTCTTGAATTGGGGCTGCAGAGTAAAGAACCATATTAAATGTCACTAAAAATATTACATTAAGACCATTTACTGCTGTCAAACTACAACTGTAACAAAACTGTAAACACCTAAAATATTTCACGAATGTATTATGCAATCAAAGCAAAGATCAGGACATGTAGATGTACAAGCAAGCTAGCAGCATGCAGGGTTTCAACAGTATTGTAAAGTAGTGGACATCGTTCTGAAAGCACCGGATGCATTTTTTTTTTGATGGTGCAAGGAAAAATTACCCTTTCTACTGCTTACCATCAATAGATCGAAACTCTCATTCAGACCCATAATAAGAAAAGGAAAAAAAAGGAACAGGGCTGAGAAATTAAGTAAGTTCATGAGTTGCTCATTAAGTAAAAAAAAATTATGATGTCAAAAAAAAAAAAATTAAAAAACCCTCAAGTATTGGCATCAAAGTAATGGACATAGAATGGCAAACAACCACATGAAACACCCGGCCTTGAACGAAAACCCTGAGTGTACAAAGAAAGTCGTGTCCGATAGCCTGGGGCTAGTGGATTTTGCAATCTGGGCGGTGAACCCTGTTCTAAACTTGCCCGAGGAGCAAGTGAAGTTTTTCAAGAAATTCAAATTACAGAGGAACTGTAAACAATGCTGCTTATCCAAAAATTTTTTGGGCTGTTACATACTAGCAACAACTTGCTCGAATGGCAAGTCATAGAACTGACTTTCTTTGCACCCTGGCTAGCCACAAAAAACACAAACCAATCAACATTTCTGCTTTTGGTTTTTTCTGATTAGCATTTTCCTTGCAACACAAGAACATGTCAGAGATACTTGTGGTGTTCAAGGTTTTGTTAGTTTCACAATAATTTACCACCTTTCTTTATTTTTCAAAATAATAATATTTTAAAAATATGTTTAGTTTTTCTATCTGCTTTCTATCTGCTTACCGGATAAATCACTACCTTATTCTCACTTAATTTCATAAGTATTAAATTTTGCAATTTGCGAAAAATCACTTTATTTAATATTCTTGAAATCTAATACTTGCGAGGAATAAAATCGCGCAATTCAATACCAGACATATATCGTCGTTCACGTGCACCATGCCACTAAGTCAACCTTGAGGCTAACACTTTAGAGCTGTGGGATAATGTAAAGCCTCTTCAATAACATGTTGCTATTTCAGTATGGATGTACCCCTCGAACAAGCATCGCAGGAATGTGGTGATGCAATTTCAGATAGTGAAGGCACGGCCAGTCAGCAAAGTGAGAAAGAAATCAGGTATTCACCAGAGCAAGAACATACAACTCAGAGCTGATGAATATGACCAAGTCCTCATAGCTTTACATATTAAAGAACAGAAAAATCATGAAATTTCATACACTCCATCTCAACTTCTCCTTAAAAATTGCAAAATTAAGTGAGAATAAGGTATCCAGTGGATAAGAACATGTAGGAAAATCAATTACATCTGCCCACTGTCCAATGGGTAATGAACAACTGGCACCAGGGCTGCAAATAAGTTTGTTTTTTTTAGAAAGGACATCATTATGTTCACTAGTTAACTGTTTTAGTCCGACAAACCAGTAAGGTTCTCCAGACATACAGTTATAAGCTTAATTATGCTGACTTTCCATAATCAATTGCAATAATTCCTTCACACAAAATTTCTTCAGTACGTGACAGTTCAATGAATACCGTAAAATTCCGAAAATAAGCCCCTCCATGTATAAGCCCCTCCAAATATAAGCCCCCCAAACCGGTAACGCAAATAACCCTCCATTAAATCGCCCCTCCAAATAAAAGCCCGGGGACTTGTACTCGGAAAATTGCCCTCAAATACAAAATAAAACAAAGCAAAAACGGTAAATTTACCTCCAAATATAAGGCTAGCCCAATCGATTTCCCTCCGTAGATAAGCCCCTCCGAGTATAAGCCCCTCCAAAAATAAGCCCCTCAAAAAGGGCCTTTGAAAAATATAAGCCCCGGGACTCATTTTCGGAATTTTACGGTGACTGTTTAATATTTACAGCCCAGTGTACAGATGTAGAGAAATGTGGACAGGTTGGCAAATATGTGATGAGAATAAGGCTATTATCCACCAGTAATGGTCCAGTCAAAGTAAGTAAGTTGTTGTGTATTGCATTAGAAGATAGTGAATGAGGAACTACATGTTTACATACCTGAGTAAACTGCTCAGGAGGAATGCCAAAGTATGAAAGCACTCCAATATAGAACATTTTCATTCGCTGGGGCTAAATCATTGAGAAAGTTCGAAGGTTTTTAGAACAGGGCACTCCATATGCATAAAAATGTTCGACAAGATCAGAGTCTAGAGTTTTACGAATAGCTCTTTACCTGAGGTTTAAGAAGATCATCAACAGTTAAAGAAACACCAAACATCGACTTGCAGTTTGCTACTGCCTCTTCATTTGTTAATACAGGAAATCCTAGCTTGACTGTTGAAGCCATGATGCACTCACTGCAGAACAAAAAATGGCGGACTGTTTCGGTTCAAATCCATCCGCTTTTTCGTAGGTAAGATTTTTGATTGGCTATTCAGCCCCTACGTCATCACCTGCCTGGCTACCACAGTACCACAGTACCGGCCCAGACTGTCGCGGTCAGCCGCCGAGGAGGCCTCGGTACCTCCCCCTTTTTCTGTGAAAATATTGTTTTCAATAAAGAGTACCTGCCTCTGATATTTAAAAAGTTTTCAAACAGGAAACAGACTTTTGCTAGAGGTAGGACGATGGCCACTTTTTTTTGCTCTGAGGTGGATTACAAGCGCAAGTTCTAGAGGAATGTTGGGCATCCTCCTTCCTAACGTAACCTGTTTTTCTTTTTTCTTTTTCTTTTTCTTTTTCTTTTTTCAGGACGAAGGGAGATTTCGACTACGAACGCGCACAAGGGGAGAAAAGGAGAGGAGGCTTCCCCTCCTGCGCGCTCTTTATAAACTTAACCAAAAATAAAAAAAAACGTAACCAGCGCCAGCCTGCCTCTCTAACCTATTAACCTGCGATTATGCATTCTTTTTGATGATCGCAGGTTTGCCACCCAGGCTTGGTCCTTCCAGAAATCAAGTTTTCTCTCGAGCTGAGGATGTTACCTGTCAGAAAACATTGTCGCCAGTAATGTATTGCGGGAACGAATTGACTGACAAGTCGAAAGAATTTGTACACCCACCATGACCAAACAATATAAATGATAAGTACGTACAAAATAGCTCATTCTCTCTTGGTACGTAATAGTTCGATAGACTTGGGCAGTGTGTTGGAACATGGCTTAATTTCCAACTGGGAATTGGGACACAATCATCTTATGCCGTTTTTATTTGTCGTTTACCATTTACCATAAATTCGTGGAAATTCCTGTTGGGATCGATGTAAATGGTAAACGTTTTTTTGGTTTGTCCCACTGGAATATTGCCGGGGTCAAACGGAGGTAGTCCTGTTTTTCCGACTGGGACGTTCCGAATAGAAATTCGTTTACCATTTATAAGTTTCTTGAGTTTCCTACTAGTTTCATGTGGTAACTAAAATCCTAGCGCGACGCCATAATCCGGAAATTTAAGGCAAATCAGTAAACGACACGTACCGTTCTTACCGAACGAAAATTCCGAACTTAAATTTCCGGAATTTTTTTTATAAATGGTAAACAACCATTGAGCCCTGTTCCGGGATCAGCTATTATTCTACTCAAAACGGACGTTTTACCTTAGAAAACCCTCTAGCTTCTGAACGCAGTTGAATCACGGGTTTTGTTTGTTTTGCTTTCTCCCTATCGGCCACCTTACATAATATCTCAATTCGTCTAAACTTCACGAACGGCCTCAGACTAGATCAGAGAGTATTGCACTCGAATAAAAAGAAAACTTTGTACGCGTCCTGCGCGTTAGCGTGCCGCTGATCAGGATCGCGAGATCGCTCGAGAGGAAGGAGTCACGAGTGAGCGCACGCAAGCGCGAGCGAACTTGGACCGTCTTTTCGTACCGGTCATTGGACGTATTGCGAAACTTGAAAGTTTCCCCGTGCTTTTACTCGTCAACATGAAACATAGAGAGAAATAAAAAAGTAGCACGCGTGCTTTTATCACTCCCTTCCGATCATGCTTTATTTATGCAAAACATGAAGTGAATCGTGTCCAATATACAGCTGAATATACTAAATTAATGAGGTAACTAAAAAAAAATTATTTTGTTAGATTAGTGAAATATGCCTTAGTGACAGATCAAAATAGGAAAACTATCCACAATACCATGCTAAATGATAAAAGCTTTCTCAATACTGATTCTATTCGTAATCAAAAGCGTCGTTTCGAAATCAGTGGTAAGTGAGATGAGGGAGACCCATTGTCAGGGTTGGTAATTTTTATACAATTTTATTTTTCAGTGAGTTAACTTCCTTTATCCTTTTTGTGTTTAACAACCTAGTTTATAGAATATATAGCATTCGTTGTCAGCTCAGCTGTTTGAAGCCAGGGTGCGACGACATTCTGATATATCAATAAAGTGTAAACGCGCCGCGCGAGAAGCGAGATCTCACGTATTTTTAAACGCAAAACGCGTGTGTAAAATTTCGCGCGAGGAATCTCTTTGCTTTTGTATCGGACGCAGAGTGAATTGGGCAGAAATTTAACCCACACAAGTTTTGGGGCCATTTTTAACTACACGTCCAGACACGTCGGTCGAAACCTTGTTAACAACGATATAAATAGTATTTTGTTGGTTTACATAACGTTAATCTGTGATAGTTCAGTTTGACTCACTAATCCGTAAAAGGAACAAACTACGTGCGACACAATACTGGTCTTGAAGAGCAGATTTTGTCATGCGCTCGATCTAGCCGTGGAGAGGATCTTTCGCAGCTTTTCCCCTTATCGTGAGTTACAGTATATGTACATCGTGTCTTTAAGGCTGTAAAATAAAACTGGGACTTTCACTCTGCTCCTGGAGCCTATTACCCTACCGGTTTTGTAATCTAAATAATATGGTACCCCGGACGAACTTCAATACGAAAGAATATGGGATGTGACGAACATCCCCGTAACGTTTTTCATGAGAATTCCCCCCTCCCCGGGGGGTATGGAACCAAGCAATTTTGGCATAAAATCAAAATCGGAGATATCTTAGTCTGTTAAAATTATCAATGCATTAGCTGCAATCTCAAGGGTCCGAAGTAACTGAGATATGGTTTACATGTAATTGGAGTTCGGGGACAGTTGCTGAAGTCTCATATTGTGGTCTGATTTTAGTTGAAACGAGCACACCCCCCTAGCTCCCCCGAACCAAGAGAGTCATTTCGCTATCCCTCCAGTGGAAGGACAAACTGAATAAGTAAAATCATGTGATCTGTAATGGGGACTCGAATAACTCGACTGCTCTCTCATGATCGACTCAACTCAGTAATAAGGAAGTCTCAAGTGCAAGACGTCATACGCAAGTTGTACAGCACAAGTTTACCGCCGTAATGTCACTTATTTTACGCATATTTATAAGGTCTTATTTTATAATCCGCCTTAAGCTAAACAATAGCTAAAACCAGGTTAGGCCAGCTTATTATCACGTTTTATTGCGAAAAAAACCGGAAATTCAATTCCACGATGACCTCGTCACGCTTGATAACCTTATAAGGCATGCTTCATTCAGTGTACTGCACCTTAAAAAAAATACGTTTTTCCCGACCTTGACCGGATGTTTTTACCTCAGAACTAGACATGCAAATAGACCAAAGAACCTCATAACTTTGAACCCGAGAAAGACCGGTCAGCCACGAATTCGAACGAGGGACACAACTCTCCTTATTCAACAAAGTTACCATGATCAGGTAAAAAACTTTTATATTTTAATTTTGTGAGAGTGTGTATGTTTTGTTTGTCACTGCGCAGCCCAGTAATATGATAAACTCTCTGCGTTCACCTTTCCCCAGTCAGTCTTGTTCCGTATGAGCTGTGATAGAGCCCGTGGAGCTAAACCGTGGATAATTTAGTTCAACTTTCACGGAGCAAATAGACCTTTCCAAGGTTTTTTTCCAACTTTTGACATGGACAAGTTAGGAAAAATCCGTCGACAACGCTGAAAATAGCGCCTTAAGATTAATAAAATTGCCTAGTTTGAAAGGGATTTGTAGAAAACTAACGAAAGTGGGTCTGACATTCACTTTAGAATTAATACGTATTCTGGCTGAGTATTCGATCCCGTACGCGCGTCTCATTGTGCACGACGGGTAGAATGGCCTGGCCTCAGGGGCACCCAACGGCAATTTTCGGGAAAATATCTGTTCGGAAGACGAGTTGAGATCTAGAATTTTCGGAGCATTTGTTGTAAAATTTGTTGCTTGCCTGCCTCTCCTAATATTTTCAAACATCTACAAAATGGTATAATTACCCATTTTTAACGGATTTTGACCCTAAAAAGGCCACCTAGAATTTTCGGGAGCCAAATTTTCTTGGCTGAAATTTTCGAGAAGGTAAGTTTTTATCCCTATAATTTTCGGATCACTAGACTTTCAGCTAGGAAATCCGAACAGATGAAAAGTTTTTAGGGGATAAACATATGCCCATATCTACAGTTGGAATACTAAAATACGTTCAACAATGCTATGTTAAGTGGTTTTGAACTATATCCTCGTTGGGTGGCCCTGTGGCCTACGATGCATTTGCACGATGACGTCTTTTTACTACTACTACTTCTACTACTACTACTACTACAATCATAAATAAAACAATGTGATTCATCCACTTGCTATCCTTATTCTTTATAGATAATGATACAAACAATATGAAAGAGAAATATACATCATTCTGGCGACACAGTCTTGAAAATTCAAAGAAATTAGAATATTTTAATTTTACAAAGTTTTTAAGGAAGAATATTTTACATCAATTAAGACACTTAAATGAAAGACGAAATTTAGTGAAATTTAAAATAAGTAATCTCAAACTTATGATAGAAATGGGTCGATATCAGGTCGATCATGTGCTCAGAGGAAATAGATTATGTCCCCTACGTGAATCAAGCTCAATGCAAGCTCTCCTATTTGGGCAAGCGAAGCGAGCCTCGCGAGAACGCGCGTTCTCGCGAGACTCGTTTCACTCGCAGGCTATCTGTAAATTATTTAAGTGTCCTTTCTGTTTGTTATATTCATTTGAATGTGTGAAGTGCAAGTTCCGGTTTGTTCCGTTGTTCTCGGGGCTTTAGTACATATGGGAGCAGCCACACCGTAGATGAGTGTCTGTCCTTTTCAATTTAGGTCCATTCATCAGTAATCACCACCTTGTTTGTTTGTTTTTATTTTAGCTGCTGGGTTTCAACGTTGCCTGTGTACATTTTGCTTATAACAACACACCAATTCACCCTCGCCGTTAACACCCCGGAAAACCTGATTCGTGTTGATACCTTTCTTGCGAGTGTCAACTTGAGTGATCCAAAAGTATTTTATGTCAGGAACAACGTGGATGTAAGTCATTAGCGACCTAGGCCAAACGGGAACGATGATTTCCCGGAAGTCATAGAAAGAGCTAGAAAGTAAATGAAAGCTCGCCGTTTGACTTGGTAAATTGAAACGGTTTTGTAATAATTCCTTTTTTGGTACGTCGAGCGCTTTAATGGGGCGGGGGAGCTCGAGGAGTTAAAAAGAATGTTTTCTTTTGCAATTTGTGACCTCAGGGACATCTTTGGAGCTCTAGCTAGTACAATTAACATCGTCAATTTTCAAATGAATGTTCCCTAACAGTCATCCATTCCGACCACCACACAGGCATGCAGGAGTAGGGTGGCAGCTACAACCTCGCCAAAAACTGGTGAGACACTTTACAAAAATACATATTTTTTGCACTGGTCCTGACAAAAATGCTTACCGTAGCAAATTGAAATTTCCCCTTCCCCTATTCCAACGTTGTTTACGGTAGCAAGTCTAACACCAGAAATGTACGCGTGAGCTGTTAACCCCAAACAACTTCTTTGAACACTGGGTGGGGAGGGGGCGACCTTGTTCCGTTTAGAGGGAATCGTTTCATAGCACGAAATTAATAAATACATGGAAATGTCTGCTTCGTACCCTGACGTTTCTCTCTCGATGTGAACGGTGGGAAGGAGTGGTCTCTTGCGCTTCGTCACCGGTCACCCGCGTTTCGCGCTCTCCTCCGAGATCATGCGAAAAACGAAGCGCCTGAGGAGGAGGCTGTGGAAATGTCTCAACAGTTTTATCCGGGGTTCTAGATGTCTCGGTCAGAAAATTGGACTGATTTCAATTTCAACTCTCAGCGAGTTGCAGAGGATTCTTTTCAGCGTGGTTTTTAGTATGAAGCGTTCGCGCCGCTTACATTCTTGTAGCTTTCTTGTTTACGTACAGTGACTCGCCACATGTAAGCGGGTCCAAAACAGTCTTGGATTCTGGAATCTACACTGTGGATTAATCCGCATTCCTTGTCAGTGGATTTTGGATTACGATTCCAATCGTTAGCGGGATTACGGATTACCTTGATCTGTATGCCGGATTCCAAATCCAAGATGCCAGATTCCACAAGCAAAAATTTCCCGGATTCCAGATCCCAAAGTAAAGATTTCCCAGATTCTGGAATCTGGATTACCTTACATGGTGTGAAGTGAGGTAGACTGTTAACCAGCTCCTTATTCAGATGGTCCGAGTTAATCATTCGGATGGTCAATCAGCCGATCAGTCATTCCCTACTGTAAGTCAGTCACTCGGACGGTTAGTTCGTCTGTCTATCAATCAGTTTTGTCAGTCAAAGTTCCCCTGAGAGTCAGCTAGACAGTGTTTCAATGTTCATATCCGTGCAATTTCATGATGACTAGGGAAACAAATATTATTTTATTCTAGTGCGCATTTTAAATGTCATCTTTGAACATTTCAGGGTGATGTAGTATTTCAAGAAAGTGAAAATGCCTCGTTGCTGGTGTATGTGTCTGCAAACGATGAGGAGGTTGAACGTGTCAAAGTTGAATATAACCTTGTTAATGAAGGGTCTATTGTGGATGTACAAGTGGTAAGACATATATAACACTTGGGTCAAGTTGTGACTAAACAAATTGTCAGTGAAACGTCTGGCAAAACCTTAGATAAAAAAGGAATAGAGAGAGGGAAGGAGCGAAAAAAGTTTTTCTTGCCGATTTCGCCTTTGTCACACAAAAGTAAAGTTAAGTAAGACGCTTGGAATTCAGTTCTGAAAGTTCGGATTTGGACCGTGGCTTCCCTCTAGTCCACACCGTGACTGATACCATTAAACATGTGCCACACGAGGAGAGAGTCGCAAATACACACATTTAGCTGGGTAAACAAACTGTTCAAGCTCACAAACCTTATGAGCCAGTGGGACTGCGGAAGAGGTACATAGATAAACGAATCCAAGCCAAGATCATCAACTCCCAAACTTGCATTTCAGTTAAACCTTAAAAACACAGCAATGAGACTCAGTACTCAGTAGTGACTCAGTAATAAGATCACTTTTTTTCGCGGTACAGTCCAGTTTGGATTATTAAGAAGGAGAGTATGATGGATAAAGGAGGTATCACTCCTTACACTGATCTTTTCCACATATCCTGACATTTACGCAGGATATTACAGGGGCCGATCCAGGATTTTTTTTAGGAGGGGGTGCACTCGTCTCTTGCTCTACTTCAACACCAATAAACCACATAGTTTTTTTTTGCAGAATACAAGTTGCATTAGAAAACCGCAGGTCACATCACTTTATTAGTACTGTATTTACGATATCACTTTAAGGACCACATTTGTTTTTGTTATTCTGGTGGTAAAATGATACTTAAAACTGTTTTTAGTTTTTAGGTACCAATTGTATGTCTCAAATACCTTAATTCAAGTCAAACACATTCAGTTCTCTGTAATTAGCACCAAAAGCAAGAAATTTCAATACGAAGAGGCTATAATACCTGTGTATTTTCTCTATTACTTATTTAGTTTATTGTACCTGAAACAACATTAAACTGGCCGCTAATTGGAGGACTCGCAGGTGCTGGACTCTTTGTTTTAGTCATGATCGTTATCGTTGTCATGGTAATTAGAAAGCGGAAGGGACAGCCTCAGTTCGAAGAGAAACTGGAACTTAGAAACCGTGGACAAGTTGTGGCTGGTTAGTCTGATCAACCTTGTTTCCAGGGCCTCTCATCTTCCCTTCCTCCAAAGCAAGTCAGGGGTTATCCACACTTGGTGCCTGGGGACCAGTGTCTGGTAGTGTTGTTTTACACTTTGAGTACCCTATTTGTGACTGTGTACATAGTTACTCCATTTCGCATTGTCAGACGCCATTTTTAACGACGTACTACAGTGGATTGCCTCAGTCCTTACAAAAACGGTGTATACAGGGATCCGTGCCCACTCTTGAGCCCGAGTGCAAGCTCTCGACCTTGTAATCGGGCACTGGCAGTGTACTAAAATGGGTGCTTGAAAAAAGCGTGTGTTCACATTAGTTTCCAGTGACCTCCGTGCTCGGACACCAAGTGTGAACGCTGCATAAGGCACGGAAAAACAGGCAACAAAAAACGAGCAACTTGTTTTGAAACATTGCTGCAAAACCAGTTGAAAAGCGATGTTGCGCGTTTTGCCACTTATGTTCAAACCTGTTAGCAACCTAATTTGTCGCAAAATAGGTTTTATGTGGGTGGTAAAACGCACAACATCGCTATTTAAATCGTTTTGCAGCAATGTTGCAAAACAAGTTGCACGTTTTTTGTTGCCCGTTTTTCCGTACCTTTACGGACTCCAGAGAACGGTAAGAAGAGAGAGTTTAGGAGTGAGATTGGGTTCTCCTTTTTTCCTTTATCAACTACCAATTTTTTCTCTAGTAGATTAAAATACTCACGCAACAGCTCCAATCTCAACAGGACCTCACTCTTTTAACTTATATCTTGTTGTGTATTTTCTTTAAAAAGGAAAAACTGCTTTCTTTGAAAAGCACGAGAATGATGAGGTTTCAAGCCCTGATGGAAAACCCGCTACACTATGTCGGCGTCCAAAACAGCTCACCCCTCTAATTGAGAGTAAGTTGTCAACGGACGTTAACTTAATCTTCATCGTTAACGTTAAGCCATACAAAATATCTGCTTGCGAATCGAAGTTTTCTGTCTTCTCTCTCTGACCTGAGTTTAACATAGGTGTTCTTCTCTTTCATTTTTCCTACACTGTATAGTGTATTAATTTCATCAGTCAAATCTGAGGTACAACCTACTATGACATGTTCTTTTCATCTTCTTTCATCGAAGGAAAAATGGCAAACTTTGAAAGTCCAAATCCAAAGGATGAAACTGACAGTAAAGTGAACGATAATGGCAAAAAGGAAGACTCCTTAAATGGTCAGCAAGCTAAAGGTATTTCAGCATACTCAACACCGATCAAAAGAAATGGCCTTGATTATTTTAAAACCTTAGAATTTCGTCTGTTTTATTCGACAGACAGACATGGCCACTCTCCAAATCTTCCTCGTCCTGGCAATCCTCGACCCCAGACTTCCAACTTTTTTTCTGCGCGTACAGCCTTCTTGTTGGTCACCTTGATTGCAGTTGCCTTGGCAACAAGCAAGGCCCCTACCGTCAAAATCGTGATTAGTGTACCGGCAAGTTTTGTAAAAAATGGTTCAAAGATTTTCTTTAATGAGGATTTCCACGGAAAGCTGTTACTGTCTGAGGGATTCAAACGGAGAAAACAGAATTTTCAACAGTTTGGTAAGTGGTGATGTAGTAATGAAAATATGAAAAACATACATAGAAACAGCGGTGAATATTCAACTGAAAGAAGAAGCTTTTTCAGTTGCGAAAAGAAAGCCTGAAACAACCTCGATCCCGGGGTTCCCACTTTTGCTCCCTTGAACGTCCTGGGGACCAGGTTGAGCCAGAAAAAATTTTCAGGCTTGTATGGAATTTGTACCCTTGACCCCTACTATACAAGAGCAGCGCTCTAATTGAGCCAACAAACCCAAATGAGAGCAGGTCAATGACATTGAGTTAGTTCGTTATAAACCATGGAAAGGTAAGTGGAGACATAAATTCAAATAAATTGAAACTCGCTAACAGTAGGTCTGTTTGGATTAATCGACTGTTTGTTTGGTTTTGTTTAGCTGTATCGCAGGCGTCCAACAAAGTGTCTTCTCTTGATCCTTGCCATGGATCATGCAAGTTTGCTTGTGACGTTCAAAGCAGACAGTGTATCTGCCTTAGAGGATATAAAATGAAAGGAGAGAGTTGTCATGGTATGACAAATGCTTGTTTTACTTTTTTATTATTGCGGTTCGAGTTTTTCTTCATCAGTTCCCGTTAGACAGAGAAGAAGGGGCGATAGATCGCTATCATATAGTAAGGTGGACACCCCTTTGGTAAACTTCACTCGAAGGCAAAGGAAAAACCCTGAAGGAAAAACTCGAAAGTCTTCAATGTTATTTTTTGTGCAAAATCAGTTGCGAGATTAATCAGGAGACATATTCTCAAGCCCTGACCCTAGCCTTAACTTGTGTTCAGCCTTTCCATAACAACGATAAACATTTAAACCACAAAAAAAGAATGAAATATTGTAAATACTGCTTACGTACAGATGTGTACGAATGCAGCAGCAACAAGCATAACTGTCATGCGCAATCCACATGCAGCAACACCGACGGTGGATTTACGTGCACCTGCAATGATGGCTATTGGGGAGACGGTGTTAAATGTTATGGTACGTTAAAATTAGAAGCTTTGATCGCTTATATCCTTTACCGAAGACAATTTATTCTGTAGATGTAATGTCAGTCTAGAGAACTCGCTGTAACAGAGCATTTTTTCCCTGTCTACCATCTTTTGCGCGCACCAGATAACAAGAAATGCCTTGTAGCAGTTTAGTATATACCGAAATAAATCCTCTGAATCAGAATTTGGGGGTGAATTGCAAATTGCTTCACATAACTTTACAATTATCTAGTACCAAGAGCCAATCACTCCTTAGAGTTCATAGGTGTCAGTGGGTTAGAATGTCAGTCTATTTTGATTTGAAAGTAGCTGGGTTCATAGTGGCTCAAACAATGCAGCATGACAGAAAGGCTTCTTAGTCCTCGCTTCCACATTTTTTTACATAACAGTTAAATTTTTGTCACTTGATACTTCGCTCCTCTCGTTCATTCTACTGATCTCTGATTGGCCGAGAGGTTTTTGGCTCGATCTATAAGTCTATAAAAGGTGGTAAATAATTCATCTATTTTGTGTTATTCCTCTCAACCTTGGAGTCAGGTTTGAATTTTGATAATTTGAAACTGGCCTATTACGTTTCCTTCTAGGTTGTACAATCAAGCCGTGCCAAGAAGGGTTCTACCTATCTGCGTCATGCACCCGAACACGTGACCGAGTTTGCACAGGTTAGATGTGTTACCTGCTGGCAAAATAATTTTCGAAGTATGCCATGATCTGATAGTCTTTATCACCCTTTTTTATCACTGTATTACTGTGGCAATGTAGTGTTATCATATACCTTTAACACTTTCACTGCCAGAGTGAATGATGGAGCCTAGCGTTTGAGTCGATGGTCAAAGTCCAATTATGTGACCATTCAAATGAAATCTATTTGGCAATGCTTTCACTCGGCAATGTTGTTTTCCAGCATTTTACGAGTTGATAATGTTAAGCTAGCTTTCAGATTGATTAGTGCTCTTAATGCCTAAGCAAGCTGATTTGACTCATTTTGTTTACAGCTTGCACCCCCAAATGTGACGGGACGACATACCAAGCTTATGGCTGTGGATTAACGTTCGATCGGAAATGTGTCGGTAAGGAATCACAGTTCGCCTAATCGGGTAACGTTAAGATCAACATTCTTCGCGTAATTTGTATCGATGTCTTGCCATTGGAACCAGAAAAAATTGAAACGTTCAGTTACACAAAACGTGATCTGTAACAACCCCTAAAAGAAAGTAGTTGTCTCTCATACGGTTAACGTAATGCAACGCTAGCTGCGAAAGAATGTCCTGTGCTCAATCAACAACCAATGTACGTCTTGCAACATGGCCGCTTCAAAGGGTCTAACAATGGGAAATTTGGATGTTTTCTGTTGCAAGAGAATTGGAGAAAAATCTGATGTGACAGCGCCTGAGCGCGCGAATGCAGTCATGATGTTAAAGCCATTATTACATATTATCCTATTTAATGCTTTATTTGTTGACAAGACGTTGCGTCAGCGGCCTAAAATTAAGTAATTGCGATTGAAACGATAATGAAAAAAATAATAACAACACTGAGGAAAGTTTAGACAGACACTAAGGTTCTTTTTTGTTGATAGTCTATATAGCCAGCTATTAGTTCCTGGGACCAGTTACATACATCTTAAATGGCGTCGGACGTTCAGCTCATTCAGCGTCTAGTTTGATGCAACTAGCCCCTGGTCTTACTTTCAGCATAACAAAGTATCCTCAATTTGCTTTATGTGGCTTCCGTTATAGATATTTCCAGACCCCTAACCTTAGCCAGACCTTCCAATGACAGTAATTTGCATGAAGGTAATGTGGAACTTTAATTCTTTTTGCTGAGATGATTACGTCAGTTGCCAAAAAAACGTGTGCTGATGCCTTCTTTTTTATTTAGTTCGAACAGGTTCCAGACTCGTCGTTCTCAAACCCACAAAAAACATGGTCCTTCTAGAGGATCGTCTGCAGTTGGATAGCCAAAACATAACCTTTGTACTGAAAGGTAACTCCCCAAACAGGACTCGTTTGAATCGGAACTCAAGCTTCTACGTAGACTTGGAAATTGAGCAAGTCAACCTTGTTCCAACGTACACTGATTATGATGCATGGAAGTCAAATGAAAATCTCAATTTTGTCTATGTACGTGGATTTCCAAAAGTCTTCAGCAACTATTGCCGCTATCCAGCCCCGAATCACTACGCTTTAAAACATAACCTAGAAAAAAATCGACAGACAAAAGTGTTCCCGGCAAAATGTTTTGAACACTCGCTAGGTCTCTGCCCAAGCAACACAGCCCCTGGCGAAGTCTACTACTACAGATCCATAAACGATGCATGTATCACTGCCAAAGACGCTCGTATTTGTCGCAAAGCCAACCAGAGCGAGTGTAGACTGAAAGAGGACCCTAGTAAGCTATATTGCACGAATTACACAAAAATTGTGACCGATATATTCAATATCAAAGAGTCTGACTTTGTCGATAACCCCTTGGATACATTTCCAACGAGCTTCTGCAGCGACGCGTATCGAGCGTGCCTTGTGTGCAGAGAATTGTGTTCAAATTGTGACTCTACCTCAAACAGCCAAGGCAGCAGCTCCTGTTCGTGCTGTTTCAAAGGATGTTTGAGACACTGCAGGAATTACTACAGCAGGGACTGTACTCCGGAGCCTAAGCAGTGCGCTGAAGGGGATACGAGCCAGTTTACTCTGTCAATGAATACATCAGTCAATTTGAATTTACAGTTCAACTGTTATCTGGAGCTCAACCCTCCGGAGACACTGTATTCTCTAAGATATCGTGTGCAGCACGAGAGTGGGCGATTCATCTCCTCGTGGATATCTAAAACCTTGAAAACGTCGCAACTAGACGGCTATCCTTACTCAAACATACAAGAAGGAACGCATCACCTAGACTCATTAGAAATATCACACTCGACAAATTTTGACACATCTCCCGTTATTTACCTTCGAGGCCAAAGAGAGTCTTTAAAAACACCTTATAGTTATAGGGTATCGAGCTTAGTTGACGATGATGATGAAACATTGGGAAAAGCCGATGCGGATAACACCATACACTTTCAAACTAAGACACCGTTTTCGTTGACTACAAGATCTTGGAGCAACGGTGAGACCTGCCAAAAACTTGCTGACTGGCCCCAAACTCTTCGCAAACCGTATAGTAATCTGAAACCCGCAAAAGTGGAACATTTAGGCGTGCAAGGAAAAGGCGAGTCCTTGTATCAGATACGAGATCCTCACCGACCTCCTTCGATGACCGTGAGGATTTCCGATGATGAGTCTCTTTTCAAATATATTTTGAGGAACGCGAGCATCAGCAACGACGAAACATTCCAAAGCGTTTTGTCACGAAGTAATACCAGTTGGAATTTGAAGATATCTGGTGTTTTAACAAGCTGCCCTGGTTTCTTCACACTTCAAGCCATCGATGAAGTTGACAGCGTCAAAGTTCTTGATCAAGATGTGGTAATAATTTGTCCTGAAACCCACTTCAAACTAGAAATTCATGTTCCAAGAAAGAATTCGCAAGACAAAGAAAGATTGTTCAGTGTATATCTGTCTGATGCAAAACAGAAACTGAAACTTCAGCTAGCCGTTGTTGACCAGCCCTCGAGAAAGGGTAAAGAGCCGGTGAAAAAAAGTGAAGATGAAAAACCAGATCCGTGGTTAACCTTAATGCCTCTCTTTGTGGTTACTGGATGCATACTATTATGTTTGTTTGCGATTATGATTTATGCACAAATTACTCACAAGACTGACGAAGATGTAAAGGACGGTCCACCCGGGTGGAAATTTGTCAAAACCAAAGACATCAAGACTGTAAGAACTGAAAGCAGTGGGAAGAAGACACAACCCAAAGATCCAAACAGGCTTAAAAGAAGGCATCTAATTTTAGTCTTATTTTTCGTGTCATTTAGGGTTGTCTATAGCTTAATTTTTACATTCTCGATGGCGTTTGCGATTCTGACACTTCTTCACGGACCTAATATGAAAATAATTGAAGAATACCAGGAATTCGTCCAGAGCAAAGTAGACGAAAGCAATGCCATTGCTTTACAAATGGATCAGCACCGCGAAAAAGAGGCAAAACGCAATTTAGAGTCCAGTGAAGACATTCAGAGATCGTGTGACTTCTATCTGGGACTACAGCTTCAGTGGCTAAGGTACAACATGACTTGTTTGATCCAGGAGAACCACTTAAAAATGTTTAATAAGCTGAGCCAGAAAATTGTCAGAAAAGTAACCGAAAAAATTCAGGCCTTAAAGAAGAAAATTGATCAGCGAGTGAAAGCCTTCCAAGCGAGTACCAGAGGAAAGCTGAAAGACACCAAAGAAAGATTGAAAAACTATGGAAGAAGAGTGTACAACAATGGATGGTTTGCCTTACCTAAAGGAGCCTATAAAGTGAAGAAAGCGTTTGGAAGAAAAAGAAGAGAAACAGCAGAAGGCGATAATTATCAAAAGATTACGCAATTACTCAACAAGAGTGAAGGAACCACAGGATTTCGTTGGAGAGCTCGAAATGCCTTTCGAGTTAGAGTCAAACGCAGCATAGCTGACAGTTCCTTCATCGGTTTTCTGGACTTCATTGGGGCAGTTGATCAAGATAAGTTGGTTGAATATGAGAATAACATCAACGCCAAGCTTCAGTACGCCAAAGATGGACTGGCGGATTTTAACGACGTCCTCAAAACAGGAAAGTCCCCTGAACATCCACTTAGTACCATACTCATGTGTCCTTTGCGTTATATGCTAAGCTCTGCAAAGAAGCAGTTGAAAAGTGGAATACAAAAGCTTGCGGACGAGGGAGACGAGTGGATAAAAGCTAGGACCGAATGTTTTAGAGGCAACACGAGTGATTTCTTTGCGGCTAACGAGTCCACACCAGAGTTAAGCGTTAGCGAGACAAATTCCAGTTTCTTTTCCGAGCGTATTAGTTACGAGGAAGTGGATGGCTTAGACGGATTCGGAAACATTTCCAGGGTGAATAAATCTTCTCTAATCGAATCAGCACGGGGAGGCGCCTACTACAATATCGAAAAAGGAGATGTTATGGAGGAACAGGTGGACAAGCAAAAGGAGGAATTGTTAGAAGAAGAGGGAAAGTATAAAAACCTTACTAAGGCGTATGATGCCGATGCATTTATAGTCACCAAGAAAGCAGTTTTGGGTGTTCTTGTTGTTATCGATATTCTCCTTTTAATATATAGGGGATCGAAAACTTACCAGATGGCTTTCAGATTAATTCAAGGGTTCGAAGAAACTGTGAGGCACGATGAGGATGAATTCGAAGAAAAACCACCTGCTATAAAGCAACGAGCTGAGAGATTGTTCCGAAGGGTCGTCGACTTCGTAGTCGAGAGATTCTCTAAGTTCCTCACATTTTGCAAGACACTTCATAAAAAGATTATGCGAACAAATCTTCTTCCGATGTGCGTAATAATTGTTACTTCTGGTGCTGTTTTGTACTTGATTATTGCTGTTGTTTTCAACGTTATGAACGTTACGGTTATTGAAGAACTAGGTGGCTACGATTTGATTTCGTCCCGCCTTGATACCGACTACAACTTTACCAACTTGGCTATTGCCGATCAAGTTGACTTTATAAATAATAACGAAATGCGACTGTACAAGGAGTCGGTAAACGAGACCTTGTCTGAGTATAAAAGAATGACAGTGGATTTCAACCAGGAACAACGAGAACGCATTGAGCAGTTTAAACGTCAGATGTGTTCTCTAGAAAATGACACAGACGCGTGCTTGAAGGGAATGCCGGAGTTATCTGCATCGACTCTGAAGTTTGATCCACAAACCTGTATAATACCCAAACTGGAAGGGACGCCTTATGAAGATTACGATGGAGAAGCTTATCGTCAACGACTAAAAAAGGAATCCAAACGGTTTGTTGACGCCGTTCGAAACATTGTCCTGGATACCATATACTTCATCGTGAGTGTCGTATTGTCGATTATTATGATAGCTGTTCTATCTTACGGGGTGTTTGTCTTTCTCAAGTCAAGAGGAATGGTGCGAGTAAAAAAGATCCATGTATACAAGTCATTGCCCCCAGAAATTTTGGAACAGTTTCATCTGACGTCATCAGAATATATGGACGAACAAGATGGTAGCAAAACTACAGACGCCGGTCCTAAGAAGTTACAGGTTCCCAAGATTTTCCTCACGGAATCTAAAGAAGATTTAAGAACCAGAGAGTCCGAGGCATGAAAGTCCCAACCCTTCTAACTGGAATGGTCATTGGATTTAGAATTGACTTTTTCAGAAGAATTTGTTGTGAAACTTCTAATTTTTCATAGTAGTCTCTGTTTCAAGATGTTTGATGTTACTAAAAATTCTACTTACTTTTATTGATTCCATTTGAGCTCTGCAAACAAACCTTTTCCTTCCCATACATTACTGTATATACTTGTATAAAAGTTGTATATTTTTACATATAAAGGATTACTTTGAAAGGTGAAACTCTTTACAGCTGTTTTTAAAGGAACAGTATCCCGTTACTGCGCATGCACCAAACTTTGATTTTTGGACAGGATGTCGCGAAATCAAAAGATGCGAGGAGAGTAAGAGAATCTTGAAAAATCCGTTTGCATCGCGCTTGGCCGGGTTCAATACGACACTAAAACTTCTCAGGATTATAGGTCAATGATATATTGTTCCTGTTAAGTTTCGATTTGGGCAAAATCTGGATTTTTTGGCGTTACTTTTATTGCCGTTGGCCGGAGGACCAAAAGATTGGAAGCACTTTGATGCCGATTGAAGGCTTATTTCTTCTGCTAGCTTCCATACAAGCTCAGATAATTGTGAAAGGAATACGCAGAAATGAAACAGCAACAATAAAGACTGTAAGAAAGAAACCGTTGAGACATTGATGTGACTGAGGAGATCTTGTGGAGGGGAGCTTCGTGAAGCAGAATGTTTTGCAACGACGCGTTAGTAAACTTTTAAATGAATCTCCCTACGGCCGACAAAATCGAACAAACAGGCGCTACATGTTTTGAAAAACTAGTGACATGAAATCGTAATATCATTTTTGACTAACCTTTGTGATGATTCATAGCGTTGAGATTGCATTTTTATTTATGTCTTTCAAACGTTTGAGGCTAGAACGCGAGCAAATCAGGCAGATATTACTGGACTTGGAGCTATTGACCTCTGACACGAGTTTCAAATTAGAAAATATGTTTTTAAAGCGAGCGGAACGAGATTTTCGGGTCGCGAGGCGGCCCAGCTAGCGATAAAATCGCGATGAGTCTTCGAACCGCGAGCCAAATTTTTATATAAGACGAAAGACTTCTTCGAAAGTCTAAAATATTACTTGAGAATATAAACAACAAATCTCTGTCGGCGGTGCGGTCCGGAAGGAAATCTTGTCGAGTCAATTTGACAGTTCTATTGTCTTTTGAAGAAAAAACAGATGACTCTCGCGCGTGCGCATAATCGGGACACTGTCCCTTTAAGTACGTTTAGTTTCTTGAATTTTAATTAGTCGTACTCAAATTTCAGCCTAGTCCCCAGGAGTTCCGTCTGCTCGACGTCACCGAGAGAGACTCGCCGAGCACCCTTTCCCAAACTTCAAGAGGACAATAGGGCCAGAGAGAACGCCAAAGGTCTAGGTTGCTCGAATTTTAAAAGATGATAAAAGTGAACCGTGAACATGATAGCTCAGATTTCTTCATGCCTCAACAGTGATATACAGCACCAAGAGCGTTGACGTCCCTAGTAGACTTGAACAATAACAACCGTAGGTTTTTCTTTTCTCTCTTTCAGTACTGTGACTCGATAACGTTATGCTAAGAGAGCGAAATTGAAAACTTTGAGTCAAGAACGTTGTGTCAGACAGAACCGTTCATTCAAGCAAAACACCAATCTTCTGGTTGCTACAACCAGTTGCAAAAATGTTAAGACACTCCCAAGGAGAAACGACCTTTCTTGCTTCAAATCGCTCCTGGTCACACGTCTGTAAAATATAATACTGACCTCCCTCCTCCCTCCCACTCAAAGTTGTTCCTCCAAGTTTTGAGTAGGGTCTTGTATTGCTAGCAACTTTGATAAGGGGGGGAAGGGGGATCACAAGCACAAGATCATGGACAGGCCATTTATGCCAAAATACGGTACAGTGTCTCAAGTACTTTTGCAACTGGTTGTAGTTTTGTCCGGGCGGGGGTCGTCAGCGCACTTAGCTTGTTGTTAAAGCTCGCTAACGGAAAGCTAACACGGACCCTCGTCTATTGAATATACGTACAGTTAATGATACTTGTATTCTGGGTAGAACGTATTCCGTAGAGCGCTCAATTCATTTAATTGAAGAGCATTGACTATTAATATCGTTGAAGTTGCCTGATGAGTGTGGTCCTACAATTTCGGACCATACGAAACAGCACTGTCGCAATAAACGATCAATGATTACTCCTGAAGCCTGAACTCCTGTGATTATTACAGTTAATGATATATATATCTCTGTGAGTGAGTAATCATATAACAAATGGTTGGCCTTCACTAATTGTAAAGAATCGCACACTCGCAGAACTCGTGTGTTGATATAGTTACAAGAATGGCGTTTTCAATCCTCGCAGTCGATGTACATATAAAACTTGGGTAGTAATGTCATGCTAAATAGGTTAGGCTAAAATTCTGCCTAACAGGCGTAACAAAAATCTTTTAATTTAACGGAGAAATAGTTTTCCTTTTTACCACTGAGAAAAAAATTCCTTTAACTACTTTTAATTAAAGTTGTTTTTTTCCACTGCTGTGAATACAGACTGTTCCAGTCTATACGTCGTGATAATAGAATAAGTCAGGAAATAAAAGCCTATTTTTAAATACTGCGCTGGAATTTATCACAAAGTGGCAGCACGAGACCTCAAGCCGGAAAGGTGTAGTGTCTCAGTGTTACGAGAAATTTTGCGAGTTTTGTTCATACTTCACTAAAATTAGGAAGGGTGAACTCGGTTCCTCGTACGTAGACGGTCTCTCTCTCTCTCGAGATAAAAATTTGCGGGAAAAAGGAGGCGGGAAGGAGAAAACGGGCGAGACCCGCTTCGCCTCTCTTCTTTCTCCTTCCCATGGTTCCTTGCGATTCGTCACCAGTCTCGCGCTCGCTTTATGCGCAACTTGCACATCTCCCATGCACCTTATTTGCCCCCGAAAATTTTGCATAAGCATTGTTTTCAGTTTCTCTTGGTACGGCTGTAATACCCAGGAGAAATGAAAAAAAAAAAAAGGTTATGCAAAATTTTGGGGGGCAAATAAGGCGAATAATGGCAGATGTGCAAGTGACGTAGGCGAAATACGAAGCGTCTGAGGAGGAAGAAGGAGCACTCTGATGTGCGATATCCTCCTTGAACAAAAGGAAAGAAAGTCATTAACAGTAAAGTTTTAATACGTTTTGGTTTGAAAAGTGATTTAAAATTCTCCCTTGACCAATTATTACGTTTTGCTGTGATTCTTATCACATTTTTCGTTAGTATATATTTTGCGGCGCTGATTATTCGGCTATGCTAACAGTTTATTAAGAATCAAAGGAGAATAAAAGAGGAGAATGTCCCCCTTTATGCAACATATTCAGACTAGTTCTTAAACCTGAATCATAGCGGGGGAAAGTGATTAGAAGTGCTCGCATAAAATCAATAAACTGAAGGAGTTTCATATTTATCGCAACTAAAATGTTAAAATATGGCTAATTTCCATAAAATCTGGCAAAAACGCGCGCTTTCAATTTGGCGCTCACGTTACCGTCGGTCATTGTTATCCTTTTCCCGAATAGGCCATTTTACCGTTGTCTGTACTTAGTGTCCTGGCCTTTGAACAGAAGCGAGGCTAGAGATGACCAGTACCTTTCTGTTTTTCACATGCAAATGTTCATGAAAGCAGAAAGTTTTGTAACAAAGCAAGGTTTACGTCACCCCCGGCTAAGGGGCTTGGAACCAGACCAGGGTGCTAAACACACAACTGGTTGCCATAACTCGCGTTTTAACCCACCAATAGCACACTAAAGTCTAATCCTGAATAAGCAGCTAAGGGGAAATCTATTGACAAGTTTACGGCTAAAGGCTAAGGCCCGAAGTGTTCGTAGTAACACTTGCATTTTTTAAACTTAACAGTGAGTAGTAATTAATATAGGAAAGAACTGATCACAGCTAAAAATGATGTGAATGAAATACACAGATACAAGTAATTGCCACTGAACATCCCAACGACTTTATAACCGGCATAAACCGGCGTCACACCTCAATTAAGCGCCATCCTCACTGAAGGGAGAAGTGGCAGCTTAAAGAGAATGATACTACTAATAGAGAGCTTAAGCAACAGCGTTTTTGAGCGACGGACGTCAACCGGAAGTGGACTTTTTGCATCATTGGGTAGTGGATTGGTTCAAACTCTCGGGCAAATCGTTTTTATAAGAGAAAAGAAACTTAGCAATACAAATTTGTTAGAGTCAAGGCATATAAAAGAGAAGAAGGCCTCACTTCCGGTTGACGTGCGTCGCTCCAAAACGTCTTTGCTTAAGGTCCCTAATAATAATGACGACGACGACGATGAAGATGATGATGACGATGATGAATTTTATCATTTGGAAGAAAATCCTTTATTTCAATATTTATTTACATTATTTACAAAAATATAATCTTTTTGAACTCAAAGAAAACTTAAAAAACTACTGTACATCATAAATATCGCAGCAGATACTGTCTCATTTACAGATTAAATATTGAAAAGCGTCTCTCTCATTGAATATGATAAACAATCAACTAGACTATATACAGATTTTTGGATCCAAAAATCAAGATTTCTTTCCAGACTTTTTTCCAAAACATTAATTTATTTTTCCAGACTCAAGGTTATCAAATAGGTGATAATTAGAGAACTTAAAAAACACAGGACTAAACAAAGCTTTTTTCATGATGCGCTGCAAACCAGACTGAATAAGATTTGACCAAAACGAAAAAAAAAATCACTTATAGAGCTGGGCAAATTTCAAGACTTTTTCAAGAATTCAAGACTATGTACGAACCTGTAGAGTTATAACAAAAGAAAAAAAAAACAAAATGTTTCTCCCTCTGTGATAAAAAAATTCCGTTAGCGCTTAACGCCGCTTTCCAATAAGTGTTAAAAGAAAAATACAAAACTTCAATGATGGATAAAATATTAAAAATATTGAAAAGTAATACTTATTTGTTAAAAAGATAAGTCTTGGAATTTTTTCCTAAAGTCATAAATTGAAGCAAGATCCTATTTCTGGAGGCATATCGTTCCACAGTTGAGGGGAGGAGATGCCAAAAAGATGGAAATGAATAAAGACCGAAAACCACATTAATGCAGATTGTATGCAAAATCGAAAAGACGACTACAGTAACATAGTATTGCAGTGTTAATAATAATTTACTGATACTTTGTCTGCCGGGATTCCATCCAGTAACTGGCCACTAAATAGAATGTGTCCCCCAATCAATAGAGGTTCAACTGTAAATAAGACAAATCTATCACGCCCTCGACCAATTTGTACGATGTCCCATCTTTCGTCTCAAGTATAAATCGACTTTGTTGTATTTACAGAATACGTTATATGAAATCATGGATTGCGTGTACGGCAGAGAAACAGACTGTACTACTTGACCCACTGAGTGCTGTACCCCTCTCGGACAGTAGGGCCAAATTTTCTTCTCATCTCCTCAGACAATTGAATGGGTCTGATCTCTCTTTCGATTTGTTCCGATGAGGGATATTTAATGCAATGGGGAACAGCCATTTCTCTAGTGAGGTCTTGATTGGTCTGGTAGTGTTTTACTTGCCGTACAAGATCAAACTTTTTAAGCAACAGGAACACAGCGATGCCCAGGATTTTGAAAACGATGAAAATTCCGATAACAATTAAGATCATGTAGAAAGTATCCAGGATGAGACCTTGGAGAGCAGCCACGTAAGGTGATATCACCTTCTTGTGCCTCTCTTTATAGCGGAATCGGTCGAACTTGATGAATCTGAAATTAAAGAAAACTGTTAATCAAGAACTTTACTTAGGTATCAAGAGACATAAATACGGTTTTTTTCGCCGCAATTTCATTACGATCTGGTTTCCAAGCTTCTACTCCACCGTACATTAGTCACTTTTTAATACATATGTGCCCTAATTACTCAGACTCGCCTCCGTTGGCTAGGCAACGGAAGAACAGGAAACTCATGATGACTGAATTTACAAAGAGGTATGACGTGGATTATGATGCTTTAGCTTGCTGCAGCATGTTCATGTTGCTTCCGATGAAGGTGAATTAATGATGTTATGAAGATGATAACGATTATGGTGATGAAGACGACGACGATGATGATGATGGTGATGATGATAATGACGATGATGAAGATGGTGTTGATGGTGATGATGATGGAGATGATGATGTTGACAATAGTGATGATGGTGATGACGATAATAATGATGATGATGACTATGGTGATGGTGATGATGACGATGATGATAATTATGATGATGATGATGATGAGGAGGAGGAGGAGGAGAAGGAGGAGGAGTAAAAATACGGTAATCACCTTTGAGCCAAGACAGGTTCTAAGTTACATTCAAACTGAGTCAAGTTATCGAGGAAGCCCTGATTATAAGCACCAACTCCTTGGCAACTTTCTTGTTCTCTCCACGAGCAATACTCCTCATTGTGCAGGTCAGCCTTAGAGCATTGGTATGCTTGATACATTTTAGCCTTTTTCCTGTAAAAAGCAATCCTAGCATTCACCCTGGAAATGAAAGGATAAAAACATGGGCTTTTTCAGCTTGGAAGGAAGTTCTCTCTCAGTTCGGCACGTTGTATCATTCTCGGTAAGCAAAAGGGTAGCTGACAAGAAGCCGTTCTAGGCATTAGGCAGATTTAGCAGAGACAGCGCAACCTTGTAAACTCAAAAGCGCGCGGAGAGGACTAAACAAAATCGATTCTGACAGAATAGTCTACTTCGTTAAAAAGTGATAAAGTTTTTTGTCTTCTATTTGTTTACCTCTATGCTTCTTTGCAAAAGTAGAACGACTTTGTAATCCCGGGCTTACTTCCCTAAAGGCATTCGTACCTAGTCACGCATCCTTGTAAACCATAGGGTAGTTCGTTGGGCGAGTTATTTAACCTTTCAGACCCTAATATCAACATTCCACTCTGTGTAAGGGAAATTTGCTTGTGGAATCCGAAATCCTGGGTTTTGGAATGCAGAATACAGCTCAGGGAATCCGGAATCCCACTAAAGATTGGAATCCAGAATCCAAGCTCTACTGAAAAAGACTGGAATCCAGAACCTGGAATCCGGAATCCACAGCGTGGAGTCCAGAGTCCAAGACTGTCCTGGATTCCCTTACATGGGACTAAACATTTCAATTCTTATTTGTTGCCCTAATACATACGCTACAAACGAACTTCATTTTGATTGATCATCCACTTAACCCTTTAAGTCCCAAAAGTGACCAACGTCAATTCTCTCCTAACTATATCAATACACAATCAACCGAAAAGGTTGTGAGAATTGATAAAATAATCACCTAAGAGAAAATGCTTTGATCTTCTACCAAATTCTCTCAACTTGTTTTTTTTATGGAAATTTATAGAGACCAGTTTGGAGAATTTGTATGTGGATATTGGGGCTTATGGTGACCACTTTTTTCGGTCCTTCGGGCCTCATTTTGGTCTAAAAATAAGGGGACGGGGCGGGCCCCTCGGGCCCCTTCCCTAAATCCGTCACTGATTTCCACTCGGGTGGTTTGTGTAAATGGTAAATACCCTAGAACTAGGTGCCCCGCGTAACTCAGTTACCTGTTCTCGTAGTAGGGAATGTGGACCTCATTAACCAAAAACGCACTCGAAGTTATTCGTGTATTGACAATCTTTCTCATTGTTAGCAGAGGTGCCATCTTGAGGTCGAAATATCCAACCACTTCCAACGTTTCCACGTTCATGGAGTGTTTAGCGGTTACTATGACAACATATACGGACAAAATGGCAATCACCGAGAGCACGCACATCGGAACCAGATTGGTGTTGTTGATCTAAGGAAGAAAAAATGTCAGAAAATGATCTGTTTAGTTCGTTTTGGGCCCTCCTCTGGACAGGAACGTTTCATGTTTTATATATGTTAAGGTTGTCCTCACCCCACTAGCAGAGACTTAATTTCAATTACTCGATTTTGTCGTACTCGAGAAAGACTCTGCATGAACCGAGTATGATATTTGTCGAGCATGCGCGGAATGTTCCTAGGATTTAGTTTCGAACACAGGCCTAACAGCCGCGCGCTTGGAACAGCGGGCTCAGTTATGACTCAGTTATGACCTTGCTGTAATAATACAGCAAGGTGCCTCAAAGTGTGACCTCCTTTAATTAGTTCAAATTCTTTCATGCAAACATTAACCAATCAAAAGACGAGGGCAGTTTCCAGCTGACTTCTAATTGGATTGAATCTGCACGAAAGAATGTGCAGTATGTGAATAAATCAAAAGCAGTCACACTTTTGAGCTCCTTGCTGTAATAAACGGATGCTCGCAATCGAAAAAATCAGTTTGACGACTTAAAAAACAAGATTGACTTGTCCAAAAGTTGGGGGCTGTGGCGACCTCAAAGGTTTGACGCGGTTCAGGTAGAACGTCCTTTTCTCCTCCTCACTCAAGAAGACAGAAAGAGGCTCTGCTGGTAGGATGGGCCGTTCTCGGCAAGCATATTGATCAGTCGACCCAACATCATCGTGTATATAATGAGGGTTACCGACTGATGAAACTACAGTCCTCGCATCTGTGCTGCGCATTTTACCGAGTCCTTGGTAAGTACATCTGACAGGGTTCGTACTCTTTTGAGTTCTTCAAATTCCATGACTTTTCCATGACCTTTTCTAGTTTCCCATGACCTAAGATTTAGCTGTCACTTTCGAAAATTTTCAAAACTTTACTTGTTTGAGTATTTTTTTTTTTTTTACCTTTTAAAACAGTTCAACAGAAACAAACTCTGGCATCCATCAAAATGCGTGCCGTTCGCGCAGTCTAATTACTCCTCTTTATCTTACGTTATCCTTACTTTGCCATCTGCAGTATCTAATCTACCAAACAAAACTTTAATATTTCCATGACTTTCAAGGACCGACAATTAAATTCCACGACTTTCCAGGCCTTGAAAATGAAATTCCTAAATTCCATGACTTTCCAGGTTTTCCATAACCTGTACGAACCCTGTCTGAAAACACAAAACCTTAACTCACCTGATAATTCAGTTCTTTGAGTTTGACAAGGAACTTAACAAATGCTGTGTTTAGTAGATCAACTCCTTTAAGACCATGGTTAATCCCCTTTTTCCATTTAGGTTCGTCTTCACTAAACTTACTGGAATTCCTCGGGGTCTCGGAGCCATCGATTTCATCTTGTTCATTGACTATTTCTTTTTCAGTGGGTTTTGTATTTACATCTTGTTCGGAAGTCACATCACGAAATTCTGTTGTTTTCTCTTCTCTCTCTGTATTTATTTTGTTCTTGCCCTCGTTAAACGTTTCTTGCAGATCAATCGAATTTTTGCTACAATCAATCGCCTTCCCTTTGTCTTTTTCCTGTCTGGCTTTTTTCGCATTTTTCTTCTCGAGGTTGTCTTCCTTTGTCTTCTTTTCTTTCTTTTCCTGATCCTTCTGTATACGATCCAGCTCTTGAATCTTAGTTTCCAAATTTATTTTGTCTTTTCCCTTGCCAGATCTTTCCTGCAGCTGAAGAGAATTTTCCTTACCATCAATCGTCCTTACATCTTCATTTTCCTTTCTCGCTTTTTTCGCACCTTTCGGTTGCAGCTTTTCTTCCTTTTTCTTCTTTTTCGAATTTTCTTTCTTTTCCTCTTCCTCCTGTAGATGTTCTAGCTCTTGAATCTCAGTTTCCCCATTTATTTTGTCTTGCCCCTTGCTGGATTTTTCTTGCTTCTCAATAGAATTTTCCTCATTCCCATCGTCATTTTCGTTTCTCGCTTTCTGTTGCAGTTTGTCTTCCTTTTTCTTCTTTTTCTTTTCTTTTTTTTCCTCTTTCATCTGTATTTGTTCCAGCTGATAGATCTTGGGAAAGCCGTGAATAAGTACTACAGCGAGTTGATACGTTTTGCTGTGGCGATAGATAAACCACAAACTGTCCAAAACTATTAAAATGACGGTGAACATTCCGCTCTGGTACAATTGCACGATCCAGTCCAAAGCAAGCAATTCTTTGGCCCTTCCTTTGCTAAAAGGACTGGATATGTTCAGTTCTGGGACGGATATTTCCTTGATGCTTATTCTTGTATCTGATTTGAAAACATCTTCGATAAAAGAGGAGTTTGATTCTGAATCGTGGGGAGTTAAGGAGCTCAAGGCGAAATCGTCGAAAAGATCATCGAAAGATGGCAGGCTGACGTGAATGTTCGGAAAACTTACTGATAGACCAACCCAGCGGATAAAAGGTTTCATGCTTTTTCCAAAAGTCTTCGCAATTCCGTTTAAAACTTTGTACAGTCCGCGTGCTGCTTTTAACCAGAAACTACTCTCGATTTTGTTTTGGATCTGTGACAGCCTTGAATTAAGTTCTCTGGAGTAAGATGACAATTGTTCGTTCATCCGCTTTCTCTCTCTTTCAAATTTCACTCTCGCCTCTTTAAACTGGTTATCGATTCGATGTTTAGCGGCCAAAATAATGTATTTTCTTCTCATTTCCTCTTCCTGCCTTTCTTTCATCTCTTTGAAATATTTCTCCAGAAACATATTCAGCTCTTTTAACTTTTGATCGCAGATCAGCTTTCCTTTGTCAAGAACTGACCACTGGCGGTTAATTTCTTGTACCCTGTGTGTGTCCATCTGTTTCATAAAGGCCCTCTCCAGGTCTTTCTGTTCTTCGTGAAACGTTCTGTATTTTTGTAAGGTCCTTACGTTTGTATAGTGAATGGCAGTGAGGATGACGGAAAACACAGTCAATGTCAGGAGGAAACTTTTCAAAAGTCTCATACCGACAAACCAAACGACGAACAACACATGTCGGAAATGGAGTTGGTTGTCTCGATCGCGGTGGTGTGCATCTTTTGGGCGCGTTTTGTAGCCGTAGATTAAGATTGCAATCAGTACTATAATCATCCCCCCGGCGGCACTGCTGAAAGGAATTAACACTTCAAGTTTTGTGAGGTCAAAGTCGTCGTCAATGTTCGGAATTACGATGTCGGGTATCCCCATTGGACTCACAAGAATAAGCTTCAGGGTTTTGCGCGAATCTGTCAGTCGTACGACGAACTGTTTGTCGATAGAATTAGTGTCTCCACTTGATGGAAGATGAAACTCCACAAGAAATGAACAGTCCTCCGTCGTTATGGCTGTTGAAAAGAAAAGTCAATTAGACTTTATTCAGTCACCATACCCGCCATCTCTGCACCCGCTCTAAATTGATAAGATAAAATAGGTGGTATTTCAGGGGGCAAACAAATGAAAAAAAAAATACCAATATGAGTAAGCGCGGTCGAAGTTTGTTTATTCTTTTAAAGCGTGACGACGATTTGAAATCATGCAGACTTTATAGTTCAAGTTTTGACAAGATTTACGTCATTATTGTTTGCTATGAGGACATCTACGGTCGCTACTGCATCCACAAAAGTAACATTGATCACTTCCAATCATAATTTGCCATTGTCTTCAACATGTAAAGTTCTTTATTTTCTGTTTTCTAGAATAAACAATCTCAACCGTAATTTCTTGCGTTGGCATTTTTTTCAGTTGTTTGCCCCCCTTAGAGACCACACCGATTTTATCCCATCAGTCATTAAGCGCGTGCAAAGATGGTGGGCATCGTGAAAAAATGTATTGTCAGCGATTAGGAACAAAGTTTATCGCCAAAACTGCTCCCGGGGTATTATCAGATTTCGAATCGTGTACGATGATCAGCTTAAAAGATCGGTTTCATGTGTTTCTGCAAATGCATTTCTCTTCAGTGTTCGTAAAACTGAAGGGCAGTGTCAGTTTCAGATTTGAAGTTCAGTGCTCTGGTCAGCTATAACAGTACACTTCTACTTATACTTAGTAGAAAAAAGGTAGAAAATATTTTCAGCCCAGGCGAACACATGTCAGTTTTCCTAAAATTTAAAACTTCCATGAAGGAAGTACAATTTAGAAGAAAAAATTATTTCGAAACGCCTGTAAAATAGATTTCATCAATTCATGCCTTTTTAACAAATGCATTTCTGTCACTTCTCTTCACATTTTCATCGCTACTGTTGACCGCTTGAGCTACAATATATACTGTCCAAGGTTCACATGCACCAACTTACCAACATCGTAATGATAAACTTCCACATCCGGGCGATCTTGGTCCGTCAACCTCACCACGAAAAATCCTGGGCACGAGCTAACGCGTCCTGTCAGACGGATGGTCCAGAATGTTCTGTTCTTTAAAAGCCGTCCAGCGAAAGACCGGTCGTTCAACACCACCGTTTCCGGAAACGCGTATTTCAACACAGAACGTCCCTGAGGCAGCTCAACATGAACATAATGTGAACCGGAGTTGTTATAAACTTTATACACTCGTTCGTTGTGCTCGTAAGCGATCTTTGCTGTAAGACTGGAGAAACTCTGAAAGTTGTTAATCGATCCACTCGGTTTTATGGTGATAAAATTGTCCGTCTCCATGGTTTGGCAGTTTTCTTTGGGCCACGATTTTGAGTTGATTATAAACGGTTCTTTCGGTTGAATGTAAAGCCTACGAGTGGCACCTTGGGCTGACAGCTCTTCCTCCAATTTGTACAACCCCACATTAAATTTCTTGTCACCAGCCTTACCGCTTATCAGGATATCCTTTGTTATGTCGTTTCTCAGAAAGGAAGGGCGCGTCAACACCATGAAGCCATAATCACGTCCTTCTCCAGCGCGTTGACTATTGTTTCTCTCGCTGGTTTCAATTCTCCTCAAGAGCGCCTTGTCTTTCCACACCGATGCTTCCAACTCGAACACGGGACCTCGTGAAATTTCAACGTGGCACTTAAAATCTCCCAGTTTTGGGAAAATGGGTTGAATGGGAAAGGTAAAATGCTTGGCTTCAACGCATGTCACTTGCGATGTAAGGCATGAAGTGTTGTACAGAGAGCATGGGCAGTTACTACAAATGCAATTCGCTTGAAAGCAGCAATCAAAACAATACGTGAAGTGCTCGCCATAATCCTGCTTGTTTTCACGCTGGAGATCTTCTTTTGTAACATTGCATATTGGGTCGTTTCTCGAGAGTGCTGTGCACCTCTCTCTACAGTTGGCACAACTCTGCTTATTGTTGTAGCATTCTTGAGACTTTTCTTCCTTCCAGAGGTCTTCAGGCGAGCTCTTCTCCCCAAACAGCCTTAAAACTGGATTTTCGGCACCATTGCAGGAAAGTAAATTTCTCGTAACTGGTATTTTGGACGGGCTACCGTCATAACTAGGGCAAGGTGACTGCGGATGGCCCTTGATAAACCTTACTTTATCCACGGATTCTTGCACACTAATGTTATAAAAATCTGGAATAGGAGAACCGCAAAAATTTCTCAAAACAGCTTGCGACGTGTAGTCTTTGGACAACATGTCGTTATCGTTAACTCCATGGTTGACTTCTTTAAATGTCGTACTGAAATCCACTCGTAACATTTTTAGCTTAATTGCCAGGCCACTTGTTCTGTTTAGCCACGTTGTCGAGTCTTTTGAGATGTTTAATATAACTTGACTGACCGGTGGATCATCCCTGACCTTGAAAGAGGGAAACAAAAACATTTAACAGAAATTAGAGCGCTAAAAAAGACGGGAAATGGCACAAACATCAGCTTATAGGCTATGCTCCTCTTCAGTGACAGGTTACTTCGCCAGCATAAAGTTTTAGAGCTCCGGTTAAGGTTCAGAGTCTAAACTCACGGATTGTTCAAGTTCAGCTTAGCCTGCAAAGCAGGCGTATTTTGCTGTGCGAACGATGATACAAATATTCTCCGGCCACTTTGGACGTTGAAACCGTCCCACCTTCCTTTGTTTTTCAACTGCTTTTACATGTAAGATGGCGACCGCGGTCAATGCACCCCTAAGCTTTCGTTAAAACACCCCTGCTCTGCAGGCTAAGTTCAGCCAATCCTCTCCAAGGTTTCCTCCAAAAATATTCATGTAACCAAAATGAGCTTAGCAGTCCTGCAATTAATGACTCCTCCCTACGCACTCATCCCGAAAACAGTTACCGATATTCTCAAATTATTTCCGCAACTTTCGGGACTGAAAAGTAGTACCTCACAGGAATTGATCGTGTTCTTACGTAAAGGAATGTGGAGAGGGGTGCCGGTTAATTTACATGGTGATGATTTAGAGTACTCACCTTCAGAACATCTTCGTGGACAACATTTGAAGAAACTTTAATTGGAGGAAGTTGAGAAATGTCTGAGAAATACAATACATACCGATGAATAAATTAGGGGCTATTCCATTAAATATAACCATTCCGTCAAACGAACTACTTTGAAATTTTCCTAGCTCTCAGAAAAATGTTTATTTTCCCCCCAAAGTGCTCAGAAAAATGAATTGCTGAACACATATTCCTTCAGAAAATGTGAGTGATGTGTCCTGATAGATTTTTTTATTTTTTCGGCTTTTCTACTACTCCCCCTCAGAAAATCTGGTCTTCAGTACTACAACCTTCAGAAACTCCATTTTTTGGTTTAAATTTTCAGAAAACTGCGCCCGGAGGTGGGGGAAGGTGTGTATATTTAATGGATAGCCCTAAGGGTACAATGCCGGCGTCAGGCGTGATTGCACAATTGACTTATTTCGACGTACCGGTGCATTTTCTGTCTGTTTTTCCAGCACATGGAGCGGACTCGAATTCTTGAAAGCTACACAGGGGTCTGCATTCTGAAAATAAAAAGGCCAAATACTGTTTATCAGCCGAGCATATTACAGTTACTCAAACAAATGCCCAGCAACCACTTTTAGGTGCTTTTTCTTTAAAGGCAACGCCAACGTCTTTCTGCTTTTCGTGAGAGCAAGCCATTTTTTATACCAATCAAACGATCTCAAGTGATTCAACTTACTTTTGCAGACAGCGGGTTGAGTATGGTTGCACGGGGACACTTCAAAGAAACCTTTCTGGCATTTTTCATCGCACCCTTTAAAAAGCAGAAAATATGATTAATTAGCACAAGCCTGTAAAACCAAAAACCAATCACACCATGGTCCTGCAACAGCGTTACTGCGATAGTGTTATCGTCTTACTGTCAAGCCAGCACGGTACGCTACCCCCATAGATTTGATTAATGACCTGACTATTTTAAAAATTCAATCCGTTAGGTCGTTGCCGCTATCTGGAAACGAAATTTACGCTTACATTCCTGTAAGAGTAGATGTCCAGTATTCAGTCCGAGATAAAAGTTCGTTTTCAGTATACATATATAATACAAGAAGGAATTAATTTTCATACCAGAACGTGAATTTTATTCAGATATTTAAAACCGGAATGAACTCATTCCAAAATGACTTGTACGGGAACAAAATGTTGTTTCGGTATCAACAACTTATTACGGAGAAATACAATGTACCTCGTTCCAGAATCAAGTATGCAAGAATGAAGATGTGAATCTGAGATTGGAGGAGACTAAAGGATTTAATTTTCAAATGATGAATTCATTAACAGTAAATCCTTCCGCTCCTGTTATCAGCAATGCACAACTTACTATACACACAGCGTGTTTGTCCTTCTTTATCTTTCTTAGCTCTCATTTTTCTTGGACAAACACATTTTCCCGCCAATGGATCACAGGCTCCATTGACACATGTCAGGTTTTTAGCTGAGCATCGATTTTTGGAAACGAGGCCAGCATCAGCTACATCTGAAAGGTAGGGTAAAAAGCTGTGGTTACCTTTTTAGTCGGCTTGATCTTGACAATCACAAACGATCAGCTGCAAGCTAACTAGTTTTGCAATTTTTATCCGGCTGAGTTAAACCTTTGCAAGTTTTTTTCACAAGTTTTTGATTTTTGATTGTAACGGTTTTCGGCCGGAAAATTTAAGCAAGATGATTAACTTTATAACAAAAAAGTAAGCAATATTTAAAGAGCAACCAGGGAAGAGCCCAAATGTGAAAATTAAAAGGTTTAAAAAGCTTATTTGGTTTAAAAAGATATGGTATTTTCAAGAGTCAATTACTTTTCTAAAAATAGTAACAATTTCACGGAAAATACAAAAATCAACCTCTACAATTTTTCAACCAACCCAGCGTGAATTAGTACTTGAAAAATCAGGTGGGGGAGATCAAGGCTGAGACTTCAGGGTTGTATTATCTGCCTAAGCTGTAACAAGAGACGGAGAACAAAAACTGAAGCATTGGTTATTCTTTCTGCTTGAACAAGGGCCTCTGTAGGCTGTGTGCAACCGCCTCTTCCTCCCAAACAAAATCTCGCCGATAGGAGGGGCGACCGTACCCAAGCTATGGCCTCATGTGTGTACGTTTATTTAAAAACAACAACAACAACAAGTGCACAGACAATAATTAATTCAAAAGCTTACCAAAAACGTTGATTTTTAAACTTGTGTCGTTTGTTATTACTCGGACTTCGTTATTATTCTCTGACTGCAAGAACACTTTGGAATCCGCGCGCAAAAATCCTTTGGGGAAGAAAACGTTAATGTCCACGTTGTAGGGCTGCAATTGGGCTTGTAATACGCAGGCGCAAACGGCTACTATCATAAACGGAGTAGTTCCTGAAGGTGGGCTTCTTCTTAAAATAGCTTGTGAGACACGACCACTGTCGGGTGTTGAATTTTCTGAAGAAAACAAGAATAGAGACTTCCGATGCAACTAGCTAAAAACGACTCTTTCTTTTGGCAAGATAAACTGACATTTGGACAAACGTTTTGACGTGTATTTCGTTAAATAAAGGAGACTTTTGGAATCACGTTCACGACAAACGGCAAACGTCACCACGTGACCACATTTTCCCTTCCTTTGTCGTTTGATTTTTATTAAGTTTCATGCTACAGTAGTTTCATCCATAAGAATTATTTTGTACAATCGATTTTCCCCGATTATTTTCTAATCTAAGAAACCATTAACCTTAATCTGCCGTTTGCCGTAAACGTGATTCTATTTAAAAAATCTCTCTCATAACCAGGGGCGATGCAAATTCTCTGATAAATGGACACTTCTACAGGACGTTCACCATCTTAAAGTGAAACAGAGATCAAGAATTGGTCCTTGCCGTTTTTAAGCCATTTCGTAAGCCATCTCTCAGTTGGACACTTCTCTAAGACCGACACCCGTGCTCAATTCAAAGATATCCGTCTTAGTGATCTAGGCGAAGACGAGCAACAAAAACGTTAAACGTGTAGCATTTTTTGCAACATTGTTTTAAAACGAGGTGCAAAACAATGCTGAGCGTTTTACCACCTACGAATCAAACACGCATTGCAACAAATCACGTTGTTGCGGGTTGCGTAAAGTTGTTGCATAAGGTAGAGAGTGGTTCTTCTTTATGCAACAACATCTGTATATGTTGCGCGTTTTATCGTTGTAGCAAGTGACGTCACTCCCGCGTATTGAGTGACTCTTACGTAAGGGGCCGGCAAGCGCTTGACGGAAGAAAAAAATTGGATGCAGCGCAAATGTAATAGAAAGCTTATGGGGAAAAAAAGGGAAAAAAATTATCCTGCCCACCAGGATTGCTAGAAAAAAAAATTCTTGATGACCAGAAATCACCCAACTCCCCCCGCCCCTTCCCTCAAGAGTTAAATGGTCGGCCCCTAATATACCTTTTTACCGATACGGCGGCCATATTGAATTGATTCGATTTAAGGGGGGCATGAACAAGATCCGTTGTACTCGCTTAGTATTAGAAATAAGGTCTTTCACCGTATATTTCTCGGGAAAAAGGCGATCATTATAACATCCTAATACGGAAAACGATCTTTTTTCTCTTAAGAAAGAATGCCCCGAAAGGCGCTTGTAAATACTAAAGGGAATGTGCTCATGTCCCCTGGGCATCCCATAATACTCCTTAAATTAACTTATTCAATATGTCCGCCGTATCGGTAAAAAGGTCTATTCTATACAATCAGTCGGTATTCACGGAACTTCTGAAAACCTGTTTGACAGGTTTGATTCGTGGGTGGAAACACGCGCAACATCGCTTTTCAACTCGTCTTGCTGCAACGTTGCAAAATACGTTCCACTTTTTTGTTGCCCGTTTTACCCCAGCTTTTGGGATAATTATAAGGAGACGGGATTTCCCCTTTAGCACTTGATAGGGGCGTTTATTTCACCAAAGGAATAATCGATCTTCAACTAAAGGAGAGTGATTTTTGCTAGGAGGGGGATGGGTAATTATTGATCAATTCAAGAAACGGTCATAATTGGGAAAAAATAATTCATCTTAGAAAGAAAAGTTTTCTCTTTTTACCAACCTTCAGGTATCTCTTTCGTAGTTCCATCTGCTTTTAACGTTCTCCTTTTCTTCCAATAACAAAAATAACAGAGCGCGGAGACTATGATACAGAGGAAAGCAAAAGAACCCACGCTGCTAACAATGATAACTACAAGTTTGTCCTTTTCATTGGCTTCAACAGGCTTTTGCAAAATAGGGTGGTACTGTGAAAAAAATAGAATATTAAAAAACAGTGTACATCAAATCGTGCATCCAATCTCGTAAGTCACGGAACACGGTGGTTAATCATTCATCACTTCACCTCACCTCGCCTCTTGCGTGCCTTGGTTATCTTGGAGGCGGTACCAGTTGGGACCTCGGTCCCTGATGCGTTTAACCATGCTTGGCCGATTTTGGATGAAAGGCCGGACGAATTGCAACGCCTGGCCCTTCAGGTTGTGGGTTAGGCGATGAGTTTATGTCCCATCCCCGTTAACAGTCTCATTACTAAAACCAGAAAAGTTTTAAAATTGTTCATACAGAGAGGGAATACCCGGGGGAATACCTCTTCGTACTGAATAACAACCTTCGATGCCAGTAACCTAGCTGACCGAAATACAAAGCCAGACTGGCTCAGACTGGTGGGGCGGTACAAAGAAACGGTGTCTTTTATGAAGACAGTACAGCTGAATGGCAAGTATATGCAAGAGCAATAATAGGATCTCTTGGTATAAGAAGCAAGTTTTGCACAGACTGGAATAAAATGGCTCATTATAGAGCGAAGCACTTACCACTTGCAGTAAAATAGTCTCGTTATCAAAGGAAGAGTACGTTGCCTTCACCTCGGAGTTATTCACTTGTCCGCCGGGGATGGTCGTTTGAAGTTCAATCCAGAATTCATTACTCTCGTGAAAAATTATCTTCCCCTGTCAAGAAATAACAACGCATCTTCATATGCAATTTTTCTTTTTGGACAATGGAGATATGCGTGATTTGTAACAGTCTGAAACGGCAGAAAACTTCAAACACGAGCACAAAATGACACTTAACATCATCCTTCAATGTTAAATAAACAGGAAACGCAAAATACGCTGGGAATCAGTTACAATGTTTGCATAGAAATGCCAGTTCTGATTTGTGAAAACGTGAGTTGTATAGGGCGAGCGAGCTACTTTGTAACTGCTCTGTCCAAACAAATTTTCATGACATTGCTCTTTAACTTGATTGGGCGCTTTGCTGTTCGGTGCAGTTTAGGTTAAATTCCGCTGGCCTGAAGAGGGTGAGGTTTTTGGCCACTCAGCAAGGAAAATACATTTTACCACTTCGAGTTCGGGAACGTTTGCTGGTCTTAGCAGCAGCATGCATCAGAGAGAGGGGGGCCTGAAAAAAGAGGTTAGCATGCCACTGAGGATAAATATCAGAACTATGAACTACCTGACTTACTGGTAAATTGTGGCGAATAATCAGAGTTCTGTTGTTTTCACTTGTATCATCGTGGCTTACTCTCTGCCCAGATTCTGGAAGGCCTACGAATCTTCGGTTCGTTTTATCTCCTTTAGCCCACGAGAAAAGAAGTGCACAGCATATAAGGACAAATCTAGAAATTCCTAACACAGAGATGTGTGGCTTCATTGCCTCTGTAGATGGTAGAGAAAGTTCAGTGTTATCACACAATGCTCAATCACTCTGTTCCAGTACAATTGCGGAAAATATACAAATAACGGATCTGATTTTGTTCCTGGGCAACCATAATGGATAGTTTTTGCCTTGAAACTTACTCTCATAAATTTGCTGTTTTTCGCAACAATGAGTAACAGTCTGACCCTTTGACAATATTCCTAGTTGAACATGATCGCGTATAACTGGGAGCGCTAAATATGATAAATGCCTCGAAACGTTTTGCACCACATACCTCGTTTTGAACCATGCCTCGATATTTTTAGCAAGATATTGAAAACCATCGATAAAGTTTGGAAAGAGCACATACAAAGACCGTTTCCGCATTCCTGACAAGTTAAGACACCAACTGGAGGCTCGAGTAGACAAAATACAGTCAGGATTTGCATAGAAAATTTCACCCTGCTGACAGGACGAAAATTTTTCTGCCAAACCTCGACATTTTTTTTTGTGTGTGTGCTGACGGAGGCGGAACTCAGGAAAGTTCTTTTTGAGGCTTGCAAATTTTATTAGGGCGTAAGCAGTGCCCGATCCAGCCCTTGAGATGGGGATGGGGGGGGGGGGACGTTGCGGTCATCCAGACCCTTAGATAAGGGGGTGGGGTGGTCTCCAAAACAATTTTTTTCGGCCCTTCGGGCCTCAGTTTGGTCTAAAAATAAGGGGGGGGGGGGGGCGGGCCCCCGGCCCCTCCCCTGGATCCGCCACGGGTAAGATCTTTTTCTCCAGAAAACGGACGTACAGCTTAGCTCCAGTAAATTCACAAATCTTGTAACTTTCAGACAGAATCAGCGGGGCAAGGTAAATCGATTCGCCTTTCAGGGGTGTTTCCTGGTGTTGCGGAAACTATTGCTGGTTTGCTTTTGTTTTGTGGCGTGGGCTTGTTAATTGTCCTTTCAATCTTTTGTATTACGTAATTGGGCGATTCCACCCGTCCGCAAAACCAAGAAACCCTTCCTTCTAATGAATCAAGACTGAAATATGGGCAAACTGGTTTTGCTTGATTATAAAATCAATGATATTACAGCCGTATGGATAGAGATTAACAGAAGCCGAATTTACTTAAAACCCCAACGTGTCCTGTGAGACGGACACTGAATTGAAAACAGTCAGTATGCTTATCCTGTGGCCTACGTTGCTTGTTATACCTTCGAAATCACAACAAATCTATATGTTTGCTTACACAAAGTCGACATGTTGCGGGCATCTGAGCATTGCTTTTATAAAAAGCACAGCAACAATTATTGCTCATGTCACAAGACGTAATAAAACACAACTAGCTACAAGAAAATTGAAAGATATAAAAAAGAAAGAGAGTTAAAATACAATTGCCATTAAAGATGATTCATCTGAAAGTTAAGAATTTTTTTCTTTTTGTTTCTTTGGAAATTAGCAATTGCCGTGCCGTGCCGTGCCGTGCGGGTCGCCTAATAACTCCATGACACGAAATACTGAGAACAATTTGGGGGTGAAAGTCAACTCGGTTTCTTCCACCGTAAGTGAGAAACAATAACTTGATTTAAAATGGATGACCATGTCCCTAGCTATGAGAAGAACAGCAGAAATGTAATCAAAGGACGAGGGAAAATAGAGGTTTCTAACAACCATGTTCTAAGATCTTTTTGGGTCCAGAAAAACGTAGCCTCCCGGCAGACGTCCTTTGGGGATCGTTCGTCACGCATTCATTTCTCCCCCAAGCAGCTGAGAGGGGGAGAAATGAATGCGTGACGAACGAACACCAAACGACATCTGCGGGGAGGCTAAGAAAAACGTGGCAATCAAAAACTATTAAAAATCGTTCAATCTGTGTGCGACCGAGCATAAACTACAGGTTTCCAAGAAGGTTACATGGGGTCAAGTCTTGATGAAACAATGATATGAATTTGTCTAGAGCAACAATCCAAGAAAACTGAGTTAAGTCTTAGGCACACGAAACGATACAGACGTTAAAACTTTATGAAGTGAATGCTACAATTGTAGCCTGTGTACAGACGTCCCTCTCGAATGCTTGCGTCATAACGGAGGTCTACGATGTATCAGCTTCCCCGCGTTGCGTTGCAATAAAGGCAAGAAAAATAAATTTCGGATAAACCATTCACAATATAAAAACATGAAATACGTTTCTTTATCGCGACATTACAGCAGAAAAAAAAATAACGAGCGACTGCATTTTGGACAATCACAGTCGTCGCACAAAAAGAAAAGAGAAATTAAAGGAGCAGTATTTTTCTACGTCGTACGGCCTACCTTGGTGATGTATTTGCTGATCCTGAAGTGTAGATTGTTCAAGAAGCTAAAACTGTAAATAAAAACGTTTAGCTTTGGATAGGTTTCCGGTGTTCCTCGTTCGTGCCCAAAAGGGAAAATTGGTGAAGAAATACTTCCGGTCAACCTAATAAGGAAAGTCCGTTGAACGGGAAGTCAAGTGGCCTCTAAATTAAAAATAAACTAATCCGATCAACAGAGACGTGACGCTGCCTGCATGTGAAGTAAATTGAATTCACTAAAAAGGGAAATTTGAAGCGCAAATTTGAGAAATTTTTTCAAAATAAGCTACAACAGTCAAAAAGTCGCTTTCTAATGATTGTCTCTAACTCACAGTCTTAGTTAGCTGCGACGCTTCGTTTCTTTTTTTCCTGTTTTTTTTTTTGCCGAAACTAAGCATGCTCTTGTACTGGTTTTGTAAACCCTTTCGTGGCATTTGCTTTATTATTAAATAGTATCGATTACATAATTATCGTACGTTACCATACACGGAAACATAGCACATTAACGTTGAAGCAGGTTAGATGGGTTGTGCCGTTTCAAACAGATTAGTCTGAGAAAGGGTATTGGAGTCTAGGTATTTGGCCTAGACTGGTTCTACATTCAGTACGACTTACTGTCTACATTTACCTGTACAAGGAAAAGGATCATAAGGTTTTCAAAATAAATTAAAACCGGCATGGAGTGACATGTTTTGAAAGAGTAGTCAAAAACAAACTTTGGCTGAACATAACTGGGTTGCGGCTGGCTTTCATTCACCCCATTACGTTTTCACGCACGCTTTTCCTTTTATTTCGGCGATTCGATTGGCCAAAACCAGCTGAACCAGGATTAACATGATTTTGGCCCGAGCACTATAACCACCCCCACCCCCTCAAGTTTTCAATTAATGCCTTGTTCCCCCGGATTGTTTTCATTCACAGGTAAACGGGAAATAACATTTGGGAAGCGAAGATACTAGAAATACTTGTGTGTCCCCGGGGTTTTCCTTGTTTGGATGGAAGCTAAGGTGTAGTTCAATACCCTTGGAAACTGAACGCAAGGTCACCTTTAAATAAGCACCTTACTATACAGGGGGTACTCAAATTACCTGTTGTTCTTTCTAAAATTCTACCTGATAAACTGATGTTTTCAAAAGTTACCTGCTAATTCCTGGATAAAATAAAATGTAAATACGCGAGCCCAATAATTTAATCAGAAATGCGGACAGCTGTTGCCCAAGGTAGCTCAGCGGGGACTACCACGACCCGCGCGTGAGTGTGACCCACCTCAGTAAATACACCAGTAAAGAAACGAAACTTAACCTTGAACGCTCACGGAATTCGGTGGACAACTAAGTCAGATGTTTGGTTCTTTTTCCATTTTATTCGTTAAGCTAGTGTTACGGAAAGTAATCCGGTGGTAATATGCGGATAGCCAACACAGCGGAAACGTTTAATCCGAAATGCACAAACTGACGAGGACTTGGTCACGGTTTGTGGACACCCGCACGTAGTTTACACGATGACGAGACTAACACGACTCGCGCGTTTTAAGCAAGGGTTCGCGCGTGCGAGAAGGTCTTGAGAGAGGGCCTCACTCGTACCACGAGTCCACGCGTGGGACACACGCTCTAACAAACAAGCCCTCCAATAATGAGTTTTGACCGACAACAACTTTAGACTCTGTGTGTCTAAAAACAACAATAAAAAGCAAAGCTTTGGCATGATTCCTATGAAATGATGATCTCAAGCACTATGGGAATACCGTATTCATTCGTTAAACGCCGCATTTTGAAGCAGAAATATTAATAAACGCTGCGTCATGATGGGGCGTTTATTCCAAAGCAAATGCAGTGATAATCAAGTTTGAGCAGACCTAGAGAATTTATTTTCCTTGATTGTAACAAGGGACCGTTCATTTTTTACGAGGTAGGGGGGGCTGGTGGGATTTGGGGGGGTCACGCAAAAAAAAAAACGGCTTAAAAGGGGGGGCCATCCCAAAAAAACGGAGGGAGGGGGGGCGGTCACGCGAAATATTTTAGTTCATGTAGAGTTGACATGATGTTTTCTTATTAAATAAAACTACATATGCAGAAACAAGCAAAAGGTACATAAATGAATCAAAAACTTTTGTTCTGCGTTTACATGACAGCGTTCAGTTCCACGACAACAATTTTCAAAGCTAAGAAACTATCATTAAAAGATTCTTTATGAGGTTAGTGCTGTGCAACGTCTCTCTGCTCATGTTCCTCTTCGTCATCATTGCCACGCTTTTCCTCATCGCTCGTGCTGCTGCTAGAGTCGCTTTCGTCATTTTCGGTCATAGCATACTGTTCAGGGTACATGAAGCAGTACACGTTATCTCTAACCTCCGGCTTGAGGTTTGTGATAATTCTGCTTCCTGCGGCGTTGCTGAAACGGGTTTCCTTGCAAGAGCTGTGCAATGTATGCCTTAAGCACCTTGAGGTGATGGAGTTCAAAAAGAAGAAGAGAGCAGAGGAGCGTGCGAGGGAGAGCCAGAAAACCAAGGAAAAAGTCTATGCTGATTATGCTTGGAAAGATCTACGTGAAGATTCGACCAAACTGAAACAGCTTCGAGTGCCAGAGCTTAACAAGTACCTCAAGCACCATGGACTACACCAACATATCAAAAGCCTTAAGAACGACAAGGTGAAGGTAATGGCAAGGCATTGGCTTCTCCAAATGAATCCTGAAGGTCCTGATCCATTAATGCTGCAAACACGACTGAGAGAAAGAGATGGAGCTGATAAAGAATCCTTAAAAAACAGTGACAGCGATGAAGATGAGTACAGCAGAAGTGAAAGCGATGATAATGATAAGAACGACAATGATTCCATCAACTCTGGGGGTGAAGATGTCATCCTTGCCTTTATCGATGACGAGGAAGAAGTTGAGAGACCAGCAACGACACGCTCTGGAAGATCCATAAACAGAAGATCGGAAATTGACTTTTCTTTCTTTTGACTCTCTAGATTTTTTTATGTTTGAAAAATAGTGAAGAAGTGCCTTAGCAAATGGACAGAATTTATTTTTTGAATTAACAGAAGTGGCTGCTATATCTGTAGAATGAGTTGTCAACAGCTTTACATTGAACAGAAAATACAAATCATATTGTACACTGCAAAATATATGCATGTGAGGTTTCATTGTGATAATGTCTCTTTTGAAAGGGGGAGTCATCCCAAAAATCACCGTCTGTGGGGGGGGCGTGAGAAAAAATGAGGACTGAGTGGGGGGGCCATGGTAATTCGTAATGGGGCTTCAACAAATTCCACCAGCCCCCCCCCTACCTCGTAAAAAACGAACGGTCCCCAATGTTTTAAGTCAGATCAGTACATTCAAAGCTCAAAGGAATATAATCAAAACACCAGACCAATAAACGGTAGTTTAGCTCAATCAAGCTTTGGAAATTTGCCGTCATTGAGAACAATGTTTTTCAGTTCAAAGTGAGTATACTTCAATGCTCTTTCATTAAGCTTTCTCTCCAGAAAAACAAATTGGATTTTAAATAAACACCGCACTGGAATCACAAAAAATTTAATAAACGCCGCGGCGTTTAATCGAATAAATACTTGATTAATTACCTTCAATTCGTAAGGATGACCTATTTTTCTGATCTGTGGTGTCATGATCATTTAGCCAGGACTTGGGACTTGACTGTTCAGCACATGATTAGCTTACTTTGCAGAGCACTCAGCTCTTTTAGAGCAGGAAGTAGCAGGTTTGATCTTCAACTGGACTCAGCCTTCAGCATATTGTAGAAATAACTGATGATGAAGGTACTGCCTTTTACTACAAACATGTCTTGGGTGACCACGCATAAATAGTCTTATCTCTAACAGAGAGGTGGATTCTTTGGATTATGTCCAGTACTGGATACTTTGGATACATGATCCGAAGCGTCTCTTTACTACGGATCCGAAAATAGTGAATATTGCCACCAGTAACTCAAAACAATTTTAATACATCAGCTTTTTGACAAGACTGCTTACCTTTACAGCCATTTTTGAACTGGAGTCATGGATCCGTTTTATTGGGGTGGTAAAATCGCAATACAAACAGGACATGCATTATTCTAGTTACAAGGAAAAAACTGCTACACAACTTCGCTGGCATGTCTTTAGTACAAGACTTTACTTTTCCAATACATACCTTATTTCAGACTCGTCTTCATTTGGCCTGTCTAAAGCAGTATCCTAAAGCTAACCATCCAGAAAACAATGAAAGATCAGCAAACTTGCAACCTTGTCAGCAGCCGTGTTATTCTTTCTCCGGGAAACCATTGATAGTGTGGGTCGTTTCTACGGAAATGAATGAAAAAAATCCCTCTTTGGATACATCATTTCTTTTCTCAACGAAAAATCCTAATGATCTGGATTTTTGATCTGATCTTGGATTTTAATAAAGAAACGCACCCTAAATGTGGTAACATTAGAAAAGTGGCTAACATGTCCCTGATATTCTTAGCCCATTTTTATGTCTTCTGTGGCCTACATGTATAACTGCATAGATGTGATATAATGGAACAGGAAAAAAACTCCATAACTTACCTCATAGCAGTTGACTGTGTAAAGACTTGTTCCACTGTTTAAGTTTTTTCCAAGTTATTAGATACACTTTTCCTTTTACTTTGTTTTCTTCACTTGCATCTCAGCTCCTCCTACACTGATTTAAGACCTCCACTTCCTCTGACAATCTGGATTATTCTTTAGACATTAAAACTTTGAGCCAAGTTGGACAAAACAAAGGAAAATGTCAGCTGCATCTGCCTTCTAATAGATCATGGGTAACCATAGCCTCCCACGTAGGCGTTTTTAGGGGAGCTCGTTTTTCTTCCCTCCCCACAAACGCCTGCTCAACTGAAGATAACATTCCTTTCCCAAGTTTAGCCAATCACAATGTACTTTCCAAATTCTGGAAAGTTGACCTTGACCGCAAGGTAATCTGATAATTACTCGATCTGCATTAAACACTGGGAAAGCTTTCTGACCTGCAATAAATGTTAGATTCAGAGCGGCAAAAATAAGAATTAGTCAAAATTCAGAATACTCTGTGCACTGCATAACCTTAGCGAAGGAAAGAAAAGAAGAAAAACGGTAACTCTAAGGTCACGTTCAGTCATGTTTAGCCTGTCAACACTTAATTGCACAATTGTTGATTGAATACAAGCGCCCCTAAAAACGCCTGCGTGGGAGGCTAGGGTAACCACCAATCAGTACATATTATATTGTAAAAAAAGGATTATTTTAACAGTTTTGTGAGAGCACTGATGTAGCAATTTCCTTTTTTTCTTTTATTGATTTCTCTTCAATCATCATCCATAATACAATAATAAAATGTAAGATGCAACCAATCAATAGTAAAAAAAATTAACTATCTACCAATACACTGTAGGTCTCTAATTTTTTCTTCACTGAATATTTACAGCATTTCATACGTACACCACGCACATGTAAATGTACATGTATCTAAAGAATAGGACCACAGTTATAATGGCGAAAATGCTCAGCACAACCTATACAAAAAATTATCTTGGAAGCTTTCTTTTTCTGTTTTTGAATACTAGGTCAAACCGATGAGGCAAAACTAGACTTTTTCCCAAGAAATAACCATTTCATTTGGTGTGTCCTCAAGTCAAGTGTCCACATTAGAAAGATCACAGAGTCCATGTTACAGAAGTGAGGATTGTTTGAAGTACGTAGCATGTTTTTTGCTTCACTAGATACTGTCTTCTTTTGGCCATAAAATTGGTTTCTTTTGGAGTCATTCAGCAAGGCCTTTCACATCAAGCTGACGGTTTAGGGTCAACAACAAAATAAAAGGCAAATTTTTGCATTTCAGTGAAAGTTTCCTCAACATATAATTTACTAATTTGTAGTTCAGTGATGAAGTGAAAAGTCTCTCTTCACTTTCCAAATGTGTGGAAAGACAAATTGTGCGAGAGATGCTACTTTTGAGGATTTTTCTACTAGTCTTGCATTCCGAATTCTATAGTGTAGTTTTTTCTAGAGACTGTAACTGGCATTTTTGCTTGAAAGGGAAGTATACCCAGCAACTTTCATCTAGTCACTGAGAAGGAATGTTCTGTGGAATAGCGAGCTGCAGTGATTCCAACATATTCTCCAGTTCTCCTAGATTATCATCCTCCTGTGATTGGTTAGCATTCTGGTATCTCTCATTGATCTGTGCAGCAGCCCAGCCAGCATATTTCGAATTTGCTTTCTTCACTTTTGAGTCTTTGGATGAATTAGCCAAATGGGCTGAAGCCATGAAGAATCCAAACAAAGCCCTCATGTTATTGTTGTCCAATTTGAGAGCTTGAGCGAAGTATTTTCTTGCCTTTTCCATGTTTTTCCCAATGGTGTAGAGAATTTCAGCATACCTCTGGTGGAACAAATGGTTGTGAGGATTGACCAAGATCAACTCTTCCATGCAAAACTTTGCCTTCTCGTGTTCCTGCTGAGAGATGTAGAGCTCTGACAGCTCGGTCCACGCTTCTTGATCGCTCATGAACTTTTTTAAGTATTCATTAAGTTCCTTGACGGCTTCTGGGATCCTGTTTTGAGCTTTGAGGATCGCGACCAGCCTTTTGCGGACCACTGCATTGGCTGGCTCTGCTTCTAAAATCTTCTCGTAAATTTGCTCGGCATCCTCGTACTTTTCGAATGCTTCCAGTCGCATAGCATTGAGTTTCTCCACTCGAATGCTATTGGGAAATTGAGTTTTGAGCTCTCTCAAACACATGGTCGCCAGGTCCATTTTGCGGCAGTCGATTGAGGCCAAGAAGACTTGCTCGTATATAGTCCATAACTCATCTCCTAGTTTATTACCGTGTTCTAGAATGAGACACTCACCGAGTTCCGTGACTTCTTCACTATTTCGAAGAGGTTCATCGCGCCATTGTCTCATTTTCTGGCGAGCAACTTCTAAATCAACCACCTCGTCGGCCATGTTGAACAAATATTTGACATGCGCATTAAGAATTCGAATTTTCTCTCGGGTAGGGTAGAGCCTGGGGTGGAGGGTAGCGTCTACGGTTTTGAAAGGTTTTGATCATCAATTGAGCAAAATTTGACAGAAAGTAACATTTTTGTCACCACTAGAAAAATATAACGACAAAAACAGAATGCAGGGCAATAACCTCAGGGCTCTTACTAAAAAATGTATAATTTTTTTTTTGTCGCTGTGAACATTCGCTCCCCTCCCTAACTTTAACAAAAATTTGGCCCATCGGAGACTGGTACGATAATGTCCTGAAAATAAATATGGCGTCTGGAGGTTTGTGATCAAAGCAACAACATCATCAAATCATCGCTCATTTCTCTCTTAAAAAACTCCAAAATTCGAGTTTCAAATTGAAGTTAAGAACCATGAATGTCATTTTAGCAGTAAAGCAATATGTCACCAAAATGATCGAGGACAGTGGACCAGGGATGAAAGTTCTTCTTATGGACAAGGAAACTGTAAGAGATCAATAATCTGTCATAACATGACCACCCTTTGCTTAGATCTTCATTTAAAAATGTCTTTTTTTTCTTATATTGTAGATGATTTAATATCAATAATTTACACAAAAAGTGGGATTTGGATTTCAATTGAATTGATTTGAATTGAATTTGAAATCTGTATTATAGTTAATACATGTAAGCTTCCATGTACACTAAGTAAGTCCAGGCTCTTACACACAAAAATTACACGTAAGCGGTCACTGCTGAGACCAGAGAGAACAGTCCATCTAAGAGACGGGGGATGTAAGTATTTCAAAACCTGAAGTGAACATCACAATATTATTATTACTTATTTGATCTATATACACTCTTCTTCTTTATTTTAACACTCGTGTAATTTTGCACTTGTTCCAAAGAAGAACTCTAAAACTAGAGCTAAAAAAATTGTCATAGAAAGAAATTAACGTAAAAGAAACCAAGTGTAAGTCTGTGTAGGGAGTTAAAATTTCAGATGCAATGAAATAATGATTTTCACTATAATTTTGATAATTTATTACATGTTATTTATTATTTCATTCATATATTTTCTTGTTTTGTCAAAGACTGGAGTTGTGAGCATGGTATATACTCAAAGTGAAGTTTTACAGAAGGAAGTTTATCTTTTTGAAAGAATTGACACTAGTGGACGGGAAACGATGAAACATCTGAAAGCAATATGTTTCCTACGCCCAACAAGAGTAAGTTGCCAAAATATGGTCACGTCAGTTTCCTTTTGTTGTTAGCCTGCGTAGCAAGCATATCCTTGCGAGGTTCGTCTAGAAAGCTGGGACAAGAGCAAAAAAAAATGAATGACGGGGGAGGGGGAGGGGAAAGAAGGAACCGCTTGCCCACAAACCCCACTATTTTCCAGAATCGTGGGGTTTGCGGGGAAGCATTTCCTCTTCTCCCCTCCCCCTCCCCTTTCAACCATTTTTTTTGCTTCCGCTCTAACTTTGGAGCAATAACTCGATTGGAAACGCTTGCTACGTAGGCTATTTTGTTGTAGGAGGATGTGATGACCAGATAATTTAAGACAGAAGATTGAAAAGATATCAAATATTAAATTCCCATGTCACTACAACACAATAGCTAGCCAATAATGTTTTCTGCAGCACCAAGAAACATTTAAAATGATTAACCCTTTAAGCCCCAGTATCCACATACAAATTCTCCAAACTGATCTCCATGCGTTTCCTTTAAGAATTAGTTCAGAGAATTTAATAAAACATCAAGGCATTTTCTCATTCGTGATCATTTTTTATATCCTCACAACCTTATCTGTTGACAATGTATGGACATTGTTAGGAGAAAATTGCTGTTGGTCACTATTGGGACTTAAAGGATTAAATGCAGCAGCCCTGGGCTTATATCTTCATAGCAGGTTTTAGGAGGGCTTGCAATGGAGGGGCTTAAATCCAAGGGGGTTTATAAAACAGAACTGAAAAAAGGCATCAAAACAGGCTTAGGCAGTGTTGAACAAAATACATTTTACATTTACTGGTGTTTACAAAACATTGTAATGAATCAATTTATCCATTTGAATCAGTGATTTTGTTGCAAATAGTTAGCATGAGTCCTTGGACTCATCTTGTGAAAAGTCATGAGTCCCAGTCCAGAACCAATGAGTCCCAGTAAAAATAAAAACAAGCCCAAAATTGAAAATGTTCGGGCATTTATGTGACCAGACGGACTCTGGCACAAATCTCTGTTTTACAGTACAGTCAAACCTCCATGTGCGACCACATCTTGTAAGCGACCTCCTCCTATAAACAGTAGCCAATCCAAAACACCAAAATTTTCCCAGTCAAAGCCTAACAGTTGGAACCTCTTGTAGATGACCACATCCCGTAAGCGACGGCGACCACTTTTTGGGCCTAACAGTTAATGATTTACCATTGTTTTTAACTTCTTGTAAGTGACTACTTGATGCATTCGACGATTCATTCTTTGTATCTTTGCTGTGTGCACTATGCTACTTAGAATATACAAGAAACTTTATTGACAACATGGAACTACACATGTCGTGACTTAGACATTGCATGCAATGAATTATCTTCTATAAAGCAGATGTGCCTGGACCTCTTCTCAAAAGAGACCTCCTGTGGTCCAATTCTTGTAAACGACCATCTCCCGTAAAGGACCATTAAGTCTTCGCATTTTGGGTTGTCGCCTGCGGGAGGTTCGACTGTATACTGAAATTAAAATATAGTCCTTCTATATTAAAGAACAATTAACAAAGGCTAAAAGAAATATGCATCATTAAATAACAGCCATATAACTGCCACAGTAATTACACGAACGGGATATTTCTACAAATGCACATGTTGAGATGGATTGATCTTTGCGTCCTATGAGACACATGCCACAAATTAGTTTGTGTCTTTGGGGATTTCTATGTGTCAGGGATGCAGGACGCACAGGTAACAAAATCTCTGTTAAATACATTTGGAGAAGGCTTATAATCGCATCTATTTTTTGTTTACAGGTAGGTGGGCCTATAACTGGGGGGAAGGGAGGGCGCTTATGACTGGGGGTTTATAGGGTCATCATTAAGGGCTGGGGGGCCTTTTTCCCCGGCTATTATAAACATGACCCCCGCCTACTTTTGTAGGAAAATGGAAGAAAAATAGAACCAAACAAAATCCCTAGTTGTTGGATTCCCCACCAACTTGTATCATTAATAGGCTGATTGAGCAACAGGACGGGAACGTCAGTTGATGACGGGAAAGCGCGCAGAAAGGACTAAACACGACTTCCAGTGCTCAATTTGCAGCTCTGCCATTGGTCAAGCCAGTTGTTTGATTTGCACGAACCGTCGTCAACTGACTCCCTTTCTGTTGCTAAATCAGCCTAATATAGCCCAGCAACTTGAAATTTTAATGAGAGCCCTGGGCTTATAAGCACTGGCATTATGGTTGGGTATGAGTGATTTTGACACTGACACTGTGTCATTATGATGAAGTGATGCAGAAAATTAAGATGTGACTTGTTAATATTTATAAGCACTTTCCATTATTTTATTCCTTTTAGGAGAATGTTGAGCATCTTTGCAGTGAACTGAAAAATCCCAAGTATGGGGTATATTATTTGTGTAAGTTTTTATTTCATTTGATACAATATCATGCATTATAATCAAACACTTCTGATAAGCTAGTAGTACTCTTAAAAGAATTTTTTTTGGAAAAGTGTCTAAAACATGGTTTGTTTATTTTATACAACTGTCAGCACTAAATAACATTTATTTTTTACACAGTCCAGAGCTGATTATAACCATAGTAAATTATTGATTTGCATTGTTTAGATTTCTCCAATTTCATTGGCAAGCCAAGTATTCGTGCTATTGCAGAAGCTGATGACCACGAAGTTGTCAGAGAAGTACAGGTAAACATCTTTAGGTGATTTCTGTAGGAGTAAACATGATTAAGTTTAGGACTACCCATTATCACTGTACATGGTTAACTACACTTAAATATATTTTGAAATGCACTGGAAGGTACAGGATTTTTTTCAAGAGAGCAAGGGTATGTAGTCACAAAGGGGGACACTTTTTGATCCAATTTGAGGCCATAAATGGTCATCTACATGTACTCAAATCTTGGTTACAAAGGATATGTTTTGATTCAATAAGATTTTTTCTGTATTATTTACCAAAATTAGTAACAAAGTGGTTGAATCAGTTCTTTTCATTTCTTTTTCTTGTACTTTTGACAGGAATTTTACTCTGATTTTTATGCTGTTAGCCCTCATGTGTTTACTCTGAACCTTCCAAATTGTTCACGGGTAAGTAATTTTGTTAAGTAAGTTTTATTTTCTTTTGTTTTTTTTTCTTTTTGTCATTTTGCTTTGTTTAGCCTAGAACTATGATTAGTACGGCTATCTAATATACTTATTTTAAGATTTACTGAAGCTCTGCCATTGATTTTCCCATGTGTAATCATGATAATATTTTGTTCTAATTATCTAACTGAGGGAGCCCATTCCTTATAAGCCCGGTGGCTTCTCTTGGGCTTCCTCGCCATGAGAGTTTAAGTAATTAGATTTTATTTGATTTGTACAATTTTTGGCAAACAAAACAATAAACAATAAACAATTTATACATATATTTATAACTAGGTTTTTCCTATGTTCAATATTGGTCCATAAACCCTCATAACAGTTTCCCACTTTCTAGATGTCAGTTAGATTTACAGCTAACATTCAACGGCACCTCAACAAAATATATAATTTAAAAGCTTGCTTGTCAAAAAATTTATAATAAAAATGTTTCATCCTAGCAGAGTAGTAGGAGATCTAGAGTTTCGTAGATAAAAAAGAGCAATAAGTTCCTTTACCCTGATTTTTCTAAAGTTTTTTTAATGCTCTTCTAATTTTTCTTTTAAGTACTAATTTTTTTCTGACGTCTTCTTTCATTCATCTGTATTTTTTCAGGAATGTTATACCCTTTTACATCAAATTATTCATTATTTTTGTGGAGTTTTCACACGATTGAACCTCTTGTTAAAAAATTATTTATATATTTACATGAGTCTCTCTTCAGACTGGTATTTAATAGAGCAATTAGCTTCATTGAATGCGCTGTACCGCATCCTGTTAAGCGTTTTACCTAACCTTTCAAGTAACTTGGAATTGTTGGAATTGTTATTAAAATAAAATACTGTTTCAGGCTGGAGCATGGGATATAGATGCTATCGACCGTGCTTGTCAGGGGATATTGGCAGTGTTACTCTCATTAAAGAAATGTCCAATAATTAGATACCAGAATTCATCTGAGATGGCTAAGAGACTAGCTGAGAATATAAAGGTAGGTATATATGTGTCCTGTGTATTTGTTACAAGTGCCACTGTCAGGGAATCATAATTATGGTCTACCCTTGCGTCAGCCTGTGAGAAAGAAAAACAGACTCGGAATATATTAAACAACTGACATTTACTGTATTGTTGATAATAGACTTTATGGTTAATATAAAATAGACATGTGCTTTGTTTTAATTTTTTAATGTTATTTTCAGCATAAAATAAACGATGAAGCACAATTGTTTGACTTCAGGAGAACGGATGTCCCTCCTCTTTTGTTGATTTTGGATAGACGAGATGATCCCGTGACTCCATTATTGAATCAAGTAAGTTCCAAATGTGACTAGTACATCACCGCATGTACCTTTAACTTCATTTGCCCAATTGACAAGTATGCCCAAAGTATGTGAGTGACACAATGTGTAGTTCCAGAAAATATCCATGCTCCCCCCAAAGAAGGGATCTCAAAGGCCCAAACATTTAAGTAAATGTATGAAGCTTGACTGGAATTTCCAGAGGGGTAGAGGGGTCTAAGGAAAAATCCATTCCATGGGGGAGGTATGGATAATTTTTGGAACCACACAATTAAGACTGAGAGGCTGTTTGGTACCACGCAAGCCTGAGCAAGAGAACATTACACAGGGCTTTCAAAGTTCTATCCAATGGTCGAGGTCCAGGTTGGTAATTTTGTGTGTTCACTTACGCAATGAACATCCTTGCTAGAGGAGGTTTAGCTCTTTTCCCTGGTATTCTGTGGGTGGGGGAAAAGACTGATGATCACTCAGATCTTTTCCTCCTGCCTGCTGAACGCCAAGGAAAGGATGGGCCTCTGCTAACAAGGAACCAATGAGCAAGGGTCCGGTAAGTTATCTTCCAGCTAATTTGTAAAGACACACATTCAGTGGCCTCAGCAAGCTATAAACTAGAATGACTTGACCAAAGGACAAGGTGGCATTCAAGTTTTTTCATACCTTGTTTTGATTTTTTCTTAGACCTGGCTATTTAACAATAATTATTATTCCTCGAGCCCGAATTGGCTCTGAGTCAATAGTCCATGAGGCTGAAGGCCAAATGGGCTATTGACTCAGAGGCCAGGAGGGCGAGAGGAATAATATTGTGTTAGTAAAATCCAACCAGTTGGTCAAAAATATAGAGACAAAACAACTTAAGCTAGTTAAAGCTAGACTTTAAGCCTTTTTTGCCACCAAAAAGCCAGCGCTTTGCGCTACTAGTGGGCTATAACAAATAGCCTAGTAGTAGCTCAACCACGCTACTAGTGGGCTATAACATATAGCCTACTAGTAGCTCAACAAATCAGGATGCAGCATTGATAATAGACCACTAGTTGGATTTTTCTAATGCTGAATAGACAGTTCACTTTTCTGGTCGTTTCTTGGTGTTGCAGACGGTTGCAATCACCAAAATAATGACTTTGAAAAGACACCAAACAATGCCCACACCACAACGCAAAAGTGAACCAACATTAGTTTCTGCAACACCAAACAGACACCCACTTTTCCCTGAAAAAATTGTTAAGTCTGGCCCTGTTGAGTCAGTAGCAGTGATATTATTCTGTGTAAATGTTTGGTTCTTAATGACAAGAAAACATTTTGAAGTCTCCTCATTCGCTGTTTGGTTCTTGATTTCTTGTAATATTATATTAGTGGACGTATCAAGCCATGGTTCACGAGCTGATTGGTATTAGAAATAACAGAGTTGACATGTCAAGGTGTCCTGGTATTTCCAAAGAGCTACAGGTACTGGCCATTACAGTTATTACATTTGAGCTATTGGAGCTGGTAACTGATCTCCTCTTATTAAAAGTAGGAATACAATTTGAGCGGCCCTTCCCCTTAACCCTTTAAGCCCCAAGATCCACATACAAATTCTCCAGACTGATCTCCATACCTTTCTTTTAAGAATAGTTGAGAGAATTTGGTTTAAGATCAAAGCATTCTCCCTTTGGTAATCAATTTAGTAATTCTCATAACCTTTACTCTTGATTATCTGCTGATATTGTTAGGAGAAAAATTGATGTTGGTAAACGCGTCGTTCTGAGAAAAAGGGGACCTAACGTCGGGTTAAATTTCGACTTGAAATCATATCCATCGCGCACGATCCCGAAGTCTGGACAGACTCTAAACCGTGAATGCAAAAGATGAAATCGTTTTTCATCGGGTCGCCCCTATTTTTTCGTGAGATCGTTTAGATATACCGCGTACGTCTTACCGTCACGGCTATCTTGATTTTCAAATCTACCGAGTGGGCGGGCGTCGGGGATTAGAGCTCGGAGGGGTGGGGGGGAAAATATTTTTCTCGCTTCCTCCCAAACCGCCCCTGCCCCCTAGGTAGTTTTGACACTCATGCAAGATGGGTAGCCCGTAACGCAAAGCTCTCGATCTCGATGATCTTACGGAAAAATAGAGGACTGTGAACAGTCTAAAATAAGATTGAGTTGTAACACCAATTCATAACTCAGTGAAAAGTTGGCGCGATTATTGTAAAAACCGTTTGAGTTAAAGGCAGATTTCTGTAAAGCGAAAAAATACAGTAGACAGTGTTGCAGATTGTCTGCTTTCACACCAGTTTTTTTAAGAAGCAAAAGAGCTAACGACAACTGTCGATCATATTTTAGAGAAGGGTACAGTGAAACCCAGTTACCGGGACCACTCAAGGGCCATTGAAACCTGGAAACATTAAGGAGGAGGTCGCAATAACAAGGCGGTCGTATTAACAAGAAGGGTTTCAGCAAGAAATTGACTGATGATTTTTTTTCTTGTGCTTTTGGGCTAAAATAACGTACCGTAAATGACCCAATAATCGTCCGGAGCATCTTTTTAATTCTGGGAGCCCAAGACAAGCGAGAGCGTTTAATGGATAGGAGGCGTTTATTGCCATAACTGCAACAAACTCCACAAAACTAACATGCTTTCGGCAAATATATCAGAGCACGGTAAATAAATAGCAGACCATACAGTACATCCATTGATGCGTCGAGGCCGTTCAGAGATCAGTTTGTCAGAATCCTTATTTTGAATTTGCCGTTAGACAGGATTCAAACTCTTGTTAATCAAACAAGAAACTGGATGAATTGAATGATTTTGCTCTGTCATGCAGGGCGTCTATTATACACGGGGTGTTTATCAGAGGGGCGTCTAATAAGAGGGCGTTTATTAGACAAGAGGCGTTTATTTGAGAAAGGGTGTCTATGAGATCATTTACGGTAGTAAGATGTAATAGTGAGGTAGTCGCATAATCAGGTTGGTCCCAAAGTAGCCTGGTTTTGCTGTAATTTCTTGTCTAACTTTAATTTAACCCTAACGCAAACCTGGGACAATCTTATACATTCCTTTGATGAAAATACGACTTACCCAGTTTCTTTTGTTTCCCTGTCATTTGCTGTACATTTACCTAGTACGGCATCAGTTTGTTTTTCCTTTTCATTCTCTTTCTTATCTTTTTGCTTACGAATTTGACAGGAAGTTGTTTTGTCAGCTGAACATGACGAGTTTTACCAAAAGGTAAGTTTATAGACTACAAAGCCGCCACCATGCAGATATATATTTAATAAAGTCATTTTTTCTTAACCCTGGAAAGCTGACTCGCCAATACAGCACCTCAACACAGTCTGCTCATTCTTAATCGAGACCTCTATTAGACGGACACGAACAGACTTTCCCATGTGCTATAAAGTAGTTACCTGTTCATTGACTTTTTCTCCTTTTCTTCTCTCGTTTTTGAAACAGAACTTGTATTTGAATTTTGGAGAAATTGGTCAAAACATTAAGACGCTGATGACAGAATTTCAGCGAACTGTGAAGAGTAATCAACAACTGGAGTCCATCTCCGACATGAAAGTAAGATCAGTTTAATCTTTGCCAAATCCGATCCTTTCACGCAGATTTGCTTCGCCCTACCACCTAGTTTCTCCCCGTACTATTGTTAACTGTTTGAACATTATTGTTGTTCGTTTTCTTAGCTCTTCTGTTCATCGTTACAGTTGGAGTCAAAAATTGAGTTTGATTCAACAGTTTGTTTAGGCGGTGGTCAGTGTTTTCCTTCGTGTAAAAGGTGGTTTTATCTTTTGAATCTGTGGATGAAGTTGCTAACTGTGAGCATTCAAGTAAAAGCTACGGAGCAGCAGTTTCCTGTGGTACTGTTTATTACGCTGTACAGGGTGGTTCGAACTTTTGAATCTGTAGATGAAATAGTTAATAGTGTGACCATTCAAGCCACTGAATGGTTCTTTGGTATTAAAGGTCGCGCCGAGTACCCGGCAGTACTTTGGGGTATGAGTACATCGTTTACATTGGTTTTGCGAAACTGTAGATAAAGAACGTCGAGCGTATCCAGTATGCCAGACCGACCGGTCAGAGGCCAGTGGAACTAAGCAAGGAAAAGTCAGAAGACATTGTTTGCGATCGAAACAAAGTTTCCAACCGAATCGCAGCACTTCACTTACGTTTTGACCGAAGTTTTGATTACTTCTCGGTATAAAAGTAGGACTAGAAGCTGTAGTATAATTTTTGAAAATCGAAACGGCAAGTTTCGTTCAGACCGTGCCATTTATAATTCGAACGAAATTTCAGAACTAGGACTTGAAATTTTGGCTTAATGGAAAACACCCTAAGTAATCATTCTCAGAAGAATCAAATCAATCAATAGAAGGGTTTGGTTAAAAACGCACCGTTGAATACTGTTGTGTAGCAGAGTTAAAGACCACCCGAGTACTTTCCTTCAAGTAGTTCTACCCGTTATGATGTTCAAGAAGGCTCTACCGTATTGAATCTCAAATGGATGAAATCTTCGGTTGATCAACTAAACGGGAAGTTTAAGGGCTGTTCTTGTTCTTAGCTTTGTTAGATTTTGACAGGTTTTGAAAACTGGCGGCTTGTAATGTGTTGCTTGCGGTAATTTTATGCTTTTGTAGCTTTTGCAAGGGTAACTGCAATCCTGCACAAAAGTCCTTGAGACAGTAATGTAGTATTCATAATTTTCCGTAATTTCTGGGTTTCGTCATAAAACATTGCATCCTTCTCGAAAATTGCTTGCAGTTTTCCCTCCCCACCCTATACCAGGTTGAAATTTGGGAAAAATTCTGGAGACAAAGGTTTTTGTGGGGCGGGGTCGGGGAGGGGGTTGGGCATGTGTGAATTGAAAAAAGCCCCACAAATGCAAATTTGTCCCGAGATATTTGTTCTTTTTTTGTAGTTGTAATTGTGCTTATCGTGTTGTCTGCTTAACAGGCCTTCGTGGAAAACTATCCGCAGTTCAAGAAAATGTCAGGAACCGTTTCTAAACACGTGACTATTGTGGGCGAGTTATCCCGTCTGGTGACCGAAAAATCGCTTCTAGATGTCTCCGAAGTCGAACAAGACCTAGCTTGTCAGAATGACCACTCTTCTGCTCTCCAGGCAAGTATTTCTATAACCGTCATTTAAACTCCTAGACAGTCCTTCAGACTTTTTTGCAACTCCACAGATCTTGCTCAGGATAATTTCAGATCGGGGTCAGACTAACTGCGCTTTTCACAAACATGCGAATTCTGAAGTTCAAAAGCCAACTGACGATTGCGTTTTTCGCTGCCGTCAATCATCTTAACGGACCTCTTAGGAAACAAAACTTTAGTTTAACGGGTTTAAAAGGTCATGGATTGTGACTTCTGATTGGTGGATTTCGATCCGTTTTGTGAGTTTCTGTGTTTCAAGGTTCGTTGCTTGTGATCGTAATTATGATTGACGACAGGGAAAAACGCAATTGTGAAGGCGGCTTTTGAACTTTAGAGTTCGCATGTTTGTGAAAAGCGCAGTAAACAGTTTGCCTCTCCTGATTACTTGAAAGAACCTTTATGTCGCTAGTGATTTTTGACATTTCTAAAAGTGTCATCCAGTTTGGTTGTTTGCGAAGTTTGAGCATATGAACTCAGGGGAGAAACAAACGCGTGAAAAGCTAAAAACTAAAATTAGTTTTTAAAATTAGTTCATCACCAATTATCCACTTTCACAGTGCCGGATAGTTGATACAGATGGTAGGCAAAGTGATTATAGACAATAAGTTTGTGGCCCAGCAGGCTTGGTAGTACCCTGGGCTGGTACCAGAGGTTTTTTTTCGTGTTCGGCCATTGAGTGCGGCGAAGATGCTTCGGAGATGGGTCCTTAGAAATAGAGAGCTTTAGATTCGAGGACGAGGACGACTGCGAGCACGAGATTGTCTCAATACTAAGTATTGTGCGCGCGTGAGTTGGTGGGAAAACGTGATAGCCGTCGTCATTCTACGACTGGTTTTGTGGCGGCAACAAGTTATCAAAATAAATGTGAGAAGTTTTATCATTTTGCTATCGGGAGAGGGCTTAACCTGCTTCAGTATAAATAACCATACTAACTTTTTTTGGTGAAAAAAGTAAAATGAAGCTTTCCGGAGTGGCTTTTTATTTTTTGAAAACACGCGTAAAAACTTTAAGTTAAATCTCGTACTGGTACTCGTTCTCGTCCTCAAATCTAAAGCTCTCTATTACTTGACCGAAACCGGAAACCGCGTACGAAAAGTCTCTGGAACCCAGGGTAGCTTGGTGGTAGTTGAAACCGTCATCAACTTTCATAAGTGTTTTAGACACCTGTGGCCTCGGCGTAAAACTCTGAACTGGCCGAAATCTTGTGCGATGCCGCAACCTGTGTGTTTGCATTACCATGTTGTACTATTCAGACGGCTGTCCTGATTTGAGTTATTATTGTCTTAGAGTATTCGTCGTCTGCTGGCAAACGATAACGTGACTGAACTTGATATGATGAGAGCGGTGTCCCTGTACGCGTTGTAATGACGCCTGTTAAACGTTAGGAGTCAGCGAGCACTATAAGAAAAACACAGCTTGACTGTTGTAATGACGTTGTCAGATCTGACATAGGTATCGATGTTAAATGTTAGGGTGCTGTCCAGAACGTGGGAGGGTTAGCGATTCCCAGGGCACTTCATTTAAAATGCGGGTAGGACTAAGCTTTTATTACGTCCTTGACTGTTGTTTTGCAAATGGAATGTAACAATATCAATAAACAGCATGTTTTGCATCTATAGGTCAAACTTGTTGGTCGTGCAAAATTTGAGTTTAATTTGTTGAATACCTCCTCCTTCCACTAAATATCACCTAATATGGGTTAACCTCAATTTTTAAATATTTAAAGGGGGATAAATTTTATATAACATAGCAAAAAATTAGATTGATATATATTGATATTTGGTCCAAACTTTGCTTCTCGTTTGCAACGCGACATGGCGATTCGCGCAATGCGTTCAAATCCGGCAATCCGAATGTAAACAAAATTTATTGAGGTTAGTTGTAAGGTTTTTTCTCCGTTTTCTCTCTAAAACAAAACAAGGTAAACAGTAAAAACTGAGGGGAAACTAATTTTGAAGTTTCGAAGAAACAGAAAGACGTATGAGAAGTTTTTCAAAATTAAAAAGAAGGATGATGGTGATTGAAATTAGCATAATTTCACCTTGCACGAGCTGCACGCATTTATAAAATATACGTCATCTAGTTATGAAACACGATCTGCTGTCTTTTAGTTTTGCCATGGATGACATGGATGAGATTTTCCTTTGTGCTTTAGACAGTACTTAGTTGTTTTTGTTTTGGAATTCGGAGAGAACGAAAATATAATTCCCCATGGAAGTAATTTTTGAAAAATGTTGGCAACTAAACCTCCGCAAAAAATTATTTGCCTTTTGGGGAAAACTGGTCAGTGACAGCGGCAGTGTCTTATGTACAAACCACATCGCAAGCCCTAGTCCCAGCCTCCATCACAAAGCCCTACCTTTAGAGAAAAATGGTTTTTGAAAATATGGTTCTGGTCCCTTGGTAAGACTAGTTTTAGAAAGTATCTCTCTTTTAGTAAAATCCAACTAGTGGTCTATTATCGATGCTGCGTTCTGATTGGTTGACCTACTACTAGGCTATATGTTATAGCCCACTACTGTAGTAGCGAAAAGCGCCGGCTTTTTCAGCGGCAAAAAAGGATTTAATTCTAGCTTTAACTAGCTAAAGTTTTTCTGTCTGGATATTTTTGACCAACTTGTTGGATTTTACTAAAAAAATTTACTCCTCTCGCCCTCATGGCCTCTGAGTCAATAACCCATTCGGCCTTCGGCCTCACGGGCTATTGACGCAAAGCCCATTCGCGCTCGAGGAATAATTGTTAATTATATTCGATTGTTACTTAAGTGATAAGATAAGACAGGAACCGAATTTATCTGACAAAGAAGTGTCTCTTTTATTAGACACAAACCCCGGACATGGATATGTCCTAACACTCTACAAAGCACCTTTACGTGCTCTTCTTATTATGTACTTAGTTAATTCATGTGTAGCTTTCCTCTCTGTTTCTGTTTATAAATGTCGATAACGTTTCTTCATATGTATGCAAGTCATGTCTCACTTTTTATGCAGTCTGCTACCCTGCAACATGCAATGAGTTCGTTCTTTTTTTTATGTCCACGCCACCTGGTTTGAAATTAAATGCCGCACGCTGTAGAACTTACTTGTTTATGGTAACATTGGCTAGTTCTGTATGCTAGGTATTGCCAAATCGACCCCTCAGATCACTTAAAATTTATCAGTAATTTATGTAGATTTTAATTGAAGTAGGTTTCTTTCATGAATATCCCTTTCATCAGAGAATTTTTTCTAGACTCGTCAGATTTAACAACAGTTTTACCCGAATACGTACTCTTAAATTAGCAATTATTATTTTTTTCTTGTGATGTATTAAGCTTTTAAAAACCGCCTTTCTGATAACATACAACTACTTGGTAAATGATGATAGGATTCCTTGCTCCTTTAGAAACCAATATTTGCAATTTCCATCTCGACCAATGTAGGCTATATTTAGGTCTTTGATTATTAACAATACTCAAGTGAAATGGATGTCTTCTACACTTTATCAAGGATTTTATCGAAGAATGTATATCGAGAACGTATTTTCTAGTAACTTAAGGCGAATCTATTTCCGCCGCGCGATTTCACTAGTACACTTGTCGTGCAAATTAGTAAATCTAAGAGAAGGATCGAATGTGAGTTTTTAGCTTGTTTGCTTTACTTTTAGGGTTTTTGATTTTTAGTAATTTTCGTCCTTGAAGAAGTGCGGAGAAAATGTCGAAAACGATGTTTTTGCTACAAGAAAAAAAAGTGTCTCGAAATGAAATAGTGTACTTTATTGTGTAGAGAATAATTTACCATTCGTAAAACATATAAAAAATAGTGCGCCAGCAGTTGAATGCATCTTAACCGATCTTCTTAGTAGGTCAGTCTTTTCATAGTTTTCGTACATCTTTGTGTAATTGTAGGCCTTTCATCGTCAAGTTCATTGTAACCTTTTACTGCCTTTAAGCTAATGCTTGGTTTTATCCAGGGAGCGTTAACTGTGAATGCTAATTGCCGTGGGTATTTTTTCTCCGCCAGGCAAGATAATTTAGATAAGAGAAGCGGAACTAATCTTAGGAAATCTTCTCTTCCACTGTAGTCAGAAACAAACGCGGGGGCGTCACTTCTGGATGAAGTTCTACTGATCACTCTTTTGCCTTTTTGCTGTTGATGGCTGTATCTAAATTGGCTCTAACTTTTTGTCTTTGAATCAAAACCTGAATTGTGACCGTTGGATTGAAAAGAGAGTGAACAGTACTTTCCTGTGGTACCGTTTTTATGCCCTACAAGGTGGCCCTAACTTGCGAGTCTGTGGATAGTTCTAAAGTGACCGTCTTAATGAAAGCTGCTAAACAGCTCTTTTCTTTGATGTAGTTCATTACGCTGTTCAGAAGGCGTTGTGGTCGTAAACTGCCGATTCTGTGTATGACACCTTTAAATGTTATCATCAAAAGAAAGACTTCACTTTCCTCTAATATTGCCAGTCATTCCCTTAGTCTTGTGTGTGGAATGGTATACCTTACCTTATTTAGTCAGAATTTTCTTGGGCGTTGTCTATCACGCCGTTTGTCTTTAAACCCCTACATTTTTTATTAATTTTTTTTTAAACTTGGGAGTTTCAGTTTGGTCGAGCCTAAAAAGTGTGAAAGTTAATCGCGCTTTCTTGTCGTTCTTCCTTTTCTTTTCCTTCCATTGCAAATTTCAGTTCATTCTTGCAAAACAGTCCACTCTATTTTATAAACTTCCACTAAGAACTTCACCTTAACTTTCTTGTACTAGGCAACATACAAAGGCTTAAGAGACTTAAGATAAGACTTTGTTGCCTTTTTAAACTAGGCTAATCCAATGTCAAAAGCCGGATTACAAAGCGTCTACAAAGTACTAAGTGTACTAAGTACTAAGAAAAGGACTGAGTATACTAGTGTTTTATCAAGTTTAAAACAGGATGCGCATCTCCTGATTGATTTTAAGCCTTGATAGACTAGATCTATGGCTGTGTTGGACAGCTTCGTTCTAAAACTTCACCGGGAGTATTGTTCAAAATAATCCCTCGGTTTTGGATTGTTTTGGTCGATAAGATAGGATTCTGAATAATAATTCAACTTTGTGTTACACGAAAAGATCTCTGATCCCAGGTCGAAGTGGAATTTAGAACTGTTGATAAAAGTGAACTCGAATGAAGAATGAGAATCACCGACAAACTTATTTCATATGTTCGCAGCGTAGACTGAAATCGAGCCCAGGCCACATTGGCGTTGGGTTTACCGCGATCTCCCATTTTACACAATTTCTATTTTTATTTCCTACGATTGCATTTACTCGAAAGTAGAAACACGATTAAGGATATAAATGCACGGGTTGTTGAGTCTAAACAATAAAAATCCCGATTTTTTTTGGTTCAGTGCTCGCACTTTATAACATTTGAAAGATGTCTCCGACAAGTCCGCAAAGGCCTTTTAAAGGTAATTTAGCGAACAGGACACTGAAAAATTATCAGACTTACAAGTTACACAGTGAAATTGGTAACCTTAGCTTTGTAAGTGCTTTATATAATCACTCCTGTCTCTAATGTTATCTATTATAAGTATACCCGATGTATGATTAACTAACTGATTTTTATATAACAGTTATAAGCTCTTCAGTTTTTTTACGAAATGAATTTTGTCGTTTTTACGACATCTGACTTTGGTAACTTTCATAATGTGAAGTTTGCTTTTACATGGAGGTAACGTTTGTACTCCTTGAGCTCCTCGAGTGTCTTACTGCTCCGCCAAGCGATCTCAACGCGTCTAGAAAGTCTCGCTTGATAAAAGTGCATAAAAGAGGGTTGCATAACGCGGTGAGAAAGCGGAAGAAAAGTATAGCGATTGTTATATTGTTCATAGCGTTTGCAGAGAGGCTATGTAATGCTTTGACTTCAAAGTCGTCCATTATCGCCCAAAGAAAGTAGAAAAATAAACCAGAGATGAAAACTGCGATCATGGCTATAAACAAAGAGGCGATTTTCTTTTCGTTTAGTCTTCTTCTCCCCACGTTGATTCGATCCAACGATTGTTCACTAGACAGCTCGCTGTGGATTTCATGACTTTGTCGCCGAAGATTAACGAAGATCTTGGTATAAATCATGGTCATTAGAAGAAGTGGCAGAACGACTACTGTGGCCACGCAAAAGATGTCGTAACCGATCTCAATGCGGATGAGGGTGGCTTCACTCATGTCATTTACGAAAGAGCTTAGGATCCAAACAAGTTGTATCATGGAGGAAACGAGTGCAAATACCCAGACAGATGCCAGCATCCAGCCAACTCTCTCATCAGTGACGATCGAGGGATACTGCAGCAGCTTGGTTACTCTGATGTAGCGGTCGATGGACAGGAGCATTAAATGTCCCACGGAAGAGAACGCCAAGAAACGGTTCAAGATGTCCATGGCTAGACACACGTCCCTAATGAGCGTTATCGAACACGCAATAACCATGGGTACCGCGAGCAAGCCGGTTAGGAGATCACTGGCTGCAAGACTTGCTAGCATGAAGTTTGTTGTGGTACGAAGACGTCGTTTTCGCCGGATTAACGACAGGATCAGGCTGTTCGCAATAACGATGAAGAACGCTTGACACCCGTAAAGAACGAACGCTGTGACAGTGCTCTCGTTTTTAGTAGACATGTTTTGACGTTTTCACCCGAGACGTGCCCTTTCTTAACTTCTGTGTACTTAAGCGTGACTTTACCCAGTTCTCAATGTATGCAATTTTGTTTCGCGGCCGTCTATTTAAAAGCACAATTGTTTCTTTATCTCAATGCACGTCTTTGTGTAGCTTTTCCACGAACAAGATCACAGTAAAAACTCTTTGGATGTTATCGCTATCGGTACTGAAGGCAATACTGAGCGTTGCCGTACTCTCCTCTTTATTTCAAATGTAATAGTCTGCAATAAAGAAACAATAAAGACGTTATATTTTCCGGTTTACAATGCCGTCGGCATCTGTATACCCTCAGTAATGAGTATGGAAAGTATAAAAGCGAAGAACAAGTACACATTAAAACCGAGGGACGTATTTTGGGATTAACTTGCGTTGAATTGACTTCTGAAAACACGAAAACTTGAAAATGTGTTCCTTATTGGATGATGTTTTTGGGTTGTGTTGCTGTAAATGCAGTCAAGTAAATAGCCTGAATAGCAATTACAGTAATAGATTGAAAGATTGAACGACAACGGATAATGGTGTATAACTTTACATTCAAATTTAAAATCATCCTTTCAATTTACTGTTGCGGGCCTTTTTCTCTGACTTTAAAAATTGAGCAAAGGTTGTATGTGTCTCTTGAAAATGTTTCTCCGTCAAACGTCATATATTGAGCATTCATTTTTAGCCTAAGTTTTGCATCTGTTCCTGCACGTCTATGCTTTTAGCCACACCATTTAAAGTTTTCTTAAATGCTATCCGGAAGTTTCCATCAATAAGAAGAACAGACTTTACGTTTATTATCTCTGACAGGAGATGGGTGCCATTGAAGCCGGCTAAGCAGCGGCAAATGGTTTTTCAAATAAGCTCGTTACTAAGACCCTAGTGTTCAAGGTTTACTTCAATTGTCCCGAAGTCTGAAATCCTGATACGGAAGGCTTCAAACGAATGCTGATAGGGATATTAAAAATTGGGTACAATCGGCCAAACTGAGCCGTTTGTATGAAAAAGAAGATCGTCAATCATTTTACTTACACTGAACTTACATATTCCAAGGGAAGTTAGCAATGTGATGCTTCTAAACGACCACTCTCCCACTCAATTTGATCTCTTTCTGAGACAACTAGTTTTTTAACGCCTTGTAAACTGTTCATCTCGCGTCTTTAACATTAAATAGGCCTTCATTTATAATGTAAGCAGATATCTGTCTCCTGTTTGCTTTCAATTCAATGACCTATTATTTGGTTTTAATAGTTGTTGAGAAAACCGAATTGTTTCTTATTTTAAAACCTATGACGACCTTTATTGTCATTAACATCACGCCCGAAACAAATCTTTAGCAATTTAAATTTCACTCCTGTTTCCCTACTTTAACCCGTCAGGTACTATTGTGAATCAAACGCAATTTTTGGCTCTTTCCCGATGCTTTTCACGCAAAAATGATGTCGTATCTTTTAAAGATCTCTAGGCAAACACATATGTACATATTCAATTGAGCTTTATTTGCTTTTTTGTGGAGAGCAAAAGAGCTTAATTATCTTTTATTTCGAAATATCAATATAGTTCCTCCGACGTGTGCGTCACATGTTTTGCGCAACAATGTGAAACTAGGTAACAATGTCGCCTGAGCGAAAAATGTTCTTCAATGAAATCGAAAACAAAGAGTGACTAATTTTAGCTGTTAAAAGTAACTCAAAAATCCGCGTTTTTGAGAGTCATTTTTCGTTACCTATACTGGAATACAATAATTAGTATGTAACCTGTATACGTGCCTGTTTCTTTTTTTTTTTTTTTTTTTTTTTTCTTTTTTGGTCTTTACTCCGGAAGGTTGCTGTTGCAGGTCATTTTACTAACATAATGTAACTTCAAACTTTGATGAAACATTGCAATGATAGAACAGTCACGTTTCGTGTTGATATTGCTGGTTCGTTTGCGTTCATATGTAGGTTATGCAATCGCCTCACCGGTCACTTTATCTTCTGTGTTAAGGGCGCAATATTACTTTTCCACAGGAAAGTGTAGCTATATCATTTGAATCTTTACTTTAGCAACTAATTAAAACTGGTCTGAAAAATGGCATGAACATCTCGTATGTACAGCAGTATAAACAATGTCATAGAAAAGTACTCAGTAATCAGGCGAGCTTTCATTTTATAGTTTTGTCCACGGACTGATTCCGAAGCCGGGTTAGAACTGACCAACTCGTAAATAAGACATAATAAACGATTCCGGACGTCTGAGAATCAGGCTAGTAGCATAGAAAAAATGATTACCAAAGCAAAGTACTACTCCGTACTTCGTGCAGCAGAAAAACAGTCCCATAAAATTACTACTCAATTTGCCCTCATTTGAGTGGTCAAATGTTACGCTTATTCTCTAAGGCTAAAACCACCTTGGGTAATATAAGACAGTGCTGTACACAATATTAGTCAACACTTAATTTAATACCTCTTCATGCGACACAGGTTAGATTTCATCCCAAGCCGTCATTTGGCGCAAAAAAATAAGCGAAAAAAAAAAAAGGAATAAAACAGTGCTATTGAAATATAGCTAAGAAGATAGGTCTTCGTACTTTGGTGCTAAGCGATTCTTTACAGCCAGCGAGTGGACTTCTCTCATTTCACGATCTCAAGAGTGTTTGGAGTTACAAATGAATTCATAATACTCTTAACCAGCTTGGTTGCAGTTGATCAAGGACCACTCACAAGGCATTGTTTTAATTTCTTAGCGTTGAGGCTGTGAAGAGCAGCGGACCCGGCACGCGAACGAGGAATTTTACGGTGATTAAGAACTGATATCTTTTGCGAAAAGCGACGAGCGTGGCTTTGCTTTTTGTGGTCTGCAGTAAAATGCAGGGAGTTCACTACATAATTAAACTTCACCTTAACATTCGTATATTGAAGGAGTTAGAATTTATTTTCTACAGCGCTGCTTGAAGTGTTAATGGTAAAATATAGTTTGCTAATTCTTGTTTCCTGGAATTGTAAGAGCCTCTGAGGGTAATTATTTCACGGTCACGTTGCCTTAAGATAATCTTTAAACAACTCCAATTTACCAGTGCTTTCACATAAACTACTGGTGATACGGAAGAGCCCCCAAAAGTAGGGTTTTTAGTGGAACAAAGAAAGGTTCAGCGTATCAAAATATTAAAATGAATACTCACAATGTTTACGAACTTGATAACAACCTTCCTGGGTGGTTTTTTAATAAGACTGCGAAGGACGCAAGGCAAATTTAAAGTGGCTAGGAAATCATGATCACGTGATACTTGCCGTTTGCGTTCGTTGTGCACGTGATTCTTGATGTTCTCTGCCCAGTTTCTTGCCAAAGTTTAGTGGTATAAAAGAGAAACTGGCAGCGGAAATCAATTTTAATCTCAAAATCAGCAAACAAGACATTCTAAACGTAACAAAAGCAAACTGCTCTTTCGCTTGTTATTTGGCGACCGTTAAGGGAACCGTGATATTCGCTGGAAGTACACTTTCGGTGGAATAACCTCTGTTTCACAGCAGAATTAATGTTACCGCGATGCACGAGTGCATTTTAACTTGACCTAAGGCTCTAAAGGATAGTTTTCGATTGAAATTAAGCTCACATTCATTTTCTCGAACACACGGTAGGTTGTTCCGAGTTTCTAGACTGCTAATGCCTCGGTTCACCAAGCGTACAGAACATACAGTCATTTAGAAAAACGGATTCTAGAACTTCGTCAAGTGTACCCTTTACGTGGCTCATTAAAAATGATTAAAACTTCAACCTTGACGGGTCAATACTATAACTCTTTTTCATTTTATGGCCGCTGAGTATTTTTACCATCACCATAGCAACGTTATAATTCTCTTAAAATATCCTTAATTTTAGCTTTACGCGCATACAACTCAAAGGAGTCTGTGACTCTCACATTTTGTTTGTGAATTATGACTGAAAGTCAATATGTACCTTTCTACGTCATCTTAAAAATTTCTGTTGAGACGGTTCGGAGCCACCTAAAATGTTTCCAAAATTCAAGGAATTAAGTGACTATATCTGGATTCTGGTATCATGTAAGGATAACCAGCGACGTGGCTTATAAACGTAACACAAGTGAAGTTTTTAAAATAGCTAGTGAAGTTTCTATTGTATTGCCCTTTTCAGCTAGTAACTGCTCTTATCCAATATGGAGGAAGAAATGTTCGAAGCAGTGATCTGTTCGGTCAAAACAAAACTCCCTTGTCTCTTACCAGAAGGTTCTTTAAAGGATTAAAGGTATGTCTATGCATCTGTTTGAACATCACTTTTCAAAAAGAATTCAAGACGGAACAGGAAATTGAATAATTTCAATTTGCAGTGGACAAAAACCTTGTGCCAGAATAATTTAAACAACATCGCATTCTTTTTTACATTTTTTAAGAGCTATAGATTTAATTCTACCCCGTACCCAGACGTCTCTCTTTCGATGAAAATGTGCGCGGAAAGGAAGGCGGGAAGGAGACAACGGACGAGACGTCGCTTCGCCTGCCGTCTGTACCCTTCCCATGGTCCCTTTTGCGGTTCATCACCAGTCACTCGCGTTTCGCGCTCGCCTCTGCCATTTGAAAATCGAAGCGCCTGAGGAGGAGGCTGGACTTAATTAGTCATCTGTAACAACACCAAAGACTATTTCTCATGGGTGCCCGAGAGAAAAAATGTCAAATTTCACAAGAATTGTGAAAACACAGCTAAAATTCTGAAAATTTCATGTGCAAGGTGTCATTTTGTGAAATTTGACATTTATTTCCCGGGCTCTCATGAGAAATTTTCTTTGGTGCTATTACAGATAACTAATTACATCTATAACCCTTGAAAACTGTCAAAAAAGAATACAATATTATTTAAATCATTCTGGTACAAGGTTTTTGTCTACTGAATATTAAAATTACTCAATTTCCTAATGGATTCCTTCTTAAAAACATTTTTAAAACCTACATTTAAAGACTTGCATTAGAAACCGCGCTCTTATTTATCCGTTACATTTATCGCCGACTCGCCTTCAGCGTTGAAATTTATGTACTTTTGTTCGCTTTCTGTTGCTGTTGTTGCTGTTGTTGTTTAAGTATTACCTAAGTTGTTTTTATTTTTACCATGGGTTTTGCCATTACTGCATTGCCTTTTGCCGTTGTTACGGTTGTTGTTGAGGTTAACTAAGGCTTTGTTCACGCTGTACCGGTTAGCTCTTACACTTGCACGAAAGTCAAAATATATAAAATATCAGCAAGACCACACCGACAAACCAATGAGTGGTGCTGGATCTCCCTGTTGTAGACCCGGATCAGTACAATAACAACTTGTAGAAAAATATGAAACAGCAAACTGATCCTTACGGCAAGGCGATGAAAAGTCATACCAGATATGGCTTCTGTTGACACACGACGTCCCAGGACGGGAATTTCGGCGCGAATTCTGTAAAATAGGGACCTTACTATCCGACAACGGCGACGTCCATGAAAACGTCGCTGAAAAACAGACTTCGCATCATTTTAAACTTTTTCGCGATTATCCCAATTCGCCCTGTTACTTAAAAGAGGGGGATTTTGGCTGAAGCTGAAGAGAGGCGAACGCGCTCAAGTTCGGACAGAGATGGTAGAATTTATCGCCTTGCCCTTCCCGTTCCCAAGTGAACTTAAAATTTGGTCATTTCACGTCGTAGTTGTACAGTGAAGACAAAGAAATGTACAAAAAAGCTTGATGCAAGTGCAGAGTTGTTGTTTTGCTCATTAAGCCGGTTTTTTTATGTTTCCGTTGCCCTGGTCGTCGTGGTTTGCCGCGCCGATCTCTATAGGGGAGCCAGTCAAATATAGGATTGGTGCTCATACTATACATAGATTTTCGTGTCGGCAAGAAAAACGATCGAGTATTGGTGTGAACATGACCCTAATTCAAACAAATTGTACTTGAAATTTCAGGGAGTGGAGAACATCTATACTCAACACTCTCCACTGCTTTCTGAAACACTAGACAGCCTGATAAAAGGGAAGCTTAAAGAAAGTTTTTTCCCTTACCTGGGGTCGTCAGTTCTTCGAGACAGGTAAGCGCTTACCAGAAACAGGTGGTAAGAAAAAACGGAGTTTAATAAGACCCTCTGTGCTTTAATAAAGAATACGTAACTGTCGCGCCTAGTGCCTTTTAATTAATGTGGGGCAATTTTCATTTCAGTGTCGCAATTAGGGAACTTAAACAAGAGCAAGTCTGATGTATATTCATTGACACTTTAAAAATTATAAGTCACTTTTACATAAATGACAAATAAAACAAAAAGCGGCAATATCTTTGTTGTTAAAAACTGCCACTCTTTTTTATTACAAAGCGCAATCGTTGTCCTCATAGTAATATTACAAAGTGCCAGCGGATGTTATAATCAAGGCCTAAGTTTTCCTCAAAATTTGGCTGCTTGTTTTTATGTGCGACAAGTGGAGCGGTTATGAAGTATTACAGCTGTTTTATTTCATAGTTTTATTAGCAAACGTAGATGGCATTAGTTGTGCAAGTTAAAGGTAATCTGCCAAGTGAATAGTCAATGCAAGAGCTTATTATACATTGGCACTACCTGATAAAAGCAGTGACATCTGAAGTTGATTTTTTTTGTTCGTGAAATGGAGGCCTTTATAAACAATTATTGCATGAAGTTTTTTGTGATATCAGGAATAATCAATTTCAAGGCAAGTGTTACCGAGACCTTAATAATTATTTAATTATACACTGTTTTGAAGAAAATAACGACAAACACACCGTCGTACGGAAAATAGTTTGACGTTGTTCTTGGAAATCATGCATTTTGCGCACATCTTACAGATTAGTCAGTTATCTGGAAGCAGATAACTAACTAATCTGTAGGTTGCGCTGATTTCCAAACTTCACTGTAGGCTCTTAGCCAATGAGAAGACAGATGGTAAGTATAATGTATAATGATATCTAAAATTGGAACAATGATACCAGACAACTGAAACGGATTCATAGATATCCCAAATCGATACAATGATATCTGAACAGGTCCAGTAATATCTAACATTTCCGTGTGTTCATGAATGGGTTGCAGAATAATAGTTAACTTGCGAGTCACCTTATAATAATACATACATATCGGTATATTTTTTCACATTTATTTCATATTTGAAGAATTCTGATGGATATATATTTATATTTCTACTTTTTATTTAAAACAGCGCCAACTGATAAAATTACCGTGGTTTAATAAAATACCTATCTTGCACTTGACCAAGAGTTCGAGGTTGATTACAAGTACGAGTTTTCGAACAAAATTCGCGCGCCTCACTCGATTTACTTATCACACGACTCTTATCCCTAACGTTAATTATATATGCTAGTCAGCAACAGAAAAGGGTTATAGTTCGGGGAATGAAATTAACCCGAAATTCCAAAGTAGAACAGGAACTCGATGTGCTACTTAGTTAAATCTAAAGGTCGCTAGTTAATCACCCTTTACCGAGTAAGATTTTCTCGTCATCTTTCACTGTATTTCCTCACGTGTGAATTGTGTTCTTTTCAAGGCCCCAAGAAATTATCGTCTTTATGGTGGGAGGTGCAACCTATGAGGAAGCATATGCTGTTTACAACTTAAACAAGACGCTACCCGGAGTGAAAATAGTGCTAGGCGGTACGACAATTCACAACTGCAAGAGGTAAGCTGTCCTGATTGCTAATTTAAGGGAGCCTTATCATACTCCCTATACTGGACTATACGGGGTGGCTCCTCCCGATAGGGACGGATTCCTTTTCCAAGCTTCAGGTATATGAAAGGCTAATGATTTCAGTACTTGAAGTATCTCAGTGAAAAGGTAGGAAAATCTGTCTTTTTTTCGGTGAAAAGACCCAAAAGGGTTAACAAGCAGTAGCGGATCCAGAGGGAAGCCCCCCCCCCCCTTTATGTTTAGATGAAACTGAGGCCCAAAGGGCCGAAAAAAAATTTTCGCAGACCGGTTCCCCCCCACCTCCCCTTATCTAAGGGTCTGGATAACCGACCCCACCCCATATCTCAAGGTCTGAATCCGGTACTGACAGTTTAATTTTATGTCTGTGAAAAAGTCCAAAAAACGTTTTGGTTTTGTGATTTATTCATATACAAAGACAAAGGTCTAAAAATGGTATGTGAAAGCGGTGTGAGAAAATTATTGCGTCATTATCGCGGTAAAACTCGTCACGTGATCTGAGAACTGAGTTTTGTACAAGAGTCTTGGAACTGTGTAGTCGTCCGGAGTCGTGGAGCTGATCGAGAGTGTAGATTGAGTGTAGATCATCGACATTTTACGCGAGTTGATGTCGGTGAATCCTTTAAGTGTAGAACAGAGTACAGAATTCTAAAATATGAACATGTGAAGAAATATACTTTCAATGAATTAACGCTACAGAGAACTGGTTCATCACACATAATTTCTGACAAGCAGTACCATTTGCCAAAAGAAGGTATACGAAAGGGGTAACTTTTCGTCAAAAATGGTATATAAAAGGGTAGGGGTTGACCTTTTGTTTGTTTCCAAAGATCTCTTTTTGTTGTTGTATTATTTAAGGGTGATAAAATATGCAAAGTAAAACAAGACGTTGTTAACGTCTTAAAATTAAAAATTCATCTTGGCTTGCTATTTTCAAGCTTGTCGGTGACAACATTTAAAACTGAAAAGCGTGATAACCAAAACGACGTACCTTTCTGCTGACTTTCCAATTTGTGACAAAAATCGCAGCTTCCGTCCATTATCTTAAAATATTCGCGCTCCATTTGTAAATCGTTTTATATCTCAACAGAAATTTTTCGTTACCTTTTTTATGTGGAGAAAAATGTTGAAGCAGTGACAAACACAGCTGGGGATATAATCGCCTTAGGTTTTGCTGTGAAATCTCCGTTTCTTGCCAAAGCTGCCACAGCATTTCTTGTTCGAAGTACATATTTAATCAGTTGTTTAAAGTTTCACAGTCCTTATTTTTATATGAATTTATTAAAAGAGGTATACTTTTTATTGTTCGCTGCAAGAAAAAAATCGCCTATTAGTTATTTATTTGTTTGTTTATTGATTTATTGATCGATCTTTTTTGGAAAAGACAACGCCTAGTGCAAGCTAGCAAATGAAGTGTGCGCTAAATCAGTTTACATTTCTAACATAAAAGAATTGATTGACAAGACAGAGTCATAGTTTTTACTCCAATTTTTGTCTTAGTTAGTATAACAATACGAACTCTTCCCCCCTCCCCTTTCACCATTAGCAAACTTTAATCTAAACGATTTTAAAGTTTTTTTTAATACGTGTTACAGTTCAGCAGTCCAACCACACTTTACTCAACAGAGGTATTGCTCATGAAGCGATATCATTATTAGTTTGAATATTCCTGTGGCGCCAGAAGGCTAAGTACCTTTCTGTTAAGAAAAGAACGAAGTCGCTTCTTCACGCACGCAACGTTTTCAAATCCTGATGGCGTACATGTAACCGCGAACAGACACGTACACCCTTGGTCGCTGTAGTCTAATCCGTTAGAGCTGTGGTTTTAATAATTTGCCACCTGAAAGACTGAAACGCCGTTTGCGAGCAGTTTTATTCTCAGTGATCACACCCCGTGTTTCATTTGAATATTCGAAGGTTAGAACTACTTTTTTCAAAACAGTAATACAGCACTTGTCATAGCACAATCAAGCAGTTTCAGTTCAGTGAATCATGACATTTGGGAGTAGAATAAATGTTTCGAACAAGCGATTTGAAAGGTTGGCTTTTGAAAAGTTTGATAAACGGATACATGGCAAGGAAGGAAAGTTAACACTATAAGGGAACTTTCTCCAGATTTATCCCTTTCGTCTTGGCTTTTCTTACATGTACTTTCTTACTTTACATGCATCTTTTGTTTAAATATAAAATCAATTTATGCGGCAAAACCTCTCTAATTTACCACTCTCTTGTACGACTATCTCCTTAAGCGGCAATCGTTATAAAAATCCTTCTTGAATTTAAAATTTTTAATTCAATCAGTGCATATGACAACTTCTACAAACCCTGGTCATTTCGCCGCAAGTGAGCCTGTTGCTAACTCCAAAGTCTATAGTGCCTTACAGGAGTCTGATTCGACCACAACTACAATATATAAACGGCTAACCTTGAGAAGTCGAATGTTGTGGTAAAATTTTCGTTCGCTCTGTCTTATTACGCCTCTCCGTCCCTCTTCGGCTTCTTACAATTCTAAAGACCAACAATAGCTCTCCTCTGAATATATACGAAGCTGTCATGTCGTAAGGTTTGCGTACATTAAGCTGCTCTCGTATGTTATGTACAGTTGCAGCCCCGGAAAATCGTGACAAAACTGTAACAGACTGTCATTTTTTGCCACTTTTAAATTACATCTCAGTAAACACAATCTAGAAGAATTTCCTGTATCTTCCGCCTCGGCTTTGTGACAATTTTGTCTGAAGAACTGATGAATGAATGAAAAAAATTACATTAAATACTCGGCTCCCTTTTAACGTATGAATAAAAACGCCAGTCACGAATTGATATTCGTGTGTCGCCGCATAATTGTCGTGATGTTTCTTTTTCGAGTAATTTGAAACATCTTGTAATGATTTTCCTTTGGCACAAACAAAAACAATTTTTTTTGTCTTTTGATCGAAATGACATTTGATGCAGCCTTAGTGACCCTACTCTGATGGGCGGTCACGTGTGGAAGATTCAAGTGTATGAGGAGTTCACCCTTTCCTTTCTAATTTGATGGCTAAAATATTCAGAAAAAAATACTCATTTTTTTGTAGAATCCTGAAAAACAAATAATACCATGGGAAAGTTCTACCTAAGAGGTTTCATTTGAATGGTAACACCATAGGATTTCACCAACAGATTTAAAAGTTGAAGTGAAAAATAACCTGACCTTAACGTTCTCTACGAACAGTTTGGCCAGGTCTAGACAACAGACTGTCTTATTACTGAACTTGATTCCAATTTTGGCCGGTAACGAAACCGAACGTAAAGGTTCCCGGCTGTATACTTGTTAATATTGCCAATGTCGCCTCCTTTCGCTATTTAACAGTTAACGTTGGCGGCGAAATTACTTATAAATGACAAAATCACAGCTTTGTGTCAATGCAAATATGCCTCCCAAGTTTGTCCATCTGCGCGTGCTTTCTTTTCTATTTAATGTGTTATTTTCACCTAGTTTAATATTTTCAGCGCTAATTTTATATTTCACTCAATTTGATGATAGCTCCCGCTGTTTGAATTTTGATAAATCTCGTGACGAAACCCCGGCCTTTAATAAAGTTGGGTCGTGAAATTGCCATTATATACGGTATTGTATATATATTTTATTATGAACAAAGTTCGGCATATGAAAAGGGCGGAATTCCCGACTGAGCCTGGTGGCGGCAAGAACCGGCGACTCCAAACTTTTGCTGCTCTTAATTTCAAAACGAATTAGGTTCGATGGCGCAGGAAAAGATTTGAAGCGTGCTCTACGATAGAAAGCGTTCGGTTAAAACTCTAAGCTCTACAATGCTGTTTGTTTTTTTGGGGGGGAGGGGAGGGATTCAAACGATAGTTTCCTCAGCTCTTTCTGTTTTTTTTTTTTTTTTTTTTGGCCATTTGATAACGTTCAAGAGAGATCGTGAGGACGTATCCCATAATCGCATTTCTTTTCAGACTCTATTTGATGAAAATATATCTAAACTATATCTCCTGAATGATGCTCTTGGCACGTGCTTTTTTAAAATTTTATTGTGACAGTGGGCACGAGAAATAAATTGGTATCCTCAAATTTATCTTAGTATTTCATTTTCGAATCTTCAAAGCAATTTTCAGGCGGTCTGTTTATTTTCCTCTTTAAAAGCTGCGAGCGTGTCAAACTAATTTTCATGTTTAATTTGAGTTGTGCAAATTTGAGAAAATGTTCAACTGGAAACTGATCTAATTAGACTAACAAACTCATTACGAGTTATATGTGTTTTGATACCTCTTAATAATGTTGGTAAATTGCTAAGAGTAAATATCAGACATCTAGGAAATTTATTACATGTAGATATAAATATCGTGGCCCTGCAAATGTGATTTATGCAGCGCTTATATAGTTCTTCTAATATTGATTTACGCCTTGTCAAAATACACAATGTCCAATAAATCAATACAGACACTCTGTGCGCATTTCTGTAAAAATAAATAAAATAGATTCTATTTTCAGAAATCAATCAATCAATCAATCAATTTATTAACGTCAATACGTGGGATGGGGTTGCCCCGATCATCCAAGCCAGAGGCTCATGTATAAAACGTATGACAAGAAAGATAAACATCTCGAGCATTGGACAGGAAAAAAATTTGTTTTCCCTTTGGAATTAGAGCCGGGGGGGATACTCCTCTCCAAATGACGGAGTGCTCGTCGGAACATTTCGGAAACAACCTGGAAAGGAACTAGAATCACGCCTTTTGGTGGGCGTGGCCCAAGTTCATTGTCACCTCTAAGAGCTACTAAATTTGAAAACACAAATTAACAAACACTGACAATTTTTAATAGCAATAAGTATTATTCAGTTGACTGAAGAATATCTCTCTATTTTTATGGCTCAGTATAAACCATATTAGTAAAATCCAACTGGTCGTCTATTATCAATTCTTCGTTCTGGTTGGTTGAGCTACTACTAGGCCATATGTTATAGCCCACAAGTAGAGAATAGCGCCGGCTTTGAAAACCAAACCAATGGCGGCTGAATCGCGTTCAGTGCTAGCTAAAGTTGTTTTGTCTCGATATTTTTGACCAGCTAGTTGGATTTTACTAAAAGAATTATTCCTCTCGCCCTCATGGCCTCTGAGTTAATAGCGCATTCGGCCTTCGGCCTCATGGGCTATTGACTCAGTGCCCATTCGGGCTCGAGGAATAATTGTTACGTATTTGCCATAAAGCACGCATAAATAAAAAGGTACTGCGAAACTCCGTGTTTATTTTAGATTTTAGCAAACTAAGCGTTACCCATCCACAATTTTACCCCATAAAATAAATGTACGATGTACACCCTCGTCATTTAATAAGGATACCCCTAACTGTGAGGCGCTCTACCCACTACACCCTGGAAATACTCATGATAAACATAGTCGAACGCGAGGCGCGAAAGACGAGCGTAGACCCCTACCCTGGGGTTTCCTAAAATTTTTCAAACTTGAGCGCTGAAGCATCAAATCTCCTGGTCTGTACGACAGAACAAAAAAAGCCTCTGAAAACTGAACGAACATGGATATCCTTTAAACCCAAGAAAGAATGACCTAAAAACCTTTTTGCAGGTAGCTTTTCTGTTGATTCTCTGTTTACATAACTACTCTCACTGCATAATTAATTAGCTCATTGCAGGGATTTTGTATAATCTGCGCGCATTCCCCTCGAAATCGCGCGTGCTTGTAGGGGTTGTAATGCTCTGCAACCCTCGACTATAAATTAGGCCGTGCTGCCTAAAACGTGGTCATTTTTAATGATCGTGATCCGGGACCACGGCCAATTTTCGCGACCCGCCCACGTCCCCTGGTTGCGGTTGACAACTTCAGTCGCAGACTTTTCCCATAACTTAATATTACGCGGTGAGGTGATGAGTATGCAGTGAGGATATATTACAAAATAAACGTAACGCCGATTTTCTTTCTCTTCTGTTCTCAGTTTTCTAGAAGAAGTCCTGCATTCTACTGGTCACGGAGCGGCATCTAGAGCCCGAGTGACTTCAGCCAGCGGAAACTACAGATCATCTTATACATCTTCTTTCTTTTGAACCATACAAACTATGCAGGGCTGGAAGTAATCTGAACATTTGATAGTCGTGTTTTCTTTTTCTAGCATCCTTTACATTCTGTTCTTCATAGCTTTGCAAAGTGAGCCCAACAGGCGGTATACTGTGTTATTATTTCAAATAGATGAAATATGCTCTCTTTTAGAATAATCATGGAGCAAAAATCGTGAGAAGCCGTCACGGACCGCGAGGGGCTACCTTCATGAACTCTTGAACACCCTAAGGCTATGTAAACACTATACTGCATACCGTAAAATTCCGAAAATAAGCCCCTCCATGTATAAGCCCCTCCAAATATAGGCCCCCCAAACTCGTAACGCAAAAAACCCTCCGTTAAATCGCCCCTCCGAATACAAGCCCTTCCTGGAGCTTGTACTTGGAAATTGCCCTCAAATACAAGCAATACAAAGCAAAAACGGTAAATTTCCTAACAACTATAAGGTTAGCCCAATCGATTTTGAAACGCAAATAAGCCCCTCCGAATATAAGCCCCTCAAAAAGGACCTTTGAACAAATACAAGCCCCGGGGCTTATTTTCGGAATTTTACGGTACCTTTTCCGGCGTGACGCCACGGAAAGCTATACGGCATAGTATGAACAGCAAGCGGCCCAGGGCGGCACAAATAGTTCACACACATCGAGCTCGACGCCGGCGCGGTTGGCCGAGAGGGTTTGGTACGCTTAATTCCAGTCCTCACTCCAGAATATTAATTTCCATTTCAGTGGGTTCCAGGTCTCGCTCCTACTTATTTACTTCTGGTGTTCACACTGCACCAAAGTCCAGTATGGTTTTCGTGGCGGCACACCGTGGTCAAACGTCTAAATCGTTATTTTTGTTTTTTATTGCTGGGATTTCATTTACCAGTTAGAGAAAAATGGGCAAAGATGTATAAATCAGTTAGTCAACATAACTATCTTTCCATTTTTCTCAAAACTTTGAGATTTTTTGCTGAAAACGCTTCGCGCTAAAAGAGAATCATGTTTGAAAATGGCGCCGATAATAACGACAGCATCGGTTTTCAATCACTTAGAACTTTTTTAGTAAACTTTAAAAAAGTTTAGTAAACTAACAGGATGTTGGTAATACCTTAAACTTTCGATAGTGAAAGTAGCAACCTTAACTTTGAAGTATTTCGCTTAACTTTTGCAAATTTCACTCGTCTGACCGCTGTGTTTCGTGGCGGCGCGTATATAACAATCGAAATATCAAAAATTCGAACATAATCCTCATCCCCCCCCCCCCAAGAAAAAGGCTTGAAGTAATTATATTGTTTGTAAAATGTACTTGTCTTCAGAAAGAATTTATAATTTCACAACAATGAGTTCTAAACGTAACGATTTACTAACAACTTTAATTTAAACATGAACGCAAGTGTGTAAACCTTTTACTCTGATCTCAGCCTCTAAATCTGAGCAGGTTATGAACGAAGCGTTCAGCGTCATATGGCCATTCAGATAAAAGCCTCAGTTAAAAACTTAATTCTTAAATATCTTGTTTGTTTTATCGTTTTGTAATAGCCAGGTCGATCACTGACGTCACTATTTACATTTGCCTGCGTGCAGACGTCTCCTATTTCCTTTGTTGCACGCGGAAAAGGGACGTCTGCGTAACGCCGTCGCTAATCGTGTTCCAGCGTCCTGCTGGGTTCCCAAGATCTTGGGAACACGCTGTGATAGGCTGACACACAGTGCGCATTGTTTGACTTAACGCTGATTGGTTGTTATCGAATGTGGTCTGATAATGTATGCGGTGATTTAAATGATTTATGTAAACAGGGTTTTCTAACCAAAACAAATCAAAACATGTGCGATTGTGTGCTGTGTTTTTCGTCGATCGAAAAGCAGAGCGATCGAAATCTTGTGCGGGGACGCGGAAAATTTAACGTGTACGAGGAAATTATTTCTTTACAATTTACTGTACATGACACATCACATCATATTTGTAAACAGTGTCTGAGAAAACTACAAAAGCGGCGTGGACTTCGCACCAGGCAGGCATTTCGGAGAAAGCCAGCCAAAGTAAGTAAAATCTTTATTTAGCCGTAACAAACAGAAGTCAAGAAAATTTAAACACTTTACAACTGCATCTGAAATCAAATCCTATCGGGAACACCCACAGAAGCATAAACCACAGGAAATGATTACTCAGTATGCAAGTAACAAACCTCCTCTAAATGTAAGACTTAGCGCGGCAAAAATGAGATTTACTCAGTCAAAGGTTAGAATGCTACATGCACTGTGTAGTGCTAGTAATCTTCGCGCGAGAGAGAAAAGAAGAAAAACCTCTGTTCAAGCAGACCGTCAAGGTCACGTTTCGCCCGTATCACGAGCTTATGATGTTTTGTTTGGCCTGTCAACTCTTATTTCTAACCGGATATTATTTCACAATTTATGCGAAATAGAATACCCTGCCAGCGGGACGCTGGAACACGATTAGCGACGACGTTACGCAGACGTCCCTTTTCCGCGTGCAACAAAGGAAATAGGAGACGTCTGCACGCAGGCAATATTTACATGTGTCTTGAGTCCACTCATTAAGCACCATCCAGACCTTTGCGATAGGCATTTCCCTACAAATATTGGCGTACCGTTTTCATAGAAACAACAAGTTGGCTCTTCCAGAAGGGTGAGCAGCCTAGCCAGGTCACCCCGTTTTTTGATGATAGGGTCACCCCTCTAGCTGGGTCAACTCGGCCGCGGCCATTCTAGTTCAAGACCACGTGACCAAAAAACGAAGGGCTCTGGGGACGAGAATGGGTCTTGGAATGGGTGAGAAAATCAGAATATGCGCGAGAGCTATTGTCAGCTCTTGGCTTGGGCAAAGGGTCAACATTTTCTATATAAACGCTCGCTGAAGTTTTGACTCAGAAGGAAAAGTGACCATCTTTCCCGGGACAAATTTCCTCTTTTAAACAGCGGGCCTTCCCATTGCTTTTTCTAGCCGAGGTCAGAATTCCCACCAAAGTCACTGAGCAAGCAACATTGCAATAGCACCAGTTGATTTCATATTTGATATACCAATATAATAATTGTAATAAGTCAATGAAATATAACTGATCCCTCTTCGGGAAGCCAAAAAATGTTATTTTCAAGAGCCTCAATTTATACTTCACTTTACACAGGTTTGTGTTACTACACAAAAAATATGCTAAGTGAAACGATGTGTATCTATGGTGAAATGGCAAAGAATCATTTATGTATAACAGATGTCACCAAAAGATTTGCTAAAAAATGTGCCCTACTCTACGATCTTGGACAAAAACGTTAAGAAAAATGCACCTTGTATGGTTAATTTTAGATTACTTCCCTCCAAACCCGGTTCACTCAAGATACTTACCTCTCCCCCCCCAAAAAAATAATATTGAAGGGTGACCGGGACATTTCTGCTCCTGACTTAACAACACTGACCAGGGAGGGGTGGGGAGAGGGGCCACCATGATGCTAAATTCACCGGGTGGGTCTTCTGTGAGTAAGAAAGTGTAAAATTCTAAACACTTTTTGTCCAAGATTGTAGATCTATACCCCTTTGCAAAATGATTCCAGGTCAAAACATTGAGACTTTGAGACACGCGTCACGAATATGTCCTTCCATTTCTTCACGTTCACGTAAAAATCAAGTAATTCACGTTTCACGGAAAATAAAAATAAATTTACGGATGTTTCCTTGTTTCCTGCTCTAAATCAATTGCTAGGGTTAGGTAATACTTCTAATGACCCAAATACCGTACATGAGGGAGATCATTGAGCCAATCTCTTTGCCTGAACAAATTGCCCGAAAATAAAATCGGCTTAAATTTGAGCCCAATTACAAAACATCAGTTCACGCACAAGGGCATAGCTTAAAACTCACGTTAAATCAAATCCTAGTCATGCATAAATAAAAAAACGCTTTTAAGTGTACGTAAAAATGACTTGATACGAGCAATCACGAATTACGAATGAATCAAACCCTTCATCACGTTTCACGAGAAAAAATACAAATAGCCCCAATCACGCTTCACGAAAAAAGCAAAAAAATCGGCGGTGTCTCCTTTGTTTCGATCAGTCCCTTTACCTCTCTCTCTCTCTCTCTCTCTCTCTTGTTTTTGTTTGCTTGCTTGCTTGTTTGTTTGTTTGTTTGTTTGTTCGTTTGTTTAATTAATTAAGACTCTTTTGACTACAATTCTCATTTTAGCGGTATGGTGATCTATAAGACGTTCATATTATCCTATTTTCCATTACCAAGTAGTGGCTGGTTCTCGTCGTCATTAATTGTTTTCGATTGTTCTTTCTCTGCTGGTTGCTGTTTCTTTCTTTTGGATCTAATAAAGATCACCCAGGAGATGACGCATAAAAGTTCAATGCTTCCAATACAAACAAAACCTGCAGAGACCCAAGGAACGAGTTTCATTGGAATCAAAACTGTTTTCACGGTGTGAACAGTCGATGAATCAACTGTGACACTGTTGTTGAAGTAAATTAACGGGAGGATGACCTCTTTCACGTTCGCCATTTGAAAAATATATTTGGTAGGTTTAATGTTGACGTTAAGTTGAAGCCTCAAACTTAAGTGCAGAGGAAGTCCAAAGTGCGGTTCTACGTCAAAAAAGGTGCCGTGTTCTTCTTTGTTTGGTCTCAGCCCTCCTACACCATTCACAAGCGCTGGGTCGCCTTGATAGAAGTGTGGCTCCGAAGCAACAATTGCTGGTACTGCAATTGGAGTGTTTTTACAAACGCTAGCATCCAGGATGCCAGTAGGAAAACAGCCATTAGGACAGAAACCTTTGTTTGCTGGGTTCACACTTGCATTTTGCCACAACTCCGCAGGGTATGTGAATCTCATCGTGTTCACACCGTGAACATTGAATTGCGAGTCGTACACAAATCGCATAGACCTGCACAACTGAACATAAAACGCGTACAGCGTGTCATCCTTACGAATTTGGGGTGGAAATTGCATGCCGTCACTTCCGTTGAACATATTTGCCCAGGAGGAGTTCCACAAGCCTACATCTGGTTTTCCCTTCCACATGGTCCAACCTCCAGCTTTTGAAATGTCCAATGCTCCCGTGTGGACCGTGGTGACGCCATCTAGAGTATTGTTGTACATCATTCGGAAAATGGGATCGATGTCTGGGAGAAAAGACAAGTGAAACTTGCGCCTAAGTTCGGAGAATAATTGAAACACTGGATCTCTGTATCCCCATAACATCTCGTGTACTGTGATTTCTTTAAAGAATTCTTCCTTGAAGCTCTCGAAAATGATATTGAAAATCAGAGCAGATCCAGGATACATTTTTGAAACCTCGGACAAAATAACCAGTGGTACATTGGGAAGTGTGATAGTGTCCTTAGATGCATCACACGAGGAACAAGAGCACTCGGCGCTGAAGATATACTTGGTAAACTTGTTGAAGGAAACCGTAGAATTGTCATTCCAGGTGATGTTTTTTCTTAATTGATGAACTCTGTAGCAGTAGGGTCCCTTCTGAATCACATAAGGTTGTTCCCCCTGCTTCATTTCCAACGGATTCTCTACGTTGAATACAAAAAACTGCATGCGAACTGGAACAGTTGGGGAAATCCATTGTCTATAAATAGGAGAGTTTGGTTTTATAACAAGCTTGGAGTCTATGATGGACTGTATCCAGCCGTCCCCTTTAATGAAACATACCGTACCGAAGACAACCAGAAGGGCGCCTGATATTGTTAACACTGTGAAACATTTTTTCGTATTCTTGGGCATACAGCTGCAACGATTTCCACACTTTGTATTCTTCATGTTGCATGAGTGAAGAGCTTGACTTGTCAACACCCGGTCACGAACGCTTTTTCGCAAACAGAAATTTTTAAATAAGATCTTGAACAGAATCACGCTTCACAGCGGTAAAAAGAGACAAATTAAACCTCCCCGTTAATTGAACTACAATCCACCAAACTTGAAGATCAAGCAAAAGAGAGCCAGAAGGTAACCGAAAGAAAGCCAAGTCATGGCTACGCCACAGGTTATGTAACCGGCTATAAACTACACCGGCTCGTGATTTTCAGCTTAATGGGCGGTCACTCGTAAACTGAGCTGATCTCAGTTATTAGAACGGTGTTGTTTTTTTTTTTATGGTTCGAAAACGTGAATTATGGGTGAGTTAGGGTTTGAATGTTGTGCTGTAGTCTTTTTGCTTTTATCTCGTTTTGTTTTTCCCGCCAGGGTGCTTTTTTCTCCCGATTGTTTTATCACTTTTAGGTTTTGCAATAAATC